ACCCCAGAGGTAGAAGCATCTTTCTTTCTTCTGCTCTGCAAGCCAGCAGAGTTGTTGAACCCTCACCGGCAGACAAACCTTCAAGAGGGATCTATGGGAGCACAGAATTCCTCCTCCCTTCCATCCTCATCCCAGTCGAACTCTAACCATTCATTGTTGACCCCTTCATCATGTCCTCGAATCCCGAGGACTACAGTACAGACAGGACCATCACTTCTGACACCAAGGATGCTACTGGCCACAGTTCCAGTGAGACTCACAGCAATAGTGGTGGACCCAGTGCAGACTCTCGCTTCAAAGCAATGCTCCTGGCAGAACCATCAGCCATACCTCAACCCTACAAGAAAGGTCTAGTTTCCACAGCATCACAGCTTCAACCTCACTGTCTAGCAAGAGAATGACTGAAGCTGTGGTATCCAGTTAAAATGAGAGTAGCTACAGGGCCAGATGGAAGGTTTTTAGCAATATCTGAGGAAGACTTGGAAGGAGTACTCACCATCATGAACCTATCATGGGCAGTAGGCATGAGAGAATGCTATGGGACAGGTCTTCTAGTGTTTCACATCTTCTGTGACAAGAGATCAGTCCTGGAGGAACAACGTTGTCCCATCAACATGTGGACAATCTTGAACTTCATTTTGAGTTGTGCTGGCTCATATTTGGGGAAGATGCTGACCAATTATGTCTATGCAATCAAAGTGTGGCACATGCTGCATGGTCAGAGCTGGATTGTTAACCAAGATCAGCTAACAGCTTCATTAGATGGTGCAACAGAACTCACCCCCTCCTCAAAACACACCAAGCAAGCTCCATTCACAGTCAAGCTAATCCTCGAAATTTGGTCTCACCTCAATCTAGCAACTCCACTCAACATGGCAGTATATGCCTGCTTAACAACCACATTCTATGCACTATGTCGGTTAGGAGAGCTCACCACGAAGACTATAAAAGACTTTGATCCAGGAAAACAGGTCAAACATGCAGATGTGGAGTTTGACATTGAAGACAGGCATCAATTTAGAGCTACAAAGATTTTCATACCATGCACCAAAGTAGCTGCAGCAGGAGAAAGTGTTTATTGGGTGCAACAAGACAACCAAACAGATCCCAAAGCAGCACTACTACACCACTTTGTGATAAACAATCCTCAGGCCAATGGACATCTCTTTGCATGGAGACGCACCAAAGGAGCAAGACTGCTGACATGGAGCAAGATCTGGAAATGGATTAGTGGTATTATAAAGAGAGCCAGTTTGAGAAACCTCAAGGGACATGGACTGTGCATAGGTGGAACACTGGAATATCTTCTGCATGGAGTACCATTCAACATGGTCAAGTTGATAGGGAGATGGTCAAGTGAAGCCTTCACCAAATATCTGTGCAAACACGCATTAATATTAGCACCCTACCTCCAAGAATCACCAGCACTGGAACCATTCACCAGATACACAATCCCTCCAGTGCACTGAATGGTATGTTCTCCATTACCTTTGCTTTGCCCTTCTCCTTGAGAGATGGGAGTCCATGCTGTGTGTCATATGCCATTCTGGACTCTCAACTCTAAATCCGCTTCTCCAGATATCTAGATCCAAGATCTGGATCTCAAATGATCTGATCTATCTTTATCTTCCTTCCAGAATCCAAACCCTATATCAGTGCCCAACCCCATTTAGACTTCCCCTGTCTCCAGACTCTGGTTAACTATGTTTCCCTTCTGATTATTAATCTGTTACATACATTTCATTTCTGATATGCATTATTGGTGATCCATCTTACTTACTAATAGACTTTGCATATGCTTTGTACATAGCCTTTGTGTTTGCTGACTGATTCCTATATGATACCTACAGTATATAAACCTCCTGTAACTCTCAGAAATACTTCAGTTCAAATATCATCTTAGTTCCTGCTCATTCCTGTGTCCTCCAGACTCAAGCCAAGTCTCTTGTCATATTCTGAGTCTTAGGATTGTATCCTAGACTACACCTCTGGCTCTACCTTAGGGTAGTCTATCCCCTGTTAGTTTCTAGTCTGGACTTTGTCTGGATTAGCCTTATCCACTTGTCCAAGTAACATCCAGATATCCATTATCTGCCCTAGTCAAATCCTGGAAACTCCAGTGTCTTAATAACCAAGGGTCTTATATAAATGCATGTAAAATGTAATGACACCACAATTACACTAGGATAAGACTTCTTGCCAGTCCTCGATTAACACGGTCTACAACTTTTCTTCTTTCATAGTAGATAATGTGTGAGTTCTTGGGAGGTTCACTAAACCAATCTATGTGATTAACTTAGCCGAAGCTTTTGTGTTATATCCTAACTTATAAACTTGTCTAGGATAAACCATCTAGACACTGGAACATGGTTCCTCATTAAGATAATCCTCTGTAGAGACTACGGTCTCAAATACAAATATGTTGACCAAAGACTGATTGGTCAAATAGGCACAAAGTGGTGAGAAACTGGTCTCACAAATGATCAGATTGACCAAAGCTCATGTTGGTCAATATCAGAAAACTAGGTGAGAAGCTGGTCTCACAAACGAACAGATTGACCAAAGCTCATGTTGGTCAATATCAGAAACTAGGTGAGAAGCTGGTCTCAAATAAACTAAGTTTCTATTGTAAGAAACTTATGTAATCTCAAGGGAATGTCTTTTCCCTGCACTTGGTACTTCAAAGGGGCTTTCTTTGTAAGCAACAATCTTCACAGTGAGTAGCTCAAACTGAGATTCAAATGATTGCAAGTGGGAGATCCTATTTTTTTGGGGGGAGAATGGGCCCTCCTTATATACATTTTGTGTGGGAATATTATGTAAGTAAAAAAGCGGAGTAATGACATCAGAAGTGGAGCAGAACATTCCAGAATATTCCATAGGTGGAGTAATGACATCAGAGGTGAGTCATTGTGGAGCAGAACATTCCAGAACAAATGACATCATCATGACATCATCATGACATCATAACTTTCAACAGAATACTTGCAGGAGTATCTGTGGAGCCATATGACATCATTGTGACATCATACCCTGTAGGTACAATTTTGTGAAGTATCTGATGGGTCAGAGCATCCCAATAGAAAAATAAATCAAGGAAATACTAGAGAAAACAACTCAGAAATAATAATACAATAACAAGACACAAAACACAGGCTTTTTAGATAGGTTTTTGTTAGGCTTTGAACTTTTCTCTATGGTTTTCTCTAGCCAAAGTGAATAAGCCAAAGGCAAGGCAATACCTTAACCTTCTTGCTTCACAATATCAACTAGGTCATTATGTGATTCCCATCTCACAAATGACTTTTCTTCAAGATATAATAAATTCATGAATCACAGAGGGGAAACTGAACTATATGACCAAGGTTTGAAACCAAGGTATGGGTTGACTAGCCTGATGCCTAAGCTCACAGACTTTGTCTTTTAGGGTGCTACCTAGTAGTCATGTCCATACATGATTCCCAAATCATGCAGGACACCAGACAACTATTCTAGCCCCTGGAAATTAAGGGCACATACTCAGGAAAGGGGCACAGCGTACAAGCTGAGGCCAAGCCCTTGTGATCCAACCTCCTTGAGCATGCGACCTTAACACTGTGCCTGATGTGTCACAGGGCTCCTTTGGGTCTTTTGGGAATCATGGCTCATTTTGGACTTTACTGCAGGTTTAAAATGATGTTTCATGTCTCAAACCTTTCAGGTTTGAGTCCAAATAGCTACAATATACCATTGCTACTATTCCTGTAAAATCAGCCTTTATCAGCTACAAATTGTTATGAACTCAGATAGAGCATCATTCCAATAAAGGAATCAAGGATCATGGTCAATCAAGGACTAAGCCTTTTTGAGTCAATGCCTCCCTCAGGAGCAATCATCTAGACTCCTGCAGGATCTAGAATTCAAATGGGACAAATGGCTAGCCTCCTTCCCAAGGAGCTAGAGTTCAAGTATCAAAGAGAACCAAGTAGATTCAAGTTAGAGAAAACACAAGTGGTAACTAGAGTTTATATATGTAAAGGAATCATGCACAGACCAGGCTGGGCAAAGGGTAACTAGTACTAGAAATGGAAGGTTCATGGGAAAACAAGGTATGAGTCAGAGATAAGAGAGACCATGAGGAAACAGCATAGTGAAAAGGAAGCATTAATAGTACAGCCATTAGGTGTCCACAGTGATGGTGAGAAAAAGAATAGGGGTATTGTAACACAAATAAAGTTGATTTTTGATGCATTAACATGAAAACTGACAGCAATGCATAGAGTCAAACTGTTGAATCAATGTACAAGGTCACAGTCACAGTAGGCCATTGAATTGATTGCATTAGTATAGTAATTGGTCAAGCATGATGGGCAGCTGGCACTTTCTGAGTAAGTCAACAAGTCACATGTTTCACATGATGGAGTGTTCAATTGATGTGCACAAATGGTTGTATACTTTTCTTTGAAACCTCAGATATGCAATTTTGACATACACTACCTGCTAGGAAAATACAACAGTGTTTTTTATAGTGTTGTAAAAGCAAGGTACCTCAATTTTCAATTTCATATCTCGAATGCCCATTGATAACTGTACTTATGTAATTTTCCGGTGAGCTGGTCCGACCGAAGCCTTGGCAAGTTGACAACTTGAAGGACATGCGACATCTGGCCCTTGAAGCTAATGCCCATTGCCCACCAATCCCAATGCGTCGGCTGCTATACAAGCTGACTTGTTACGTGATCCGTCCCACCGTGAAATAGCAAATTCCATGGAATGGTTTAATTAAACGCTTCGTTATCCGTGCGTCCTTATTTTGCATACATATGAATGATTTACATAAAGGGCGTAGCTCACCGAAAGGATGACAGATCTAGGCTTCGAATTGGTCATGGCGCTAATCTTTGATCAAGAAGTGCACTAACACCGCACGCGCTTGCCTTGTTTTGATACAGTACACGGATATTCTAGCGCCCGACAAATGCATAATAAGTTCTAGAATCCCATGCAGGGCTTCGTCAACCATGCCTCCCTTTGCAACGGAGCCGCTGCTCACCACTGATGTACCTTCTCCAAGTTCTACAACCACAATCCACCCTACATATAAATACACGTGTCCGTACTCCAAACACAAGGAGGGCAGGAATTTAGTAGTCTGTATTGATGGATCATCGAACCGGTTTGGACTGAAGGTGCGTATGTACTTGATCAAGTTTCTCTGGCTAACAACTACGCAGAACACCAATGTCGTCGAACTCTACAGCCAACTTGTGAAATCTGAAGCCCAGCTCACTTATTACAACAGCGGAGTGGGCACGCACGCCCGGCCAACGTGGCGCTCTCTCACATATGTTCATTATTGGCTGAGCAACAAGGTGGATTTGCTTATTGCTTGGTATGTGGCGCGGTTCAACTCTATATAGTATTATTGAGCATGATTCAGGAATCTCGAAAGAGTGATACTGGCAGCCTATCGATGGATATCAGAAAACTATCAAGACGGTGATAGAATTTACCTTTTCGGTAGGTTCTCGTGTTAGACGCAGTGATGCCCGAGATAATGTCTTGTCATAGGCTTTTCTAGGGGCGCTTACCAGGCCCGAGCAATTGCTGGAATGATACACCGCGTGAGTCGTGCGAATTGACATGCTAACCAAAAAAGGACGATTTGTTATAACTCTAGGTCGGCTTAATCCTCCCCGGCAATAACGAGCAAATACCATTGTAAGGATAGTCACATCTCGTGCCATCGCTTCCTTCTCATCTCGGCGACATTTAGCGCATTCGAGCTATACTCGAAAATAGATGAAAAGGCCTCGAAGAGAAAAAAATCTCGGCGCAAACATGCCTGGGCGAATGAGCTTGCTGAAACGTTCAAGAGCACATTCTGCAGATCGCACGTCCACATCCATTTTATCGGCGTATGGTAAGACATTGACCTTTGGAACATGGTTGTTATTTATTTATTTATTCATGTTAAGGGATACTGTTTCTTCAGTTGGCGTTGTGAGGGGGAAGACCTTACCTTCAACTACTAACGGCGACCACCATATGTGCTATTTCAGACATGCTCTTGCTTTGGACGAGCGGCGAGTCAAGTTCCTTCCTGAGTATATTCATGGTGCAAATACAGAAGGGTCCCATTCCGAGCGCATCAAGGAGGTCTGGTTTGCAGGTAGTCACTCGGACGTGTACGTCAAATGCCTTAAAATATCTGTACCTTTGACTCAATAACGGATATTTCCAGTGGCGGAGGCAATCGACTCAACGAGAAGCTTCAATCAGGTGACATTCCATTGCTATGGATGCGAAAGGAGGCTGTCGAGGCGGGCTTGAGGGTGAAGCCCACGGAAGTCGTCTGGAAGATGGACGACTTGCAGAAGAGGACGTTCGAATCACTACGGAGAACATGGTGGTTACTCGAATTCGCTCCTGTCAAGCGGGTTGTTTATGGCACTCAGGACAATCACACATTTGGGTATGTGCTGTGAGCCTTTTGATGTACATCGATGAATTCATTCAAATCTTCTGAAGACTCCACCGTGGCGCGCCTCGGGTGATCCTCCCCGGACAGAAGATTCACGCTTCTGTCCTTTTCAAAGGCAACTATCGAGCCAAGGCCAAATTCTGGAAGGACTTCGATGTATGGCCAGAATTGATGTACTGGAATGATCCAGTCAGCCAAGACCGCCTTTCCAAACTGGGTCAAGTGTGGGAGAAGGATATCTTTGATGCATCAACCGTGCCCTCACTTTTAAGAGATATCCAGTTACATGGAGTGGAGTGTTTCGACGCAGTTGACCGACTAGCATTCATGGCTTCATTTGGTGAGTGTTTTATTTCTTTATTGCAATTTGTCTTCTGAGCACTTTACAGAGCAAGGAAGGGCTGCGATTAAAGAATCAGACGGCTGGGACAACCAGTTAAAGGAGTTAGTCCGTTACAGCGATGATCCGAAAGTACGTGTCAGTGCTACCGTCGCACTGAGCGAACTCTGTAAGTCACAGTGAACCTATTGCACGGATGTCCACTCACTTTCTACAGTGCCTCAACTTGAAGCGCGATACTTGGAAACGGCAGCCGCTGACGTGTTGAAAATGCTGGCGAGCAGGGACGATATCAATCAGATTCGAGCTTGCAAAGCCCTTCCCGCTCTAGTTAAGCATGCTGCGGTAGGGAACGAGATCTTGAGCGAAGCAACATTCCAGCGTGTACTAGACCTTGGAGGGGTCTCCGACACTGAGTCGTTGATGGTGCAAATTCATGCATCACAGACTTTGTCGTTACTTGCTCGCAATAGTTCGTAATTCAAGCCCACCGGAACGATATTCATTTTGTGACTGGGATATCTTCAGACGTCTATCAACCGGCTGTGACAGAAAAGGCCGCAAAGGGCATCATCGATCTTCTCGGCAGCGAACGTGAGTTTTCGATCTGAACGTGCTTTTATACGTTCAAGCTGACATGACCTACCGCAGACGAAGAAATTTTGGTAGCAGCCTTACGCATACTTGCTGCCCTTGTCCATGACGGTATTTCCGGTTGTTCTTTGAACGCAGGCGTATGCCTGACAACCCGTTTCAGAAACAGCCCAAGCTAAGGTCCTAGAACTAATTCCTACGCTTATCAAACATTTGAAGCAACACGACTTTTACATCTCACCGCCGGTGGGTAATGTTATATGTGCATATGCAAGACACGGTAAGTTTCCTGTGCCATCGTCACTTAATTGATGTGCTGATAGCAAGATTCAGATAAATTCCGTAAGCAATTACTACAACCAGAAAGTGATTTTCTCGCGCTTCTGGTCAACATGTTGGAACATCGCTTAACCGATATTGAGGATCCTGCCATCCAAATCCTGGGCCAACTTGCGAACCATAGTACGACATATGCACTTGCACTCATATGTAGCGCCTGACAAGTGGATTTCCAGCTGACGTTCAGGGAGACTTGATTCATAATGGACACATTAAGAACCTGGCGTCGTTGATGAAAAATCGCAAGCACGAAACAAGTAGCGGAGCTATTCTCGCGATGTTGTCGCTTCTCCCGTATCGTGAGTTTCTTATACGATAACATCTCTTCTACTGCTAAGCTTGTTTCAGCATATATACAATTGACGGCAATCAAGGAAGGTGTCGTTGAGACTTTGGTCAATCATTTAAAGCACAAGAAGAAGTGTTTGTTTGCGGCTTACGCATTCTCTCGTATCCTGGACCACGGTCAGTTTTTCACCTAATGTCATGATTGAATATTCCTCAGTGCAATTCAGAAAACATCAGAAAGGCTATGTTTGAGCTATCCGCGCCTGACTACATCATCAGCGCTTTCAAACAAGGATCGTTTATCGTGACGGTCGAGAATGAACCCGGTAAAGAGGTGCTCGGACGCCTCATGCGCAACGGTAAGCTTGTGCGCTGCTGCGTTTCCCGTCTCGAGATCTCAACACTCCTATATACAGATGACCTGAGGGCAGCTGTTCTTAAAGCCCACACAACAGCGGCCCTTTGTACCATGTTCAAAAAGGGTGAAGCAACACTGAATCATGCAGCATTTGATTTCCTGGACATCATATCCAACTATCGTGAGCACGCATTTCTATGCATAATGATTTATGCTAAGAAAAATCAAAAGCCGATGGGAAAGAGTTGATTAAAGAATCTAAGATCGCCATATTCCGCGCCATAGTGGTCGCCTTGGACAACCAGAAGTGGGATTCTCAAATGAATGCTGCAATAGCACTTCACACTCTTTTTGGGATCCGGCATTCATCTGAAAGAACTTTTGTCACACATGAGTTTCAATCGGTCATCTTGGAAGGACTCCCGCGAATACTGAAATTGTTGGTGCATGATCGGTCTTACCGTGTTGTTGGCGGTGCGGCAGCTCTCTTTGCACTATCTGAGGACGGTATGTTGCATCGCACGACAGGACACCTCACACAAGCTCATATTTTTGAAGGAACTGTACGGGCTCGTGTGCGAGAGCACGCAGATTTTAAATTTGCCAGAAGTGGGTATTTCTCGAGGAGCATAAAACTACAGTATCATGACTCAGACCCACGGGAAGGTAACCTACGCATTTTCTCGAATGTTACGGGGATCTAACGCCATAACGCTTGCTATTAGAGGATGTCCACAAGATGCTTGACATATTATTTGCGGCCATGGAGGAAAACCCTCACCATCACGGTGCCCATCACCATCGTGGTGCCCTAAATTTCCCAGATGTGCACCCAATGCCTGCCCGCAGTCGCTTGGTCACTTCCCTTGCGATCTTATCTTGCATCTTCTACATTCCTTGCGGCCTTACAACCATGCTAGCTGGATGGGCAATCGATGGAACGGAAACGTCGCACACATGACTTCCGCAATGCGCATCACCCCAATTTTTCTAGCTTTATAGGAGAATTAAAGAATTACAGAGTGCAATGCAAGCAACACAGAGACTATGTATTACAGAGTCTTGATGACCATTGAAATATGAGAATCAAGTGCGTTTCTTCTCGGCTGCCTTGCGCTTGGCCTCTATCTCTGCGGCCTTTGCTGCGGGATAGTGAGATCGTTGTGAATGATTTGTGTGGACATTGCATCGAACCTTCAGCTTCAGCCTTCCTCTTGGCTTGAGCAGCCTCTCGTTCCTCTTTGATCTTTCTAAGGCGGGCGAGATCAGACTTTGCTTCATCGGTCTTTCCAGCAAGATGTAGCTACAGTCAAAGGGGTGAGCTGAATGAAGACGAAACATGACATGTTACTCCAGCAACTCAAACCGACCTTCCAGTAGCGATCCTTGGCTTCTTGTTTCTCCTTCGCCTCCCTGAGAAATAGACGATCAACGACATTATTCTTGAGGCGTAAACACCCACCTTTCTCTACGGGTTAGCTCTCGAGGCGCGCCAAGATCAGATATATTCATCTTCTTCTCGACGTGGTTGGGGTTTATTAGATCTGCATCTGTGTCACTGTCTCCCTCCCCTGGTTGTTTTTGGTCGGCTTGTTTCTTCTTGAGCGCCTTTCGCTCAGCGCGACTTAGCTCAGGCTGTGCGGCACTGCCGCTGGCCCCTTCTTCATCCTCCTCATCCTCATCTTCCTCCTCCTCTTCCTCTTCTTCCTCCAATTTGTTCTCTTCGTCTGAATCGGCCTCATCCTCTTGATTACGAGGAGCCCTGATCAGGACAAACTATTGAGCCAAATGCCATAATTATCTCTTGGAAACCTCACCATCGTTTATCAAGTGAAACAGCAGTTCCGTTCTCGTCAATTTCGAGGTGTTTGCTAAGTTAAACAACGCTATTCAGCGTGGACGATGGGATCACAACGGTGGGCGAATTGCACCTGAAATTCCTCCCTCCGCCGCGCTTGGTCTTAAACTTGCCTGTTCGATAAGTATTCAAGATACATCTCCGATCTAGTCAGAATTGACTTTTACCTGAGCCTCTGACCATCTTATTTTCTTGATGTGATGCTGCGAAGAGTCAAGAGATTCAGAGCTATCAGACGGATAAGATAAAAACTAGCCAAATGGACTTAAGCAAAGCTTATGTCAGCAACTCCACTCCGTTCAACACGACGCTACCATTACAGTTACAAGTCCAGGCTGACCATGACCACAATACCCTCCCGACTCGCGCAGATGACGCGCATATCAAGCAGCCGCGCAGAAGTGCGCCTTCGAGCTATTGACCTATACAGGGCATGGGTCCGTGCTGTACGTGCACTACCGATTGAGCTAGCTTCCTACCCGACATTAACCGAACGATCTTTTGACAAGGCTCCCGAGATTTGTACAATCTATGCATTGAACGTCACTCCAGCACACCTGCGCCATTCAATTCGCCAAAAGTTTGAACAGAACCGCCACGTAACAGACCAGCGCGCCATCGAGGTGTTACTGCTCAAGGGTCAGCAGGAATTGCAGGAGACGTTAAACTGCTGGAAGCAACCAGACCATATATATGGGATTATGCTCCAAAATAACCAACGGCCACACCGAACATTCCTGCAGAAGTTCTATGAGGGTGAATTTCACTTTGTTCCCTTTTATTCGATCGCGCTCATTCGATGTACCATGATAGGTCGTGACGAGGATGCTGTTCTTCCTGCTGCATCTGGCGTTGTATAGAACATAGAAGAGAATGATCACTTTGCTTTCTTCTGGTACCGCCATCTCCTTTCGAGGCATTGATTATGTAGATTTATACGTACGTGGTGGGTGGATAATGTACCGCTTGCGCGGCCGTTTTGCTGCCTGAAATTTTCAGGTTCCTCAGATAACATTCGACTATTTCAGCCCACCCCCTGGTTTTGAAGTGTGACCTGCAGTCCGGTGCCTAGACATTCTACCAGGTGTACCGAATAGCGGGTGTCCAGTGTATCAGTGAGAAATGTGACAAAGCGAATATTATTGACAACATCGCTGAAGATAGTTTGGCTAGTGTGTTAGTGTACGTATATGATTGGTACATAATGCAAATTTCTTCCCGAGCGAACAATATTCAATGTGGTCATGACAGGCAGTCAAGCGGATCCGGCTCGCTATCGTCGATTCGATGCAATGTGGCGCTTGCCTTAATGCGGTCTAAGACATCCTTGGGTGGACCTCTGGATTTGGACTTGGAGTTGGGCTATAAATCGGTTTGTGAGAAGATATCAGGACACTAATAGCTATATAGAACCAACCTTTTCCGTCCTCGGCTTTCTCGATGGAATGGCGTTCTCTTTTTGTTTCACGGAGGAAATATGCACGCTGAAGCCGCAGATTGTGGGAGCGCTCAGCCAGTTTTTGTTATAGGACGTACCGTGGCTTCGGTTCTTCATCAAATCTTGCCTTCTTTGAAACAGGTTTCTTAGGCATGTGATCTTCGTCATCCGATTCCGGTGGGCGTTCCTTCTTCCTCTTTGTATTTTGTTTCATAGCTGAATGAGGTTTCCTGACAGCAGAGTCTTCCGCATCAGGTTTCGACACCGCAACGGAGTTGGATAAAGGCGAAGATTTAGCGCCTTGGGATTTGGACACTTTGGGCTTCTTGAGAGGTTGTTTCACATCTCTGCTAACATCGTCATCAGGCGCGCTGCGTTTGGGGTTAGTGGCAGACTTCTTCATGGGGATATCAACGATCAGAGATCCATAAGTTTTTGTTTTCACTGTGTGTGGAGACTCCTCATTGACTTCTGTCCACTTGGAATGTTTCCGCGTCTGAGAAGAATCTGTCGGCTCTGTTGTTGAATGAAACGTATTGAGATGATGTTCGCAGCGATTTATATGTGTATAAAGGCATCACCTTCATCCGAGTGCTCCTTGCGATTCTCTGTGCGTCGTTTGGCTTGTGCTCGATTAAGTGGAGCCTCTTTGGCGGAGGGCTGTTTGTGAGCAGACTTCGGAATCACGGAAGGCTCAGCGGTTGCAGGTTTATTGTCAGGCATATGCGCATCCTCATCATCGGATTCGATTGTGACGATAACGGGCTTGCGTTTAGAATGTGTTTTTGGTCGGGGAGCTTCTACCAAAGTGCCTTCGTCGTCTGATCGAGGCGCCTCCGCTAATTTGGCTTTGACTTTAGATATGTCAGGTGGTTTTGCCTTTGACGTCCGCGTCTTTCGGTTTAATGGTTCAAGATTAGCGTCAATATCTGTGTGAATGATCATCTACATCTACGTATGCAAAAAGATGGTGAGGATGAACGTGCCAAGATCACCAGCTTGAGGTTTGGTCTTCGGCGGCCGTCCTCGGCGTTTTGGAGCAGGTTTGACTTTGGTTGTTTCTGCTTCTGAGACATCGTTACCTGAAAACTAGTATAGGAAGTGATCCCAGCAGAATAGGAAAGAAGCTAACCGTCAGTAGCTTTGGCCTTTCCTTTACCCTTGCGAGTAGTATGACCTGCTTTTTTCTTTGTCTGCGCCTTCGATATTTTGCTTCCAGACTCGATAGAGGGACCTGCACGATGATCGACTGATGACGTTGCACGTGAAGTAGTGAAACGCACCTGCCACAGCGTTTCCACTAACCAAGCCCGCTGGCTCCTCGGTGTTAGTTTTCAAGCGTGAAACCCTGTCCTTGATATGACTCTCTTGGGCTTTACTAGTCGTCTTGTTGCGTTTGGCCTTTGATGGGGATGTGCTATGGCTTCGGTGGCGATAGGGTGACTTCGTGGCCACTTTTGAAGGGGACTCTCCAGAAACGGTGCGGGCCAACAGAATATCCTTAAGGGCATTCTTTTCCGAGGGAACAAATGCACTACAGAGGGCGATTGGGGTGAGTTCAATACATGTAGATAGTAGGTATGGGGTACTGACCCTCCACGATCTCTGAATCGTGCTTGCTGTCTCTGAAGACGTTGAGCCTTGCTCTCCTCCACAGTCACAGGCAGCATCTAGACCTTACGAAGAAGTAGAAGATGAAGCTTAGCGTGTCAAGACTTTGGTCAGACTCTAGAAACTGAAGTCATGTGATAGGCAAAAGTTAATCACGTGATACGCGATTGCCTGTGTCTCCTATTCTCAATTTTCTCACCAAAGCTCGCAACTTTAAACCACCATGACAATGACTGGCTCGTTCTATTCTTATGGTTATGCTTTATTTATCGCATTTTATGTCAGAATGACTCTCCGTGAGGAATCAGAATCTCCAAAGGACACATTCTTCGAAATTAGGTCACGCATACTCGTTTCCTCCCAGCTCCATCTGCCCACTCGTTTACATATTCATCTTCGTCTCACTCACCGACCTCGGGTCTAATGGCCTCGATTTACTCGGTGGATGGCTATTTCGATATGGAAATGTCTAGCGCGATGATGTTGTCGGCCTCTATGCCAAACAGTATCTTGGCGACAAATATAAGGCTATTTCGATAAGAGCGAAACTAGAATATGCTCTTTCGGAACGCAGGTTCGATGCCAGTGTGCTCCGTGACTCACGTCTGGATAATGACAATGCCCAACATCTTTGGCTTTGAAGGCTTGAACCCTTCGACCGTTTACTACAGCTATAACACCTCCAGTGTTCCGAAGTTCGTTGTTCTAGAAGTATGTGATTAAACTAAAAGTATATACTAGCTTATTTTAGGCTCATAACAGGTTTGGCGAGGGCTACTTATACGTGCTGGAGGTGGGTAATTGCGAGGACAACAATCGAACATGAGGGCAAGGTCTTATTTCAATAGCCCTTCTTTCTCTCACCCGCTTCAATTCGGCTACGATCATTAATGAACTTCTCCCCGAAATTTCATCATTTCAACGACCGTACCGGATTTTACACAGTTGCTGTCAAAGCACCTTCATCACCTTTATCTGACACCCCACGTCCGGATGTTCCGATCTACTTCAAGTTATATATATTCCAGACCCCGACAACACTGACTCAATCGTCACGCACAAGTAGAAGACTCACGGAGTTGGACTGCTCCCCTTCGTACTGTCACCTCCTCGCCACTGACAACGTACAACCTAATCTTGTTCCTCATGGCAAACTTCCTGGGTCTCTTCAGCACGCTTTCTCGGATGCTCTATTAGGCACTCATCCTGCATCACAGGAAAAGGCTCAACGTTTTTGCAAAACCAGATCCGTATCCGTCCATTCGGCAATCAAGCAAGAACATGCAGTCGGAGGAGATTACATGACAAAAGAAAGGCTTTATTGAGAACCACTTTCAGAAATTTTTCTATTTCTGCAGTGGCGATGCCAGGAAGTCAACCTTGTTGTCAACCTCCTCTCGGGAAATCCTTTCGTTCAGCCTATCGTTTTCTCGTCTGGTCCAGATGGTTCCAGCCCCCGGACCCTGAGTCGGATTATATCCTACATTTCCCCACAGGTTTTCATCCAAGCCTTCCTTGCGCCCTCCGCAAATTTCCTGCTTGCATTTGGCACTGTCGAAGGGCTGTTCACTCTGTCCGACAAATAACTGTTCCTAGAAATCCTCTCATGTCCCTTTCGACTCACCAAATAAGATCCCTCGAGGTTCGCCTGTCAACTTCGTCCCCCTTACTGTTCCTTCATCTCTAACTGGCTTGCCTGATCTTCTTGCTGTGAGCACAGTGACGGTGCTCGATTAACCGGAAATGCTAGTGTTTAGCACTGCTATGGTGAGGTTTGTGAGCGGAGACGAGCTATGGCTAAGAGCGCGTTCGTACAGAGCGTTGTTTCATATGAATATAAAACCAGAAACTCGCTTGTCTGTGGTAGAGGTCAAGCAAAGGTTGAGGGGATGATTCGAAACTTGTATTCCAGTAGTAACTTGCATATGGCAGGCATGATATCTTTAATTGTAAATTTTCCACCAGAACCGGTGAACAGCTTGTATATATGGACTAATTCTTGATCATCGTCCTCCTGTGCTAGCATAGTGTGGGTGGTACTCAACTGACGTATATTGTAGCGCATTGCAGTGATTATTAAAGCCTGAGTGCAAAGGTAAGCACGATCGGTAGAATATGCGTTCAATTTGTCCAGCGATGAAAAACTGGGTGCAATCTAATAACTAGGCGAGTGAGGAGGCGAATACTTAGCGTGATAGATAGGACACAACGATTGAGTAAGTGCTATGTACTTGGGTCCCAACAATATTTTGGAGGGCTTCCTGGCTCTTCAAGCCGATGCCGCAGTCTAGGATCAATAGTAGCGTCCGGCGGTGTTATTGGGGTGAGGGAATATGGAGGGTGTTCGGCGACTCCTTCCTTCGGAGATGGATCGAAATCGTCCGAAGAATGTTGAGTATCTTCCAAATCCTGCATCTCCACATCGCCTCTGTCCGCATCATCCGCTTCACTTTCTGACCCATTGCCGAGATCCATTGCTTCATCGACGGACATCACCATAGGTACATCGCCTCCTTCTTCGTGATCATTTTCCTCGATCGTGAGTGAGGCCGCTTGTGCAGTAGACGATGAGGCTTTTCGCTTAGATTTATCGTGCCTCCGGAGCACCTTGGTGATATATTCCTTCGCAAACTTCTTGATTTTTGCTGTCTTCTCGTCAGATAGCGCGTCCAGTTTTCCATCTTTATAGCTGGAAGATTTTTTCTCCTTCTCGGCAATGACGTGCGTAAGCTGGGGAATAAAATCAGTGGACGATCCCCTTGTAGAGCAGTGAGATGACACCCACCTCCTTAGCATATTTCTTGAACTGGTCGTGGTCAAGCTGTTTTGAATATTTGGACATGCATTTGACGACGACGGCGCCCACGAGCTTCAATAGCCTCTTCTCCTTATTTGCCTCCTTTTCCTCTGCTGTCTGAGTCTTCTTCGGAGATCTTTCTTTCTTCACCTTTTTCTCTTCTGGAGGTGGCGGAGGGGGGGCCTTGGCGGCTTCCGCCTCAGCAGCTGCTTTTGCAGCAGCGATCACAGCAGCAATTTCGTCTTTCGATCGCCTATGAACCACTGGCGGAAGGTAAACGGATGGCCACTGATGCTGAACAATAATGGTAGAGGTAGAGGTAGAGGGCGGGCGTTTAGGGGCGGGGCGGAAATGGTGCTGTTCGTACTGATCTTCCCATTTCGGCTTCTTGAGTGGGCGGAGTTCCCCTTCTAGTGACTCGATCATGGCAATGTGGTGCGGAGGCTGCTCTTCCTCACCATCCTGCATACTTTTAATGATACCGTGTTCTTACTGGCTGGAAACGGAATTATCACTTACAGCTTTAACTCGCTTGGGAATGCGATATGCAATTTCGAGGGTGTCCCAGTGGTCCAAGAGCTGTAAATATCGCGTTAAAATTATGATGAGCTTATGAATGATATCAACGACCTTTTGGGCAAGGCATCTCATGGTTTCGTTTTCCGACTCGAGACACATTTGAACAGGTATGGTAATCTTCGAATCGTCAACCTTATTCCTCTGGATAAGCGGCCAACGGCTCATGGCCTCCAAGGCCTGTCACGGTTACGTTATTATGTGACCACCCCTACTTGAGAGTAATGACTCACGGCAATTGTAATATCGATGTCTTTGGCGTGATCTTCGAGAATATTGTGCATTAAACTGAAGCCTCGCAACCGCATAACCTGGCGTAGTGCCGCTTGGTCCTCGGTGATCTTAGGACAATACATTAGACTTCCCAACAAGATCGACGTGAAGGCATACTTTGATTCGAGTAAGAAGTTTGAAGAGGACTTTCTTACTCTGCGTTTGCCGGATCGCTTGAACCAATTTTGGGATGTCCTTCTCAAGGAGAGGTTTGAGCTCTGGCTGAAAAACGGTGAGTAACAGAAGAGAGGGATCATTCGCAAGGCATACCATGTAGTCCTCGTCAAGCTTTCTGCCTTTCTTTCTCTTATTACCCTTGAGGCCCAGTTTCTCCACTTCATCGGTAATACCCAATGCTAAGAGAGCAGAAGCATTGGCAATCAAAAACAAGGTATTCGCTGGCAGGCGCACCGTCGAGATAAAGGTCATCCATCCCAGCGATATCAGTCTGGGTCTTGCCACCCAGGAAGCCAACACAGTTGGCTTCTCCGCAGTAACACGGTTGTGCTTCATGCCTTGAACGTATGAGCTCACCTGAAAAAACAATAAAGAACCGAGCTTACCCGTAACGGTCCACATTGTAATTGAAGGTGAGTTCCTCATCTTTGCGTATGTACCTGTTTGCAAAGATGCCCATGCGGACGTGCTTTCCCACTGTCCATTTCGCGACGTAGCAGTTTGGGTTGCAACTATGATTTGCGAATCTGCCGATGCCACCTCGCTTTGTAGCATCGATGTACTGGAAAACCATCAGTGGTCTGTGGAGACACGAAAGGGTGAGGCAACATACTTCATCTTTCTGCAACATCATGAAGTAGAAGTGCTTGACTCCTTCCTCCGCATATTGACGCATACGCTTCATGAAGGAAGGGTGGCTGACGACATCGCCGACATACTCATAGATGAATGTATCCCTAGCTGATGTGAGGGCTTATATGCCTCAGAAAGAACGAGATATCTCACTTTGAAAGATCCGTGCCAGTTCGAAGACCAAAACCCTTCTTTTCCGTCTGTACTATCTCAATATCGGCGTACTCCTTGCGCTGAAACCTGAATACGTGCAATTGAGGATGCGGCAGGTTAAGCAATGGTAGTAAAAGAGTGAGGGGACGATAGTCTTACCGTTGGTTCTGGCAGTAGACCCGACACCGACAGTCATCTGGGAGGCACTCCACCTGTGTGAGCCGATTGATACAATCTGACTCATGCCCACAGGCATCCGATGGGTCGTCGACACCTGCGCAGCAAGACCTTAGAGTCTACAACTACTCTACTCAAGAGGGTATCAGACCAACCATGCTCATATTGACAGTCACAAGTCATACTCTCTCCCTCCTCTCTTGAGCGCCCAAGCGTCCCATACTGATAGTGGTTGTCGGGTATCTGCACAAATGTTGCGTGAGCGGCGGCTTCCGCGCGCGGAAGGTCGCCAATGAGCTGTGGGCCTGTTGGTTTGGGTTTGACATTGGCTGCGGATTCAGAAGATTCTCGCTTGAGGGGCGGTGATGGCTCCGACTTGGAGGGCTTAGTGTCTACTGGAGGAAAAGGGATTCTTCTAGCTTGATATCCTCCTCTAGCTTTGGTTTAATGTCCACATGGGGGCTCTTGCTCTTAGAGCGAGATTTAGACATTGTGGTAGGGGTGTAAGTGCTCGAAAGCGTGAGTTCGCGGTTAGAAATGGGAACAAGACCTCTGAGTCAAGGAGAGGCCAACGTTAACAATAACAACTTCAACTCCAGATCCTATACAGGCGTATAGAAACTACCAGTATGAAATGCTGTAAAATAAAATATAAATGAGTTCACATAAGTTTGTGAAACTGACCTGACAACTTGTGTTGTGTTGTAAAAAGTCACGAGCTGCGGCAGTGAGCCCGATCTTCCAGCCAGCGGTCACTAATGGCTGCAATGGCAACTTCCAAGAAGCGCAAGCGCGAGTTAGATGACACTCAAAGGGTGTCCTTTGCGCTCTCAGACCAGCCTGCAACGCAGCTGGGCCCCGTTCTTGGTGAGTGCAGATGGTCGTCACAGTTGAAGCTTTTCAATTCAAGCAAAACCGGTGGTGCCACGTCCCCTAGCTAATTTCCCCTCCGTCAAGCCCATAAAATCCACCTCTTTCAAATGTTACAAGACACAAACACAAAAGCCGACGACGGACAATGAGGAAATGCCGTTCGTTGAGATCCCGATGCTAATTGCGGGCGAGACGGAAGCCGTGGATTTTTACTCCTCTGAGGAAACACAACGGGGTTCACTGGGAAGCAGGTGCGTGCATACACTCTGCGTTCATTGCTGAATATTGAATCCTCATATCTATCTTTTCATCATTTATTTCGTAGATACCTTGTCGGAGTGCATAATAAACGCACCGGCGTCACAACCCTTCGAGCCGCTCCGTTGCATATCCTCACACACGAAGTTAAAGCCCTTAAGGGTCTCCAACCTGCTGCTGTCTCTACTCTTCAGCGGCTTGAGGCCCGCGCGGCACTTGGCGAAACGTTCGGAACCAAAAAGGCGAAACTAGCCATCCGCGCACAAGAGCGCAACAAAGTCGACGTTTCTGCCATGGAAGGTGTTGCAGATCACCTCCAAGAGAGTATTCTAAAGAACACATCTACACTACCATCGAAAGGTTTGCTTGTTTTCGTCCCTTCCGTTTTCATACTTAATGGTGTCTCTAGAGGAAGCAAAAGCGAATGCGGACAGTACTCGTTTAGTTCCTCAGTACGACATTGATGCTCTCAATCCAAACGACATATATCCCTTGCACAATATGGTTCCTAAGCCTGAATGGAAGGCACTGTCCATTTCTACTTACATGAGTGCAGGCGGTAGTGCCGAGCGGGTCGCTCTTCTCCCCTTCAAGCGTTCCAACTGGATCAATGATCACTTGACGCTTGCATTTGCCTCTCCCTCACCAAACAAGACCACTATGTATGTAGTGGTGTTGTTCATACCTAGAACTCACTGACAATGATATTTCCAGAAAAATGCTCATATACATCTCGACAATGATTGCCTTCCACAAGGCCACCTTTAAAAATGTCAACAAGGACGTCATTCAACAGAAACTGCCGATGGTTCCTATCGTTGTCATTGATGGACTTCTATCACGGTTTACAGAGACTGCACGCGGGTCCGTAGAGTACGTCTTTTATACCTTCCTCTGGGTAGTGGCCCTCAAAATTTCCCAGGGCAAGAAAGACATCTGAAAAAGGGACTATGCTTCTGACACACATGTTTGCATTATGCCTTCACGTCGACGATTTTGCAACCGACACAAGCGTTCTCGCCGCTGATTTGAGCATGGAACCGGCGAAGTAAGTTTTCCAGTAGCAAGAATCATGCACTAAGTTCATGCCTTGGCAGAGTCAATATGTTGTTCAGGTCCCTGGGTACGTGCAGCCTGATTTCAGTCGTCCTTATCCCTCACTGATTGTGTTCGTCTTATCAGGTTGCAAAATCAACAAGCTAACACCGTCCGACTTGAGGCGTCTGGGTCTGCCCGATTCTGCGGGAGAGGTCAAAAGGGCTATTCTAAAGACACCTCTAGAGTTCCCGAAACCCCGGATGAGACGGCGGACGTAAGATTGGAGTGGCTGATCTTTACTTTCTTCCACGGAATCAAGGAAAAAATTACTAGGTCCTGGGAGGTGTTGGAGCAATAGTGTCTGAGTAACGAAGACTAGTGCCTAGTTAAGTCTATCTCACGTCGTCCAGTCATTTAGCATGTTTCATTGTTTGCTCCTGTTCCTCGTTCTGTGCATCAGTGAAGCATCAGCAACTTGCAGAGAAAGACAACGCGTCGTATCTGCTAAGTGAGCGAGAGTGGATTTAAGTCTAGTGACTCTTGAAAGCTAATAGAGGAATTATAACTGTTGGGGGCAGCTCATTATTTCGAAGCTAAGAGTGAGCATCAGTACCTTCGATCCAACAATCGCATGCACACCCTTTGAAAGTGGTAGTTATATTATGTCAGACCAGTCAAGTAGTACCACCGCAGCGTTAGAAACTAGTAGAGGTCCGACCTCGTTTATTTGTAACATCCGAGTGACTCTCGGGAGGAATATTATACATACCACTGAATGACATCCATCACTTGCTCTCTGTAGTGGATATTGAACTCCAGCAAGGTATCAGGATATGATTTTGTCTTGGAAGTTATGTGGCCGTGAAGAAGGTTCGGGAGCATTCAGCGCTTCAGCCCCGGAATCTTTGTCATTCCTCACGTAGATGAGTCTGGAGACAGTTACGTACTGGATATTTAGCTGTTGCATATCCTACACATACTTATATGGTACAACACGGGACTGCTCGATACCCACACTTGACCCTTGTATAGTTGCACCTCACGCCAATTTGATTACTACCTTTCCGACATGCTTCTGGCTCTCGAGGTACGCATAAGCCTTGGTGGCTTCCTCGAAGGGAAAGACTTTGTCTATCACTGGATGGATTTTGCCCGCTGTAAGGAGTCGATTCATGTCCTCAAACCTATAAGTTGGGCATCAGTACAATAGAGATATGAAAATCAAACCATACTGTTTGACAGAGCCAATCAAAATTCCGCGGAAGTTGATCGCTTTCGTGATCGCAAGGCCTACGGGAATACCGTTATCGCCCTGCATAAATAAGTAGCGTTAATGGTATCGATAAAGATCCAGATTGAAGCTTACCCCAGACACGAAGCCGATGATGTGAACCCATCCAGCATAACGTACGGCATTGATACATTTCAGTATAGTATTGGGCCCTCCGACCTGTATCACACTTGATTGAGTTCGCCACAATTGTGCATTTCTAGGCAGACTAACTTCGATGATGTGGTCAACGCCACGGCCGCCGGTCTAAATATATTAGGCGCGCTAGTGAAGGCCGCAAAATTACACATACAATATTCAAAACTTCTTCGTCCCACTTAACGTTCTTCTTGTAGTTGATGATGTGCTGCACACCCAATTTCTTTGCGACTTGTAGTTTTTCATCAGAAGATGATGTGACGATGACGGTCGCACCAGAAGCAAGGGCTAATTGGGCGCCGAAGCTAACAGATCCACTTTTACACAAGTCAATATCGTCAGTGAACTGTCACGTACATTGAAACGCCACCGGTACCGAGAACGAGAACGTAGTCTCCCCCTTTGACAGGGACGGGTCCAAGACAAGCGTTGTAAGCTGTTAACGCTGCGCATCTAGCGAAAGTTTAAGCATGTTAAGATAAGAACAGATAGTAAACTTACGGAAGAGTCGACCCTTCCTCGTATGAAAGATGTTCTGGGATGCGGACCAACGACTTAAATAGACATATTCGCAACCAATACGACACTAAAATCAAAAGAACACATACGTGAACGGGGACGTTGATGTACTCCTGGAGCACGCCATCGATGTGGCCACCAAGTCCAGTAAATTTAATATCTTCAGTGACATCGCCATGGATATGGTCCAGTGCAAAGTTTGGGCAGACACGATCTCCAACTTTCCACCCCTTGACCTCTTGCCCAAGTGCAACAATCTCGCCTGCGCCATCAGAGCAAGGAACGATGTCTCGCTTTTGCCTGTGAGATACGTGTTGAGCGCCAATTCAAACTTAAAAAAACAATACTAACTGCGGGTAAATTCCTTTGGAGACCATCAGGTCACGAAACTGAAAGTACGTTGAATCTCTGACAGTTGAATACTTAAATGAGGACAGACCTGCAGGGAGACGGCATGTATTTTGATGGTAACCTCGGTAGCCTTCGGCTTAGAGAGAGTCACTGATTGAAGCTTCAAGTTTTGGTGGCCATCACCCTACCTCGCCGTGTTTGTGAGTTAATGTCGACCTCTGTCGGTAAGTATACAAATCACGCGTACCTGGGTGCGATATTCACGAAAACTAGTTGGAACAGACATCACTGCTTCAGCTGTGCGTCACGGTAGGATAATCTGGTGGAAGATAGGATATCAGTTCCTGCTGCCTGAGACTACCACTTACTTATAGTGTAGGAATAAGGTTAATGATGGAGCCAAGTGCGTGCGAGTGCGTCCTACATAGTGCCCCACGGTGATACCTGCGATTCGGAGTAGTATATATAGTTAGTGTGTTTACTTGAAGGTCACTACGACCGATGATTGCAGCTCAAGAAGCTCAAAGTTTTGTACACTTGGAACTAACGGTAACGTATTCTTCTCCAAACCGTCTGCAAGCTAAACCGCTTTCGTATGATTCAGCTTAATAAGACCGGTAACGTTACTTGGACCTTACGTAATATAAGCGGGGAACTTTGGACACAGGCACATGTGCGTTCGTGGGAATTTGATAAGTTGATGACTGTACAAGCTCGGTAAACTGACTATTAATAATTTAATATTGATGTGCTTTGTGAATGTACTCCGTGGTCTGCCTATGCATATATCAGTGCTCGCATTCTAATGGTCTTTCCTGTCATATCTGAATCTGTGCCATATTTTTGCAATGTACAGTGTGATATCCTGCTTTGTCACTTCCTTTGCACTCTGCCTTTAAAGAGCCCTGACAAACGTTACATTGCACAGATACTATCTATAGAGTGCGGAGCCGTCGTGACGGAGCGCCTCGCTTGCACGAGCGCATGAAAATCTATGAAAAATGGACAGACAGGAATAGAAAATACAGACGGTACGGCCCGGGAGCCTTCATGCTGTCCGTCGAAGTGAGTGGCCAGTCACAGTGTTCTGTTGGAGTGCTTACATCCCTATTATGACGCCTCATAGTGAATTGAACTGCCTGTTCGCGCAGTTTTCTTTCAAAGCTTACATGATTCAAAAGTAGTCGTCATTTCAGCTTATACTGGCGTGCCTTTGAGTTTGCCAATATTTGTAGTCATCCAACAAGCGGTTGACCCCTTCAGCGTCAGACGATGCACCCTGCCACAGTGTGTATCCATGTCATTTATCTTCAAAAATGATACTCTTAATGGTCTGATGCTCGAAAAGGCAGGCATCATCGACGATTCTCCCAAGTCCACTGCAATGAACGTGTGCGCTTTGCGATATTACCAAAGAAAAAGATCCTTCGATTTGCCTTGGAGCACTCCTCAGATCCAGTGCAACCATCACGACAGGTCTTTCATAACAATATATGCGCGCATAAAATGAATGCTGTGTCTACAGCATCGTGCTGCCTCGAACTCCTGCCAGTATCAACGGGCTGAGCATTGTGTTTGTTGATCTTGGAAAATTCAAACCTGATCAGTTGGGGTTACTCGTATGGTCGAAGTATCACCATCGGTTGTATTTTAACATACACATCGAACGAGAAAACTTGAATATTGAGCTCAAGTTATCCTGCCAAGTCCCGACGATGCAATGCCTGGCTTGCCAGAACGCGTACTCGAGAACCACAAGCTTGGTGTCAAAAGGGTGTTTGAAGGGGAGTCAGCTGTACTGCAAGAGCATCTTGCAGAGCTTGTGGTGGACGGAACAATCGATGACTCCAGGTCCGTTGTAACGATGCTTTGAAGGTGGATGTCTCCGATCTAGAGTGCGACAACATTAGATGGCCTCATTCCAGGCACATACCCCACCCCTTTCCCGTTTGGAATCGGAGAGTTGAAGGTAACAAAACTTCAAATATATGTCACCTGTCTGGACAGTCTGCGAATGTTGACTACGGCCCCATTGGAGTCGGGGGTTGGTGGCTCGCAGTAGCTACGATGTTGTGACGGATGCTTAGTGCAAACTGCACGTGGTTTCGTCAGTCGAATGGCAATAACTGAGGATACTAATGCTTATATTCTGGACACTGTACGTACCTGTAACAGTGCAATATCCACATGTACATTAAACAGAATAAATAGTTCATCGTCCCAAGAGAATCACATACGCTAGACCTGATTCAGGGGTTCATAGCCTCTCCGACTGGAGCCCATACCCATCCGCATACTGAGCTTGCCAAGTAGACTTTTACTCCTGCTGCTGCTGGGGCCTTCGTGATCGTGCTCAAGGTCGCCCCGTTCCGCTTCCTTCCGTTTCTTGGCCTCGTCGAAACCTTCCAAGGGCACATCATACACCTGGCCATACTCCACGCCAAGTTCCTTGCCCATACTCCAGAAGTCCCTGCAGTTCCGTACAGCTCCGAAGTCAAATGGATTGCGTGCATGCGAGGTGAGTCCGCGTGCGGCACGTCCACGGGTGAACCGGTCGAGGCCGAGGAGGTTGAGTAGGAAGGCGGTACATGTACCGGGCGCAGTGAGGGTCCCGCAAAAAGTATGGTTATGTGCCTGTTTGTGAGCACCACCCTCTGCTTCGCTGTCGGTGTCGGCATTCTGCTGGTGAGCGCCATGATGGTGCCGATGTCCCATCTGAATACCGGCGCCTCCACTGCCAGCAGCAAGGGTGCCGCGACCGCCCATGAAGCCGAAACGCCCGAGATTGGAGACCTCGAACGTTGTTAGCTGTCTAGTCACTTGCCAGTACTGTGTCACGAGAAGTACGGAAGTCCACGTCAGTTGCAGTGCTGACCATAGTGAGACACAAAGAAGGAATGCATCCTTCAATGCTGGCTCGCAGAGGATTATGGAGCAGTCAACGGATTCTGGTAATGATACCGACGAGAAATCTGGCATTACTCAGTTGAGACTCTTCAGAAAGATGATGATCGAGAACATACATTCATAAACAAGGTAATCAAACAACACGATGTCGATGACTAGTGTCGAGACAAATAGTAAAAACTGCCTGTGGTTATTTGCTCCGACTACAAACTGCATCAGAGTTGGAGTGCCAGTATTCAAAGAACTTAGCTTACCACAGTTCCAGACCCATGGACAATGGCTATGACACACGAAGTTCACTTTTGTAGCTCTCTATGAAAGGACAGGACATACTGGTCACTTCGCGCTACACATCGATCACAAATCCGACAATGTTTTGACCGTAGGGGTTTCTTTGCCTGTGTAAAATGTTGACATAAGTTTGCACCTTACAAGATTGACACGCACCATGCATTGTATGCAGAATGTCTGCCCATTGAGTCTGCCCTCTGAAGCAAGGTCTTCGATTATCTGCAATCTCCGTTACTATGTGCATATTCATAGTAGAACGCTTATACACTCACTGCCTTCAATTCTCCGTCATGTGCTGGTCGGGGGCAAAGACCTGGGTCCAAAGTAACGGACCGGAAGAAGTTATACAAGCATAGACCAAATATGATTGCGAAAGCCAGGTGAACAAAGGGATGAGATTCTGTCTCTGGAGTGATGTCAGCCTGCGGCTGCAAAAGTATAGCATATGACATACGCTGCACAAGTCGTGTTATCCAGCAATAACCAACCCATAGCATCGACCCTGCGATGATGCCTGCGAAATATGGACTTTGGTTTACTGTTCCAACGTAGGTGTTCTTATTCAACAGTACCCGGGTTACGATCTGCTTGTCATGAGTTATCGTATGGTTATGGCAAGTTTGTCGCCACTTACATGATGCATGGCAAAAAACTCAGCCATGGCGAGTATAATGCCGGTATACCACGGCAGAATGGCAAGCGTTGTGAAAATGAAATATAGAAACAAGGAAGGTAAGATGAAGGTGGCAAATTTGCTATTGCGCTAGAGCCGGATCAGAGTTTGCGGGGCGAGATCAAAGGGAGTGAACGGACCTCGTTCAATGGTTTCGCTTTGACCACACCATGTTCCGTCATGCCACCCTCTTCCATGGCTCTCTTCCACGCGCCTAGGCTCTTTAATTCAACAGCCATGTCTCTTGGTGTACGGCCCTCAACATCTTTTGCGTGCATGTCTGCGCCCATTTCGATGAGGCGCCGGAGAATAACTCGATTGCCTCGGACCACAGCCCAGTGTAAGGGGGTAAGTCCAACATCATCTTTCAAGTTGGGATTCGCGCCGTGCTTAAGCAGAAGATCCACGGACAGTGCATCGCCTTGATACGCAGCCCACATCAATGACGTATGACCTTGTAAGTCACGAGAATCGACGTTCACAGGTTGATGCAGTAAGTAAAGGAGTGGCATTACTGATGATGAGTGTGTCACGAGGTGGAGGGAGTTGTAGCCTTGGGTGTCAGCGATGGTTGGATCAGCATTGTGGGATATGAGCAGTTGCACGATGTAGAGGTATCCATTGCGTGCGGCCCATTGCAGAGGGGTAGCCTGTAGATCACCCCCTATTGCGTCTATTTCCGCGCCCTGTTCTATGAGATAACGGCAGGTTGCAATCTGGGCGTTTATTGCTGCCCAGTGAAGAGGAGTGCTGCGGATATTCATGAGTGTGGCAAAAGCATTTGGGTTAGGCTTACACATTCTGGTCATCTCTGTCTGTGACCTTGCATTTTCCTGACTCGACGAGCTCATGAATGGCACTGAGATCCCCGCGCTGTGCTGCTGAGATTATTTCTGCCTGTGTGACCGTTAGTTAGAGCCTGTAAGAATGAACTAATATTAATTACCACAGGTTCTACTGACGGTTGAGAGTAAGATATATTAGTCGCGGTAGCTTGCTCATGGACTACTTGAGTTGTAGGGTCGGATTTTTTCGGTTCATTCATGTCGTTCGTGCGGTCGTTGGCTGTCGTGGGCGTTCGCAAGTTCACGAGCTGAATGTCATCCACGTGAGTTTATGACGTGACGACGTGACGTGACTACCATCAATAAACCCTAGGCTCGGGTTAGGGTTCTACTACTTCTCACTCCTCTTCCATGGCCACCGCAACAGAAGTATTCCTGGTAGTTGCATCAGGGTACATCCCCTGTCTAAATGGTTCTGGGCAAATTTCTCACTTACATTTTTGAAGAGGACTTCTGTTCATTAGCTGCCGCATCTTCTTGCAAAAGAAGTTGTACAAGGACCTTCAACAACTCGCCCCGCAAGACACGTTGCCAGGGTCCGCAGTGACTCCGCAGTCAAGTAGCACACAACCATGGCATTCGACACTCGCGCAGACGTGTTTCTCACTTTGCTTTTCTGAGTGCAGTATCTTATTCTGCATGCTCATGTGCCAGGGTTTGGATTGGTTGGAACCGAGGTGCGTCATAGCTCGATTGTGCAAGCTCTCTTCAATAACTTAGTCTGCATGGCCATGACAGAATTCGCCTTCTGAGCTGGCGAATAGCACTATTCCTTCTACTATTCACGATCCTTTTACTAGTTCCCATATCTTTCAGCCTCATCCTAACCTACCGTCCTGGTAAGATGCCATAATTCCTCCTGTCTCCCCAAACGTCTTCTAACAATCTCAGATAATCCAGGTTTTGTGCAATCTCGTGCATTGCCAATCCGTGTTGCTTTTGCATTAGCACCTGTGGCACTTTTCATATTTGCCCTTTCATATATTCCACTCCCCGCCGAGCTACTCTTGTACAACCCGCTAACAGCAGTCACTGTACGGCTGGTCACGTTGGGAACCACGGTCCTCGGACTACTTTCCGGGTTCGGTGCAGTTAGTGGTGCATGGGGCATCATCAGCTGGTCTCGGTGAGTGAACACTCGACCAGTTACACTACTATTCAACTTGCAAAGATCAATACCATCGGCATCATCGATTGCGTCTGCTGAAAACGCGCTTGAAAGAGTCAAGAGCGATCTGCGAGATCGTTCTCGTGACTTGGATGACTATGTGAGCTCAAAGGTACTGTGGGCCAGCATAAGTCGTCGCACTTTCGTCTCAAATACTTTAGCCGCAACCAGATGGATCATGGTTGTCACGGATGTCGTTCAAGCGAAATGGACGTACGTATGGTCTGTCTGTTTCTTCTGGACCTGTATTCACATTGTCAATTCCTTGTAAGAACAAAGCTCAGTACAGCAGGAAGTTATTGGTCTCCAAGCTCTTGAAGAGCAGATGAGCATTCGCGTTGTTGCTCTCAAACGCAACCGAATTGCGGCAGAGTATGCAGACTCGTTCACGGGCAAGACTATCACGTGGTCATGGGCAGTTTATTGCGTCTGCCGAGTATGTAGTGTAAGCGGTCTTCCCCTCGTCTGTAAAACTCTCAGACATGTCTATCCCAGTCAGCCTTCAATATTCTCTCCCCGACCGTGTCGAACTCGGGTTCCTCTTCCGCATCATATGGGGATATAGTTGCGCACATACTTGCATGGCTGTTCTCTTTGCTTCCCTTGTCTGCGACAGGAGATGAAGGAAAACTACAATTCGATACTCCATCTCTATCAAAACAAATTAGTCTTTCCCTTGTGGGCGTCATCATTTTATGTTCCCTCCGCTTGGTACTACGTGGTGTCACGAGAGTGAGTTGTCTGTTGAACTTTCATTTCAGCTATGTACTGATGGCACACAGGCATTTCATGTCACATCACGTAAAACATCAGCGTCGCTGATGATATTGACCCTCGCGCAACTCATGGTATTGGTGAATTATTCTTTGACGTTTCTCGTGTGACCAAACGGGCACTTAGGGCATATATCTCCTGTCGACTCTTGTCCAGCTTCGTACAACCTTTCCGCCGGCAGTACCCCCTGTTATAGGCGACTCCCAAGAGCCTCAGGGATCGTCTGATGATAGCATGAACTTGTTTGCGACGCTGCCAGAGTACTCGTTATTCGGTGGCTTGTTTGATTGGTCATTCCTGATCGGTGCGGCGGGGTGCGCATTCGGTCGCTGGGCGAGAAGTTCATTTGAAGGAGACGACTTGGACGTGTAGTCCTCGAACGTTCGCTGTACATGTACTTGGTAAATACTCTCACTAGTACTCTTGCAATTGAAACACGACCATTATTTGGTCTTGTTGAATTCCCAAGCCGGTGCCCATTCTTACAACGGTACCTGCCTAATCCAGTCTGAAAGCACAGAAGGCCCGTGCACGCGTAGAATTTTTACATATAAAAGGGCTGTCTGAACCACTCGAATCCTTACCACTCTGGCCTTTTGGCTTAGATCAAGTGTAGTATCTGTTCTTAATAGTTTAACCACTATTATGAGGGCACCGCCCTCATTCTTTGGTTATCAAATTTTTGCCGCCCTTGTTCTTCCGAGCTCTGCTTGCAACTTGGAGGATATGATGACCTTGCCACTGCAGTATCGGCTTGTGTTGTCGGGGGATTCTTTGCTTTTGCGATCTCGTCTTCTCTTTGCTATTGAGTCTATCTATGGTCCCCTTGGCCATGTCTGATCCATAGCAAACAGATTCCGACGATTTCTTTGGTTTATGGAATATGCATTGGACACTGCAGGGACCGCATCCTAGAACTCATAAATAAATAAATGGACTTCGGAAGTCGGTAGCGGAGTTGCCCATTTATATTCAACTGCAATACAAATTACCACCGGTACCACACTTTGTGTTTATCTCTATGTATTAGACCATCATTTGTTCGACCCCCACATCTCAAAGAACACCTCCCGGTGTCCTTTGGTCTCCAACGCAACTCGACTTGCCTCGCTTGCACACACAAACATCTATGGTGACCTTTTCAGCTCGAACAACCCCCCGAAAATCATGCAAGATTCGAAATTCGCACCGAAGGAAATCAAGAAGCACTTTAAAGATTTTGAACGCCTAATTCCAAGCACAGTGATACTATATGGCGCTACGCTGAACAATGGACGATCGACACGTCACAGCCAGGCGAAATCCAACGCAAGATAGAAGAATGTATTTGGACGAGCACTATTCTCTACATTATTGGCGGATGGAGCAAAGACAGAAGCTTAACAGCAGATTTTTTCTTGCAAGTAGTGTCGATCTGATCATCCGCGAAAAATATACTGATTTTGGGACGCTCCAGCATGCATCTCGTCACTTCAAGTCTCTTCCTTCCATCCCTGTTGCCTTACCTACCGCAAGACTCGCAGGTTCTTTTGGTTCGCGGATACTTTGTGTCCACTCTTGGTTGGCAGACCACACGCGGCTTGAGTCCCTGGACCGGACATTTCAATGCTTCCTCAGTACAACCTCGCATATTTCAAGGTCGCGAACCCATTCCTCGATATCGTTCAGTCTGCAATAATGCACCCAGACTCTCATCTGTTGAAGATTCAGCGCGCTTTTGCGTATTTCTCTTCATTTTATAGTGCACAGCCAAAGGGCTCCTTCGGAGGTATGGAGCTAGATGTCGCAGAAGCGCTGGATGGATCGCTCTTCCTTAGGACTTCAAGATTGACTAGCAGGGACACGAGGACCTGAAGTCAAGAGGGGTCTCCTGTGAGCGAGGGACCTGAGGAATTTGTGGGTGCTCTTATGCAGTTGTGTGGATAGTGAGTACGAGAAAAAAAATGTATGCTTGATTGCGAGCAACTGAGTAGCCTCCTTGGCTAATTTTAATGACGATCATTCATATCTGTCGGACTACCAAGTATGGCATGTAAGTAAAGAAATTATAATCCTTTTCGCGCAATACACTACCTTGGAACTACACAACGGAGTCAGACGTTAAGCAACAGCAACTGAAATATGCAGAAGGTGATCAGCTAGCTAGTATTGGACATTATGTATGGCTTTAAACACGTAGCATTTGTGGCCGATCTACATAATGATTACACGTGTATACCGGAACTCCAAGTACGGTGTGCAAGCACATGAATCACGAGGTACTCTACACATGCATTTCATAGCTCAATGATATACTGGCACCCACTCTCTATCCCAGTAGCTCATTTGCAACGCAACGGTAACAGACAGGTGGCCATGACGAGTACTGCGAGCGTCTTGAAGACCAACGAGAGCAAGGTGTAGATGTGATTTCGTACTACTGATTTCGTATGCAGGATTTGCAGGACATGGAGCACGGCGGTAGAAGATCTAGTGCGGCAGCAGAGGACCGAGTTCGACAATAGGATACAGTTCGGTCATAGGATACAGTTAGCCACGGGATCAAGGGCTAGCTGTCCAATTGAATTTCGGCCATCAAGTCGAGTTTCCTATGGGATCGCTCCTAGCCATGCTGTCAAAACCAAATTCCCTAGACAGACGAACTTCGAAATCCAAGGGAAACATGAACCTGGAGGGGACTTTCTGCACCAGGACTTGTCGAGAAAGGAAGTAGTGTTAATGACTCAGTGAGTAGAGCAGGCGATTGTGTACCAGGTGCAGAGCATCACCGGGGCGCAAAGAAGGTCCGATAGAGTCAGATAACAAATCACAAGCTATTTCTCATAAATGGCTAGAAAATATACTTGGTGAGTGGTGATTGAGATCTTGACTCACTCTGCCGACACGTACCTCATTTACTTTGAGATCCGGACTGTTTCAGAAGAGAAAGAATTGCATTATTAAAGTTAGGAATGGAGCAGGGCAAGTTGCAGGGTAAGAAGGCTGTGAGCTTTGGTGTCAATTGCGGACAACAAAAACGAACGGACTTGGTGACTGAGTTGAACATGAGACTGAACTCGCCAAAACCACTAGTGAAATGAACGCTTAACTTACGCGCGTTACGGATGCTTACGAACGCTTACGACTTCAGTAGCGCACTCTGAAGATAATATGGGCTTGATTTGATCTCTGAAATAATATAAATAAAACAGACAACATGATGCAGTTGAGCCGCAACGAAACAAAAATATAATTAGTGCAAGTCTGAGCACAATGCACGATACACCTGGTCACAAACTGTGATTGTAAGGAGCCGAGTCAACTTAGGTGCAATAACGACTAAAAAGGTGCGCGAACCGACTCTAGCTGTATATGGCTCCCAGAAAGCGCCTCAAACGCTCGTTTCTGGATTTTGGAATTTCAGATCCTGAATGTTATCCTCGGTGATTTCGCCTGGTGAGCACCTCACCGTGACATAGCCAAAACAGCAACTTGAAGGTTCGGAAATGATCATTAACCATGACAGTTAAGTTAGGTTAAGATATGCAGCCACTCATCTGTTTCATTCGGAGCCGGGTGCCGTGAGCAGCCATACCCGAAGGTAATTCGGCCTAATAAGTTCAACTTGCCACTCACCAGGCTCATCTAGAGTAAGTATGTGCAGGCAACTGAGAACAGACAACATCGTATAAAATCATACCAGCCCCTTCCTTCGACCTTCTCAACACCTCCAGGTCGAGTACAACGAGCGGCACACCATGAGTCTATTGAAGATCCCCTTCATCCTAGTTTCGGCCATCGGCATCCATATTTCGTTGACTTCTCCTTCTCCGCCACCGTCGTCTAAAGAGAAGGTGGTGCCCTCGGCGTTCGAATCCTTCATTGAATGGTTTTCGGAACTTCGCTATGGGGAGTTGATGAAGGTGGGTTGCTCCTAAACACCGGTCGTTGTCCTTATTAATCTGTGGACAATACAACAGATTGGCGTATGGGCAGCATCGTCTGCTGAAGTGGCTAACATCCTAGCCTTGCATATGGGTCCCTCGCATATTCCAGAAGGCATCTATGGCGCTAGGGCTGTGCATTTTTTGCGCGCTCTTCATCCCATGCCAATCACCCCCGCTTTCCTTGTCGGCAGTATTGCTGTCGCGATTGGCGGCGTGTTGAGGCTTTATTGTATCTCGACGTTAGGAAAGTTTTGGAGCTTCCAGCTCAGCGTCAGAAAAGAGCATAGACTTGTGACAAGCGGGCCGTACTCGGTGGTGCGCCACCCAAGTTACACTGGTCTTCTTCTCCAAAGTGCGGGGTTCGCCGTCATGCACGGAAGTCAAGGATCGTGGATGAGGCAATCTGGAATCTTACAAGTGCCTTTCATTAAAGTATTAACAGTGACTAGCTTTTTCGTGTTTATCACATTAGCCACTTGGGGTTCCATCAGCCGACCTGCGGTGGAGGACGAGATGTTGCGACGTGCTCTTGGAGAAGAATGGGAGAACTGGGCAAAGGAAGTGAGATACCGGCTTATTCCTGGAGTTTATTGATTACACACGTACAATACTAAATGCTCTGTGTGTATCTGTTTACTTCCCGTACTGGTACCATGCTGCGAGCCTGCGGAGATCGTTGTTTTATAAAGCTGATTGTATGATGTATGTACATCGTCACCCTTGTCCATGTCATTTCCTACATCGAATAATATGATAACGCCACTGGATGAGAAAGCACTCCGCAAACACGCCACTCAGTCGGGGTAAATACCCAGTACAATTAAAAGTGAACTTGCATACGTATAACACCTTACAACGACTAAGAGCGAGCCCGGGGTGTTAAACGTTAAGCTTTTAAGATTGATCTGGTACTACGAACCACCGAGGATTGAACTAGATGTCCATTCTATTCTCCAACAGTTATGTAAGTGAACAGTTAGGCAGTCATTATGTACGTCATGGTCACCTTCTAACCAAATTGAGCTCACTGCGAGCAAATTCGATAGGATTACCCCTCCATTTTCTTCGACACAGTTCCATTCTATAAGTTCCACCATTACTATTATATGTCGTTTATCCTGAAGGACAAAATCAAACTATAGATGTCTCATCAACTTTAAACACGCGAGTGCCGAGGTATCGCGACCGGAACATTAACGGGCTCCATGGCTTTTAACATTCTGGTCGATTTTGGCTGTTGAGCACGCCAGTTGAAGACTTGAAGTAGACTTGTGTCGTGGCCGCACGTATTTTCTCTTGTCGAGCTGCTACTCACAAGTTTGAACGGTCGAATCTAGCGTACGTCATGTCAACCTCTCACCAAACTGAAATGTATTTCCCTCGCTGTAATATCACTCCAGTTATTCCGCCAACTCCCAACCAAAGGTCTGCATGCGCATTGGGTGCAGCCAAAATATCTCGCATCTCAAACTGCGAGTAGTTCACTAAGAGGTTTCCACCCTTCTAACGCACGTTGTATGCAGCCATTTTGACGATTTCTTAAGGATCTCATAGCCTTGCTTCTTGCGCTCTGCTGATGAGATTGGACGGAAGCGTAACATTGACTTCAGGTATGCGTTCTTCCGAGCCTCTCGTAATCATTGATACATCGTAGTTGAAATTGAAATTGCAGGACTTGGTTTGGTTAGAGCACTCTGGGGGCGTATTTTGGTGTTGGCCGGGTGGTCTACAAAGGTCATGGGTGCTCTAAGGGCTGTACACGCAATACTTTGCCTCTCCATATCAACGCTGCCTCAGGCGCTAGTTCCTACCTACCTATTTCCTCATCTGCAATCTTCACTTGGTTCGGGCCATACATTTCCTTTCTTCAGCAGAGATCTAAACTTGCTCATGCCCAGCGTCGCATGCAAAGGAAGGAGAAGTGCTGCGCTATACTGATAGTGAACTTGGAAGTTGAAAGCATGGTCTAGGACGTCAAGCACAACACTAGTGTGCGCTCCATACTCGTGATCGATAGCCTTCGGCAGGCTACTAACTTTTGAAGAGACGCGTCCGCTCGGCTTCAGTTCCGAGGAGCGCTGCAGTTTTGTCACTTTCCGATACGATCGGGTCGCACGCCAAGATCTAGACTGCGCGAAGTGCGTCGACGTCATGGATGTTTGTCAGACACAGTACTAGTGCCGAGCACTTTGGTAGACGTGTACATTAGGCCATCGCATGCATTTGGAAGCGAGCGTCACAGCTCAGCGCCCTGTAACTATAGGACGAGGATATAATGCATGTTCGCGAGGATGTACCCAGCATATATAACGCCCCTTCTGCATCCCACTCAAAGATGGCTGTAGTTCAACAGACTTATCCCGGCAGCGAACTCGATGCCCTGTTCCCCTCCCCATCGTTCCCGCCGGACGTACTTTCTCCTGCGCGGTATCCTGGTGCTTCCCCAGAAGCAGTTGCAGCTTTGACATATGTTTTGAAGGATAACTATACGAAGCACCATATTTTCTCCAACTACCGGCAGTTCCATAAGTGCGCATGCATCTTAACCAATCCGTGTTTTATGTTGTTGATTCGAGTGTCGTTGAAGCCACATCACTCATCGCGCACTGGCACTTTATGTCACGGGCGCGAATGGATCTCTGATCGAACAGTTCTACAAAGAGGACAGCGCCCACCAGCGCCCAGCCATCGAGCCTCCCGCGGCTATCACCGAAGATAACTTCACCGAACATCTGGGTGACGACAAGTGAGTTTAGAGTTGACGCCAACAAAACCCCGCTCAAACAATTCTTTTCAGCTTTTACGCCGCGTACAAAACTTTCTTCAGCGAGGTTATCGGGGAAAGGGGCGTCAGCGCCACGTTAGAGGAATACATCTTCTCTAAGAAGTACAACTTTGTTGAGGGACGAGATGCATCTGCCCAGTCAGTGATGTTGGCCCGCTTCCTTAGAGGTTTGTTCCACGCCTTCATTCATGTAGGATACGGCGCAGAATTTGGCATCCCAGGCATGGTTGTTGAAGGTGAGCAACGTGACATCATTGTAATCAGGTCCCTGACCGACATCTCAAGGTCTTGCATTGACCAGCGTGCATGAGCATGGGTTCTTACCGTCATATCTTTTTGAGCGTAGCGGCACGACTGCAGTGGAGGAGGCAACAACTCGGCTTGCCTCGCTCGTCCTTGACAGAAAGATATCTGTTGCGCCCTTTCAGCTCGAACAGCCCCCCAAAAATCATGCATTCTCCATTCTTGCCAAGATCATGCAAGATTCGAAATTCGCACCGAAGGAAATCAAGAAGCACTTTAAAGATTTTGATTTTGACGGCCTGATGTCCGAGCACGGTGATACTATATGGCGCTATGCTGAACAATGGACGATCGACCCGTCACAGCCAGGCGAAATCCAACGCAAGATGGAAGAATGTATTTGGACGAGCACTATTCTCTACACTATTGGCGGATGGAGCAAAGACAGAGGCTTAACACCAGACTTTTCTTGTAAGTGGTGTCAATCCAATCATCCACAAAAATATACTGATTTTTGGGGCGCTCCAGTATGCATCTTGTCACTTCAAGTCTCTTCCTTCCATCCCTGTTGCCTTACCTGCCGCAAGACTCGCAAGTTCTTTTGCTTCGCGGATACTTTGCATCGACTCTTGGATGGTGGATCACGCGCGGCTTCCCTAGACTGGACATTCAAGGCTTCCTCAGCGCAACCTCGCATATTTCGTCAGAGATCAAGGTCGCTAACCCATTCCTCGACATCGTTCAGTCTGCGATAACGCACCCAAATAATCATCTGTTGAAGATTCAGCGCGCGTTTGCGTATTTCTCTTCACTTTATGGGGCGCGGCCCAAGGGCTCCTTCGGAGGTACGGAACTGGAGGGCGCAGAAGCGCTGGATGGATCGCTCTTCCTTAGGGCCGCGAAATTGACCGAGGAGTATATGAACGAGGGTACGAGGAGCTGGAGCCAAGAAGGATTTCTCACAATGGATTAGGAGTGAGCGAGGAATTTGAGATGTATCTATTACGAGCACCACTTAGTCAATGCAGTTCGATTTTGCTTTCAGAGCTAAGTGTGTTGATCGTCCGACATCGCTCAAGGCATCCAGCATATGGATCTAAAGGGGGGTAACTCTCAAATGAAGCGGGGAGACTGGAAACGAGAGAGAAAATCAGTCTTCGATTGAAGGGGTGAGGGGAGATGATTCCGAAGGAAGGAGAATAAAAGGTATTGTTGAGACAGAAAACGAAAAGACAACGTGCAGAATGAGCACTTGAGTGACAGTGTGCTATATAAAAGACCAAATCAAGGATTAAACCTTTTTTGCAAACCACTGTAAAATGCAGGATGATACAACTCTAACTTCGAAGTATCGGCAAGCTTGAACAAGAGAGGAGGTGCTCGTATTGTGGCCACAGAATCACTGCACAAAGAAGTACAAATAACGGCCCTGGGTGTTGTGGGCAGAACTAGTGTTCCGTGGAAATCCACCTGGTTATCCACTGATGTAGATATCCACCCAGTTATCCACGTAGATAACTCGGTGGATAACCCAAAGCCAAAATTCATAGGTGGATAACGTGGATAACTGAAAATCGTGTGGGTGTATGGGGTTGTATTAAATATGCATTAAATACACTTAAAAAACTTAAATACCAGGTCTACAAGCTTGTTTCTGCTTGAAGTGAGCTCGAACTAGGAAGAACTACTTGAGGTTAGTTTTACCGCCACAACCAACAGAATAACCGTCCTGCCGATTGGTATAACTCTAGCGGTGAAAAATTCCTATCTACAACATCAATGACCTAGTCCTACTAAAGACATCAACGACGCCTCGTCCCCTCCAACCACAGGACAAAGGATCAGCCGAGAGCCTATTTTCACATTTTTAAAGTTATACACAGTGTACATATTATGGACTAGTTCTCTACCAACCCCGGGTTCTGCCATCTGCCAAACCGGTTGGCAGAACTCTGCCCACAACACTAGACTTTCGGACCAGGAAGATAAGACCAGCTGTACCCTTTTCGGGTCCTGGAATATGATCTCACTGACACTATCCTTCGTTGGAGATGGGCCAAGTTTCACTCACTCGAACCCAGGGGCTTTTCAACTGTGCAATCGGAGTTACATGTATTTTTCGAATCCTCCAGCAACACATTTATTGACCGTGACGCATGACGTACTGACAGGATTCAAAGGAGATGAAGAACTTCCGGTTCGCTCACCACAAGATTACCTGTGATGTGCTAAACCCTCTTTGACTCATTGATTCATCCGCTCCAGGAGTCTCACTTGGGATACATTAGTCGCATCAATCCGGTGATGGAAGTACTTCTGTTCCACTTGCGTAACGATGAGTCTTCCAAACTTTTCTTTAGAAATTAGCACGTTCCTAGTGCTTAAAACTCGATCATCGAGTGCGTTCAGCATTATCATACGGAGTGCGCTCCGAAACAAAAAGAAAAGTGTAATGCTGATGGAGTTGCTTCAGGATGTATATACTGACATCTCCTCTGGGTCTACTAGATCCATGTCCCATGATTCTCGTGAGTGGCTCGCCTGCCGTGTAGCTCAAAAAAGGTTACCCTCGGAATATCTTGACTTTGCCGAGTAAGCACCTCACCGTGATATAGTCAAACCAGCAAGGAAATGTTAACCATGATATTTCGTCTAGTTTTGGTTAAGATATTTAACTACTTACCTGTTTCATTCGAAACCGGGTATCGTGAGCAGCAAGACCTGAAGTCATTTTGGTCTAATAGGTTTTAGTTCATCAGGTAAGAGCAAGTGTCATGTGTAAGTAACTGAGAACAGACACTATCATATAAAATCATGCCAGCCTCCTTCTTCGACCTTATCAACCCCCTCTCAACACCTCCAGGTCAAGTACAGCGGCACACCATGAGTCTTTTGAAGATCCCCTTCATTCTAGTTTCGGCCATTGGCACCCATATTTCGTTGACTTCCGCTTCTCCGTCACCGTCATCTAAAGAGAAGGTGGTGCCCTCGTCGTTCGAATCCTTTGTTGGATGGTTTTTGAAACTTCGTTGTATAGAATTAATGAAGGTGGTGCTCCTAAACACGGGTCGTTATCTTTATTAATATGTGTGCGATACAACAGATTAGCGTATGGGTAGCATCGTCTGCTGAAGTGGCTAACATCCTGGTCATACATATAGATCCCTCACACATTCCATAAGGAATCTATGGCGCTAGAGTTATGGTGCTTTTGCGTGTTCTTTACCCTACATCACTCACTCCCGCTTTCTTTGTCGGCAGTATTGCCATCGCGATCGGCGGCGCATCGAGGCTTTATTGTATCTCGACGCTAGGAAAGCTCTGGAGCTTCCAGCTCAGCGTCAGAAAAGAGCACAGACTTGTGACAAGCGGGCCGTACTCGGTGGTTCGCCACCCAAGCTACACTGGTCTTCTTCTCCAAAGTGCGGGGTTCGCCATCATGCACGGAAGTCAAGGATCATGGATGAGGCAATCTGGGATCTTACAAGTGCCTTTCATTATAGTATTAGCAATGACTAGCTTTTTCGTATTTACCACATTCTTCGCTTGGATTTCCATCAGCCGACCTCAGTTCTTCTCCGCCGCCATCACCCGAAGAGAAGGTGGAAACCCCCCCCTGCTCGAAATCATCATCCTGCAGTTTCAGAGTCTTTGGGATAATGATATAAAGAAGGTGTGTGGCTTCGATGTATCTGTCGTTGTTTATATCTGTCGGTGGACAACATAACAGATCTGCACATGGGCAGCATTGTCTGTTGAAGTGGCCAATATTCTTGACATGCATATAGATCCCTCGCAGATCCAAGAGGGCATCTACGGCGCCAGAGCTCCGCAGCTTTTGCGCGCTCTTCACTCGATGCCAATCACCCCCGCTTTCCTTGCCGGTAGTTCTTGCTATCACGATTGGCAGCATGTTCAGGCTCTATTGTGTGTCGGCGTTAGGGAAATGTTGGAGCTGGCCGCTCAGCATCAGACGAGAGCTTGTGACGAGTGGGCCATACTCTCTTGTTCGGCACCCAAGCTATACCGGTTCTCTTCTCCAATATATTGGGCTCATTGCCATGTATGGAGAGCAAGGATCGTGGTTGAGACAGTCCGGGATTCTACAAGTACCTCTAGTAAACGTGCTAGTAGCATTAGGCATCTTCGGGTTTACAGTATGTGCTTGGATGGCTGTCAGCCGACCTCCAGTGGAGGACAAGATGCTCCAGCGTGCACTGGGAAAAGATTGGGAAAATTGGGTGATTGCTCCCTGGGATTTATTGATCACATGCATTCTGCTTTAAAGCAGAATGCATGATTGTTGTACACATGTAACATAAACCATAGAAAGTATCCGCATACATGGTAAGGATATTGGCTACTTCAGCAGACGATACTGCCCATGTACAGATCTATTATAATTATATTGTCAGGTCAGGCAACGACCAACAACACATCCATCTTGTTTTTAGCTGACGGGGGCGAAGCAGAAGAATTGAGTGAAACATGGACGCCAAAGGACGAAGCTACGATAAAGGGAATCTTCAATAGACTCGTGGCGCACCACTGGACTGTCTATGGGGCCTGCAATGAGGCGCCTTAAATACCTGAACATCAACACCTCTAGGCGTACTACACGCCACAGAACTCGCATGTGATTATTTTGAATCGTCAAGCTCCCCCAGAACGAGTTTATGGAGTACAATGATCAATTCCTACCAGGTGCATTCCTATGCTTTCAGCATCAGATGCGAAGTACACTCAGTCAACCCGGAAGGAACAAAGAATGCATGTTGCCTGTTTGGGTTACTTCAGGATATTATCCTAGGGACGTGCCCTCTGCGAGCGTCAGCGCCCGTGGTGTAGCAAATATAAAGATATAGATGTACTTGCCATCGAAACACTGGTGTTGCCTTATGAACATCTCGCCATGAGGTACATAGCCATAATTGCACTTCACCAAGAATGATAATCATGGCTTCTCAGAACTTGCGATTGAAACATTCCACATACAAGTCTCTTTCAATTGGCGTACGCAAATTCCGACCTACATAGAGGACTTGTGAGAAGGATGAGATAGCACTGGAAGAGCGATCGCCACACAGCGGAATGGCGGGAAAATGCCTGCGGACGTGGCGCTGGTACACCGGGTGATAGAGACCATAGGTTTGTCTAACACGAGGCCAAGCCCCAAAGATCATGAACAGTGATTCAAACAAAAAAGCGTAGAGCCCAAAGATCGGTGAACAACGCATGGTTATTTAGCAAGCTCATAACGAGGATGCGGCAGCTCGGAAATGGGAGGAACTTTGGAAAGGTCGTAGAGTAGAAAGGTGAAACATGATCCTTGAAGGCTAGAGTTCAGAGAGGGCCGAGTAGGTGCGCACACCAGGACCTTAGTGACGGATCAGAATGCTTTACTACAGTGACCGTGGAGGAAGTAAAAGTAAGAAATGGGGCGCACACACAAGCACTGGATATCCCCAATCATTCTGCGTCACAGTTGGGGTACTATAAGGGGAGGACGCACCTGTGAATCAAATCAACAACCAACGACCTGCCAGTGCTACCACATCAATCATCATAAAAAAATCTCGCACTCAAATAAGACTTTTGACACGTAGCCCCGTACATACAAGTACACAGGCAAATTACACCGCCGACACAAATCGACCCCCAAAGCCTCGCTACCGATCCGCCAAGTCACTGCACAAAAACACTAAATCAGGAATGCAACCCTAAACCACTCAATCTATGTCACATACCGCCTACTATTCTGTACCCGCAAAAACAACCAATCCACAGCCTCGCGAACGCCAGCTCTAAAAGGTCAATCCCGTCAGCCAACCCCACACACACGTGAAGCGCGCTCACCCATCAAGCGCTGAAACGCCCAAAACATCTAAACTAGCAATCCTCTCCCGTTTCCTCTCCATCTCTGCATCCTCATCCTCGCCAAACCTCCTTCTCGCGCTCTCCCTCCTTCTCTGATCCCAATCTTCATAATCCTGCCTTATCTCTGAAACGCTGAGGCTTGAAGGGGAATCTTGTTTGTTTGCAAGGAGTAGGAGAGGGATGTTGAGCGTTTGGGGGGAGGAGAGGACTGTGTCTGTGGGAATCGAGAGTGAGCGATTTGTTTTGGGTTCGTCGTTTTATGATGGTTGAGGGAGTGATTAAGGGTGCGTACTACGTACCAAAGACTTCCCAGCCCTCACTGAGCCTCTCTCGGTCTTGCGCGTCGACAACGTACGCTACGGCGTGACAGTCGTCGTAGTATCTGTGCCAGATGGACCGGATGCCGCGTTGTCCTCCGAGGTCAAAGAAGTTTATGATGCTGGATGGGAGAGATATTTTGCCCGCTGCGTGTCAAATTCACATTGATGAGCACCGAAATCGAAACTGGAGTTCTGAGAAATGAGTACTATTTTGCCCCACAGTCGGGCCAATCTTGGACGGGTCAAGCCCAGGAGTCTCGTTATATATAGTCTTTATTTTCTCCAAAAATGTCTAGTCTCAGAGTCTGTTCTCAGCGCGGACTCGCGGTGAGGAGCGAGACGCACGGTTTTGCCAGCACCATCAAGGCCGATGATGATAACTGAAAACTCCTCTTTCCTATCATCTTCAGATGCAGGTGAAGGGGCCAATGTGAAGCCTTACCTCGTCAAGTACTCGTGTAAGCCTTTTAAGAGGTGATACATGACGGGTGATGGTGAGAGGAAATTGGAACGCGAAGCGGCACATGTTGACTCAGCACTACTGGCACAAAACACAAGTTGCTACTATGCCATCATGTAGTAGTAGCTATATGCACCCAGCTGCAGCTGCAAAGTCTATACTGATTGCCGGGTGCCAGGCTCACTTTCAATCATCGTCGATATTTAGAAGGAACGACTGTCTTCCTTCTATTTGGTTGGCTACTAATACGGGAGACTACCGTGACTTAGCAACTGGTTCTGCTTAACTCTTCCGAAAATATACTCGGCGCTCCCAACCATCGATAGATATCCCCTGATGGCTTCCAAATCTACTGACCTCTACAAGCGACCACTCACGATATGACCCCTCACATTGCGCAATAGTATCATAATGTCAGCGGTCGCCGGTGACACTGTTACTACCTACCAGAGTTTCAAGTGGCAATACACTACATCCATTGAACTTGCACATGGGGATGTCGGACTGATGATAGATCGATGTTGCCTCGGTGATAAATTATCACCGAGGCAACATCGATCTATCAACAAGGACAGGTTATGATGATGTTCCAATTCTTCGGAGCTGAATGCCAGAACACGCCTGGGTCCTGGAATATGGAATGAGGGCCAGATTCAACTGCTACTTGGGAAAGGATGACCAATGCCGTGCACGCTGAAGGAGGCCTTAGGTATGACTTCTTCCCTGGTGTTCTTCTTGACCTGATAGAACATTACAACAGCGTAATCTGCTCGCATAGAATAACGCATCACACAGTAGTTCTTCCGCTGGCGGCTGTATCCAGGCCGTACGAGTCACTCAGATGCCCCTGAACAAAAGGCTTCGGGAATGGTGGGCTATCAAGTGCTTGTAAGTCATACTGATATGTAACCAAAGCCGGTTTACGAACCCTCAGCGCGTGGGGGAAAGTTCAAGTTTTCAACGACCGTAAGTAGCATTTCTGCACTGTGGCTTTTTATGAGACTGATGTAGAAGCAGCCGCAGCTATGCAACTAACGCCGATAGTTCCGCGCAACAACGTCGGGGTGTAGCGGGACTATATCTTCATGTTCAAATTCGTCGCTGACCACACCAATTGACCTATCTTCTTTTAGTATATACATATTACGCGGCCTACGTTCAGGGATGATTGCTAATGGGAGCGGGGGTATACTGCAGAGGGGGGAAAGTTTAGGCTTGTATGATATTGGGCTATCCCTGGATTGACACGACTGTCTCTGGATGATCAATCTGGGGATCGATGACCTGTCAAATATTATATTACGTGTTTTGTTTTGCCCAAAGTTCGCCCTACTCGAGATTAGTCTTATGGCCTTCTCTTGGGCGATCATCGCCCACGATGTAGGATAAGGATCTTACCACAGAGACACTGGCTTTGTCGCCGTTTTTGACCTCGCGATGCATATGAGGTATATAGCCAAATTGCACAGTTTCGAAGATGTCTCGCCTTTAAAAAATTATCGATTACATGAATAAAACAAATATATAATGCCATTGGCTCGCTGCCAGACTCCAGAATCGCAACTGCACACTAGGAGGGTACAGAGCCCCGACTCCGAGAACTGGGAGATGCGCAGCTGAAGCAGAGATCGACGATGACACGAGAGCAGAAGGCTAATCATAATTCCTTGGACGATGACCAGTAACCAGCTGCAGTTCGTCTCACCAACCAGCTCCAAAAATGGTGCGCTGAGGATGGCACACGCGAGGACTACCACGCTGCGGCTGTAGACGGTCAGCACTCGCCTAATCAAGTCAGGGAGTGAGGCAAAGACCGAGTGGTGGGAGAAATATGAGAGCTGGAGTCTGCAGAGTACCAGCACCAAGTATTGGATCACGATATTATACTGCTGTGACTCCTCGTAGCAATCAAGCTGCGCCCGTGAGCACAAAATCCCCTCTATTCTGCGCCGTGACATGGGGCAGAACGTACCTGTGAATAGAATCAACACTGGGCACAATGCATAATATCGAGCGTTTAGAAGAGAGGTGTGTCTGTAGGAAGCGTATTATTTCATTTATCGTGAGGAATGAGTCGTGTGATGATTGGGAATGGTGTACTTCTGCTTGCTCAGAACACCAATCTCAAACTTCGAACTTCAAACGAAACAATCAACATCCCATCCAATTCACCCATCTACCATTCTGCACGCGCAAGAATGAAGGATCAACAACGTCGCGGATGCCAGTTCGGAAATCTAATGGGGTAAGTCCTAGTCAACCTCGAGGAGGAGAAACTAGTTTATTGACGGGGGAAAGAGGCGGGTATCTTGAGTGTTTGGGGAAGTAGGGAGTGTATCTGTGGAGAGTGGAGAATGATGAGGGCGTGCTACACATTGAAAGAACCAAGAGCCCACATACCAAAGTCTGCCCCCTTCCCTATCTCGCATCGCTACGGCCGAGTCGTACAATCCATACCAAATGAATGGCAGATTGAAAATTCAGATTTCGCGTTTCCCTCCAAAAAGAAGTGTAAGAATCCGGATGCTTGGGGACTGCCCGCCGTGTTGAATTCAAGTCTAATAAAGATTCATGCTATGGAAGTCAATTAATAACTTGAAAGAGCGTCGAAAAGAAACACCCCAACATCGAAACTGGGGCAATGGCATTCAGATCTAAAAGACACCGTGTCTTCCGGGTCCGAATCACATGGCCCCAGAGTCGACAGTCGTCCTTCAAGTTCTTTACTCGGAACAATGTCTTTGTGTTCAATGTTCATCTTTCTCGTTGACCATGGCCTGGGTTTATTCTCACAATCGGTCTTTTCTCGCGGAAAGTGGAAGTTGCAGGGAAGAAGCGATTTGAAGAACCCGAACTCGAGTCTCGAAATGGGAGTTGGGGTTGTGGTTAGGGAGAAGTTGTGTCTGTGAGCACTGAGTGAGTGAGGAATGAGTGGCCCGGGGGCGTGCATGTGGTAAACTCGACGAGAGCGCACATATCAAAGACTTCCCAACCTTCCCTCTCCCAGTCTTGCACGTCAAAACATATACAAGCCAGATGATAGACCAGATTCCAAGTCACCGCCTGAAATCGAAGAAGTTTAGGATGCTTGATGGGAGGGATGTCTTACCTGGGTCCTCATCTTATCCGAAGTATGCCACTGCCAGGCAACAGGTTTAGCGAAGTTGAACGCCGAACTCAAACTCAAATGAAAGGCAATGAGACAGTATGCCCGTAAGCACTAGTCATTTCTTCCCGGCTAAGTATGGGTCAAGCACATGGACGTAGTGGATGGGTGTGATGGCACGGAGGCAAAAGGCTCGGAACGTGTCAATAAATACCATACTACATTCCAGTAGATAGCATAGGACAGCATGCAACACAGCAACGACAACAAGGATATCCGTGCTCATATATATATATGCCTAACCCTGAAACAGTACGTATCAATCAAAGGAAACGTGGATACTAGGTCGCTCGGCCCTATGACAACGCTCCCCAAACAGCCAACCCCGCGAAAAAGGTCATGATACCGACCAACACGCCGGCATAGGCAGCGGTATGCACGCCTACGCGTGGTAGGAGGGTTGGTGTGTGCAGCGCTGCAAGGCTTGCGTGGAGGAGGAGGACGAGGGGGGTGGTTATGATGAATGGGATGTATGAGCTGTCGTAGGACTGCACGTGTGAACCCGCATAGGAGTAAAGGAAACCTTTGAGTTGGACTGTTACAGGGAGGGATGACAGTCGGTCGGATACGTCTGAGAGGGGGAGGGAGAGGGGGGAGCGGAGGTATGCTGCGCTGAGGAGGAGGGTGAGGCCTGTGGAGAGAAAGATGGAGTTGAAGCGTTGGAGACAGGATATGAAGACTGGGATTTTCTGTGTGACGTGATTAGAGAGTCGATTAGAGACGCTGAGGGTACGCACGATGACAGGAACTCCATAAACCTCCTCCAGCTCATCTCTCATCTTTATTACAAGTAACTTCTCTAACCCACGATCTATACGCGATTCGACGCTTCGAGCTTCTCCGTCTTCTAGTCCGTTTTCAAAAGCCTCGTGTTGCTGTTGTGGGGAATGAGGGTTTTCGAGTGTTGGTTCGGGTTCGTCGAGAGACCCTGATTTTAGACGTTCGAGGAATTCGGTTTCTCTTCCTTCTGGGACCATGACATCGCGGTAAAGAGCAAGCTGTTCATACCCCTGTACAATAGCAGCGAGCACCTCTGCAAAGTTGAGGGAAAGCCACCATACAGTGCGGAAAGCAGGGTCCTGGCAAGTAGGGGCGGGATAATCCATTGTGTGCCTGACTTGGAGAACCACAAGGGCTGCGAGACGAAGGCCATTTGTGATGAGGACATGGATGAATGTGCTTGCGAGACAAGCGGATTCTGAAGGGAGTAGGAGGGAAGCGAGTGAAAAGAGGGGGACGCGGAGGAGATGGGCGAGACTGAAGAATGCACTAGAGATGAGTATTTCAGGTAATGGGAAGGGGAAAGATGATGGGTATGGAGAAGGAAAATCTGCTATGGGCCAAGCCAAGTCTGGTAGGAGTGCTAGGACAGAGAATATCACTATTGCGAAAATTGGAACGAATGCATTCAACAAGAGAAGTCGAGAGTATGAACCTAGAAAACGTTGTAAGTAGAAGCAGCTAAAGAATGTTTAAAGGGGAAGCTAACCAATATACAATCCATTATTTTGAAGCTCCCACTCAACATCGTCGTCTTCATCGTTAACGTTCTCCTCCTGTGGATTAGGACTGGCAATGATACTTTCAGCTGGTGAGTTCATGGGTGCAAAGCCAATGTCGGCATAAGCGTTGGTCGCAGGCCCTTCAACAACCGGCTGGGCCCAGTCTGGATCCCATGGATATTCAAGACTTGCACTGTGAGGCAATACTGCAGCGGCTGTTTGGGCAACCCTTCTATGCATCGAGTTGGTGGTCAATGACTAGCCTACTACTTCATGTCTACTTCATGTTTTGTACGCCCAGTTCTGTGACAAGAAGCGAGGGCCTGCACAGTCAGAACCTCCCGCGTAATTACGTGTCCCATCAACGGCAATTCAGCCATTGGCAGATATCACCATATTCCACTGGTACCACCAGAGTGGCAACAAAACTTGCAACACTCTACTGGAACCACTAGTCGCAGCAGACACTTTATTGGTAGTGACCACTGGTCACCTGCGCCTGCCCATCCTGGCATGGCATCCGAAATACGCCCCTCATCGACACTTCCCACCGACCAACACCATATGCAACGCGATAGTCACGCTGCCCTATGATAAAATTGTATCAGCATCACAATCTCTACAAGGCGGAAGAGAAGAAAAAAAATGAAAAAGATCAGCTTTCGATGCATTTCAACAAGAGAATGCTCCCATCTCCACATTGTACACCGGGAGACTTAACGGGAGCACCACGTTCGGTCCGCCCATCGAATAGATTTCATCCACATGTGCGACGACGACAACGGAAAAAAGGATTGAAGTGGACAGTAGACGTACAGTAGGTAATCCACCACACACAACGTCAACGCAGACCTGAAATGCAAGAGATCAGCTAATGGTCGAAAACATAAAGAGAAAAGTAAATGTCAGACAAGGCTGAAATCAATGATATCGTCCACATGTATATTCGGAATGTGGTAAAGTACTGATAGTCATCACAGACAACGAAAGGAAGGAGCACTCACCGTCTACACCAATGACCATCACCATCGAACGCTGCCTAGCTAGCGCTCAGTGCATCCAAAAAACTTTAAGAAAGAAATTTAAACGCCGACAGTCCCAAACCCTCGCGGAGCCACAAATCCAAATCATGCCGCCTAATTCCGATCACATCTTGAATCAGCCAAGTCTCCTCGAGATCTTCTCCACCATGCAATCCCTCCTCCGATGGAGCGTAGAAAACTCCACCCCAAGCACAGGTCCCACACCCACCACCACCAATAAACTCGATCCAGGAATCATCGATCACATCCTCGGTAAACCAGATGCCCAACTTATGAGAGAAGCTCTCATAGTAGGCATCGATGAACGGCAGACTGAAGATGATAGATTACAGGCGTTTGATGATCTCGAGATGGTGCGTCCCATGATCTAGACTTGTATGCAGTGGCTTACGGTGGAGATATAGCTAGTTCAGAATATCGATAATGCAAATGGTGATCATACACCCGTAGATTGATCGATGTGCTATCTAACAAATGGTATAAAACAGACCTGGAGAAACTAGGGCTATGGCAACCCCTACACAACCTCCTCCAATCACCAAACACAACCGACAACCTCAAAATGCAAACTTTGTGGATAATCGGAACCGCACTACAAAACAATCCAGCTGCTCAACTCGCCGTAAGTCCTCCTTCTCTCAATTTGGATGTGGGTTATGGGCCGGATTGTGCGCTTGGTTAAGTGTGCAATAGTCTAACATGCAATCCAGTCCATGATCCAAATCCGCCCCCATTCACCCTCACTAACAGTGCTTTGCGTTTCTGTTTTATCTGATAACAGTACCTCGACCTTGATCCCCTCTCTACACTCCTCAAATCCCTCTCCCCCACATCCAACTCCGCTGAGACCCGCTCACGAGCACTATATGCGCTTTCTGGGCTCCTGAAACTGAACGCTGCTGCTGTGCAACAGATGGATGTGGCGGGTGGATGGAACGCGTTGAAGATATGTTTGGAAGGTGCGTATCCTCCCACAACCCCTACCCCTTTTTATGATCACGACACTCACGCATGAATAGACTCAGAAATCCGTGTCCGCAGAAAAACGACATTCCTGCTTAACACACTCCTCCTCCCAACCTCCCCCTCACAGGTTAACCTCCAACCAAACATGAGCCTCCCAACCTCAGAAACCGCACCACCCCAGATCCATGCAAATTCCCATGCTTCGATGCTCTCTGATCCGTCATCCGTCTCTACGTCCGCTCTCACGCTCTCTGCACTTCAGAACTGCACAGAGGAGGGACAGGAGGGGTTTTTGCTCGATGCGTTGATATCAGCCTTGGTCGAACCTGTCCCGTTCGGTGTTGATGGCGAGATGGAAAAGGATGAAGAATTTCAAGAGAACGTTGTTAGGTGAGTACGATCCTTTCCTACATTCCCTTCCTTTCACTCCCATATGAGATTGAATTTGGTTGTTGATGTTGGGATGAAACTAGGATTTTGTATACGTTCGCAACGAGCTGCAACGGCGCTTTTTCGGTTGTGCAGAAACGTAGTCTTTGGGGTTTCTTAGGAGGGGTCACTACGACGCAAGGAGAGGAGTCGAATTTTGGATTGACGAGTGGGGAGTGGGAGGAGTTGACTGGGGCTGTGAGGTCGTAGTGTGATGCGTGCAATACCTGGGATGAAATGGCATTTAATTTGATTTTTGTTTTAACACCACACCACACACTAATGCCAACGAATTCTGATATCAGATGTTCGTTCGCTTGTGATAACACTATCTTCGTTTTTATCCAGTCGGACAGGTTATCGTCGAAGTAAGTGCTCCGATTTTTGTATCGACATCTAGCATTCTTGATTCTCGAATCCATCTTCATCTTCAGTATCCAATTTCGACGGTTGACATCACGCTACGTGGGATGGCACCGTCGACTTTTGTCATTTGATGCTTTTGGTGTCGACGTTGGTGGAACATGACTTGATCATTACATGCGAGTCCCTTGTTCTGCTCTCTGTATTCGGTTTTCATGCAATAGTTGAAACGTTAATGCTATGTTGGAGTTGGAATTTTATACACGTTCGTCACAGGCTACAACGGCAGGTTTTCAGCTACAGAAATATATATGAGTAGTATACGTTGCAGACGGAGGTGGCGAGGCGTCTGGTATCCGTATCATACACAAAGAACGGTTCGAAGTACATCAGAGGGAGTGGATGAGCCATCAACGAGAGTCCGTTGAGGGATGTAAAGCCATGTGACTCGTGAAGGATGATAAGATCTAATGATGATCGTCCGTATATTCAGGAGAGAGACAGCCAAGAAAGAGCCAGAAGCGAGTCCAGAGTCCAGCATCTTTTATCATTGCATGACGGCGTGACGGTAGTGTTGAAGTTGTGGCTTCGGTGGCATCACCAGTAGCAGGTGAGGTGAACAACGAAGAGGCAGCTGCCTGTGGTTGCAAAGGTGGCTTGGTGACATTGAGCTTGGGAGGCTGTGAGCTGCCTGCAGTAGAGTTATTCGAGTGCAATGCTTTTGTTTTCTGTTTCTGTTTTTGTTTCGCTAACGCAACCTCCCTCTTTGAAGCGTTTCTCTACGTGATATCAGGTCGAGTTGAATGTCCGAGAAACAGAAATAACATACACGTTTTCCCTTTGCATATGGGACTTCGAAAACTGCGGAGCTGCGCCCTTGCAACTCAATTTCTTCACCACTTTGTCCGCGCTGTTTGAAAAGGTGTCGAGCCCAGTCAAGAGGGGAGGATGGTGACGTATCCTGGGCACTGGAGGGGCTGCGATGGAATAAGCGTCCAAGAAGTGTGGTTTCTTGTGGTGCCGAGGTCTGGAACCGCGAAGGTCAGGATGATACTCAAAGTGATAGTGATGACGTACATGAGCTGGTGGAACTCCATCGAAGAAACCATGGGGTACACGACCAGCAGGTGGACGTTGTTGGATCGGACGTCGTGCAGCACTAGCCTGGAGTGTATATGTTAAATAAAATGATATTTTTGAATAAGAGGTGCGCACGTACGTGGAGTGCCGACTTGTTGACCTGGTAGAGCGAGCTCAGTTGTGAGAATGTAATACAATGAGACTATCAACTCACCTTTGAATCTGATAGAAGTTCGTCGAGGCCGGCCTCTCTAACAATCGCAACAACATTCCATGAGTACGCGTTTTTGTCATTGCAGCCAGTTGCTAGTAGCCTTCCACCCGCGGAAAACGACACGCAGTTCACTGGCCCTGCATGCTGGAGGGATGAACCATTAATGAGTTGCCCATTGTCGAGGTTCCACAATCGGGCTGTTTTGTCGTACGATGCGCTTGCGAGGATGCGGTCATTCGGAGATATTGCGATGGCCATGACACTATCAGTGTGCTCATCCAGAACCGCGGTTTGCTCCCACTTGGTTGTATTCCATGTCCTAATAGAGAAATCGTATGACCCGGAGACGAGCGTTTTTCCGTCATCGGTCCAAGCCAGGCAACGCACTTCCTTTGTGTGTCCTTTGAGAGTTGCAACAACCTTGCCTGTCTTTGTGTCCCAGATTTGAATTGAGTGTTCAGGTAGTCCGCCTTGTCCACCAGTCGCAATCAAGGACATGTCTGGTGAATAGACAACTGCCCACACGAATTCGTGTCCTGTCTTGATCGATGCAAGTGTGGTTTCTCCGCTTTCCACGTCCCGCATCTCTCCACTTTCCACGCCCCATTGCCTTGCAGTTCCATCATTAGATCCGCTTAACACTCTCCGACCATCTCGACTCCAGCAGGCAGACCCCACAAGCATTGTGTGCCCGGTCCATTTCGCGACGACCTTGCATGTGTTGATGTCCCACAGCCTCACTGCAGCGTCCCAACTCCCGCTAACCACTTTCTTCCCATCCGGAGACAACGTTATAGTCCATACCCCATCGTGGTCGACACTTCGGTCATCTATTATCTCTCTCCCGTCAACCACTTTCTTCCCGCCTGAAGATAACGTTGTGCTGTCTACTTTACTTTCTCCGTCTCTCCAGTCTTTTCCTATCTGTTTCCCGCTCTTCAAGTTCCATACCCGCAGCGAGCCGTCGTGTGAACAAGTAATGATCCGCTGTCCACCTGGTAGGTGTATGACACCCCAGACGTTATCAGTGTGTCCTTCAAATTTCTGACGAGGGGTTATTGCTGGTGTTTCTTTCGTTTTAGCGGTTGGTGAAGCCATGCCTCAGGATTCTGACTACGCAGTACAACGCCATCTCAGCTTTGCATCTGTCAAATTTCAAAATTATCACTTACAAGGAGGTCTCTCAGAAGCGATAGGCGGGCAACAGGGAATGATGGTTGTTTGGGTCAAGTCAGTTGAATACACTGCTTCCTAGTACGTGATTGTAATGCTGTATCCTCGTGTTCATTTCATAGCTTATACAGCATAGGCTGTGCAGCTGAAGCGCCCGAGCGTCACAACGTCACATTCCATGCGGCTTCCATTACCTAGTTCTCAATCACTAGGGAGGATGAGAGGTAGTTCGCTGCGAAGCGCTCTCATGCATTCTCAATGTCAACTGCCAGCCATGTAACAATGAAATATCATTGCAGTGAGTTGCTTTGCCTATATGCTAGTAGCTCCTGGTATCTAATCAGCTCTAGAACATTCTCTCAAGCTCACCGCTTAGAGGCATCTTCTGCCTCCAACAAGCACATACATCAGATCAACGACATTTTATGAACAAACGGCCAAGGAACATTCCCTACCGCACACTTCATTCTTGTCTTCCAGCTACATCATACTCCGCCCGGCGATCGAGATGAGGCACTGGAAACCGCGATTCCGAACAGACAGGTTATGTATCGCACATCGAGAACTGGGCACGAGTAACGGTAATACCTGATCGCTAATCGCCACCCTGCAGATGAGATGAAGTAAACACTTACCGCGTCCTTGAGTTCGTTTTCGTCATTTCAGGTCTTCTGTTTCACGCTGGAGATGATGCTGGGTGTCCATCCGCCCTGGATAGCAATCATGACAATCGAGCTTTGGCAATGGGGTTGGATTGACTTACGGGATGTGAGGTATGAGCATCTAGATCGGTGCCAATACTGCGTCCCACAAAACCCTGTTATTCTCCGAGTCTCAGGTTCTGCTGCAATCGATGCTATAGGTATGTGTCAAATTCCTGGAGCTTGGACGATGTGGAAGTATTCAAGTAGAGGGCCCTGGTGTCATGCGCACTGTTGTTGAGTCCTTGGAGCCTGGAAGCTCAGCCTTCGAGTACCACAACATATAGAGATCCTTGGTTCGTTCTCACAATGCCATCATCGCACCTTACAGTTTGTAGTTCCTCACGACGAATTTTACTGATATTTTGTAGTGCAAAAACACTCACGTGTGACGGAATAATTTGTGAATCCCAGATCCGTCAGATCCGTTATGCAGGGGAAGGTACACCAATGATTGTTTTATCAAGCAGGTCAGCACATGCATATAATGGCCGCATATCGTATCTTAATAACCGCGACCCACGCATTTCACATGTCTCATGGAGGACAAATAATTTCCCCTCCATGAACGATGATTTGAACTATGTTGTCCGTACGACCTCACCAGGGGTCTCTGAAGTCTGACGTGAGCTTTGCAACAGAGTTCCTCTGCTTCTAATGTGGGAGAAGAGGATTTAGTCTACGCAAAGCACGACCACTGAATTCGTTTCCAGAAGGTGCTCGATTGAACAACTCCAGTGTGTGTGCGGAGAAGGCACTTGGGTGCGTACATACAGACGAGGAGGCAAAGCAGAGCGCGCTGGATTTTAGGAGAGTGGCAGAGAACGAGTTTGGAGTGGGGTGCTAGTCAACGATGACGAGGACATCTTGATATGGGCGAGAGAAACTAATGCTGTGTGCATCGGCACCCTCGAATCCTTCGGGAACCGGTTTCGACGACTGGCATCACGCTACTTTCAACACACGTTCGTCCGACGGCAGGTTTTCAGTTCCAAAAAAAAGTGTGAGTAGTATACAGTGTAGACGGAGATGAGCGCACGTCTGATATCCGCATCATGCATAAATGACGGTTCGAAATACATCAGAGGGAGCGGGACGAGTAGGTAGAGCACATTAACGAGAGTTCATCGAGAGATCTAAAGACATACGAGTCGTAAAGGATGAGAAGATCTAATGATGATCGTCCGTATATTCAGGAGAGAGACAACCGAGAAAGAGCCAGAAGCGCGTCCAGAGTCCAGCATCTTTTATAGTTGCATGGCGGCCTGACGTTGGTGTTGAAGTTGTAGCGGCGGTAGCATCACCGGCAGCAGGTATGGTGGATGACGAAGACTGTGGTTGCGAAGATGGTTTAACGCTATTGGGCTTGGGAAGCTGTGAGCTGCCTGCAGTAGAGTTCTTCGAGGGTAATGGTTTCATTTTTTGCTGTCGCTGTTTCGCTAACGCAACTTCCCTCGCTGAAGCATTTCTCTACATTACATCAGGTCAAGTTGAACGTCTGAGAAGCAGAAATAACATACACGTTTGCCCTGAGTGTATGGGACCTCGACAGCGGCATGGCTGCGCCCTTGCAACTCGACTTCTTCACCACTTTGTCTGCGCGGTCTGAAAAGGTTTTGAACCCAGTTGAGAGGGGAGGACGGTAATGTGTCCTGGGCACTGGAGGGATTGCGGTGGAATAAGCGGTCAAGAAGTGTGGTTTCTTGTGGTGCCGAGGACTGAAACCGTGGAGGTCAGGATAATACGCAAAGTGGTGGTGATAACGTACATGAGCTGGTGGGACTCCATCGAAGAAACCATGGGGTACTCGATAAGCAGGCGGACGCCGCTGGACCGGAAGTCGTGTAGCATTAGCCTAAAGTATATATTGTGAACAAAATGACGTCTTCTTATGAATGCGTCACGTACATGGAGTGCCGATTTGTTGGCCTGGTAAAGCGCATTCAGTTGTGAATGTAATAGAATGAGACTATCGACTCACCTTTAAGTCCAAAAGGAGGTCGTCGAGGCCGGCTTCTTTAACAATCGCAGCAACATCCCATGTGTATGCGTCTCCGTCATCGCAGCCAGTTGCAAGTAGCTTTCCATCCGTGGAAAACGACACACAGTTCACTGGCTCTGCGTGCTGGAGTGGTGAATTTATGGGCTGTCCGTTATCGAGGTTCCATAATTGCGCTGTCTTGTCCTGTAATGCGCTTGCAAGGATGCGGCCATTTGGAGATATTGCAATGGCAAAGACAGCAGAAGTGTGCTCATCCAGAACTGCGGTTTGCTCCCACTTCGTTGTATCCCATGTCCTAATGGAGCGATCGGCAGACCCAGAGATAAGTATTTTTCCGTCCTGGGTCCAAGCCAGGCAGCGCACAGCGTTTGTGTGTCCTTTGAGAGTTGCGACAAGCTTGCCTGTATCTGCATCCCAGATTTGAACTGAGGACTTGTATTTTCCAGCCTGGGGTCCATCCCATCCACCGGTCGCAATCAAGGTCATGTCTGGTGAATAGACGACTGCCCACACTTGATTGTGCCCAGTCTCCATCAGCTCAAGGATGGTCTCTCTGCTTTCCACGTCCCATTGCCTTACCGTCCCATCAATAGATCCACTCAACATTCTCTGACCATCTCGACTCCAACAGACAGACCCCACTTCTGTTGTGTGCCCCGTCCATTTAGCGGTGACCTTGCATGTGTCGATGTCCCACAACCTCATTGCGCCATCATCGCTCCCACTAACCACTGTCTTCCTGTCCGGAGACAACGCGATAGACCATACTCGGCTTACTTCGTCTCTCCAGTCTTCTCCTATCTGCTTCCCGCTCTTCAAATTCCATACCCGCAGCGAGCCATCCGATGAACAAGTGATGATCCGCTGTCCGCCTGGCAGGTGTAGGATGCCCCAGACAGGATCAGTGTGTCCTTTAAATTTCTGTTGAGGAATTTTTGCTGATGTTTCTTTCATTTTAGTGGTGGGTGAAGCCATGCTCTAGAATTCCTACCACCAAGTGCAGCGTCGTCTCAGCTTTGATTGATCAGATTCCAAAATTATCACTTACGAAGACAACAACGACAGGTGGACAGAAGAGCACAATGGACGTTTCGGTCCTGTCAATATTGACTTCGCTAGCTATCAACAACTAGGGAAGACGAGAGACTGTTCGCTGGAAAGCGTTGTTGACGAGCATCTTGGTGATTGCTGGCAGTGAAAGAGTCAGAACACGTGATCTTATGCCCGCAAAAGCGCCAAAGAAGCGCCATTGAAAGTCGACTTGACTATCGGAGTTGTTCAAGTCCTTGAATCCGCAATCGAATCAATCTCCCATGACCCCCGACTCAACTTACACTAACTAACCGTACTTTGTGTTTGTGTGTTATTTAATAACAGTGCCTCGACCTCTCCCCTTCCTCACACTCCTCAAATTCCTCTCTCCCACACTCAAGTTTGCCGAAACCCGCTCACGAGTCCTATACGCGCTTTCTGCCCTAATGAAACTGAAAACTGCTACTGGGCAACAGATGGGTGTGGTAGGTGGATGGAGTGCGTGTTTGGAGGGTACGTATCCTCCCACAACCCCTACCCTTTTTTGATGATCGCGACACACTCTCACACGCGACGAACACTACAGATTCAGAAATCTGCGTCTGCAGAAAACAACGTTCCTACTCAACATACTCCTCCCACATTCCTCCCAGTTAACCTCTATCCAAACATAAGCCTCCCGACTTCAGAATCTGCACCGCGGCGACCGCTCCAAATCTTGGATCATGTTTCCTACTCCAGGTGGGTCGCACTCATCTTGCCTGATTTCGTGAAATTTCCGAGACCCAAATCCACGCAAATTCTCGTGCTTCGATGCTCCCCGATCCGTCGTCCATCTCTACATCTGCTCTCACGCTCTCAGCGATTCAGGAAGTGGAAGAGGAGGGGTCTTTGTCCTTGCGCGATGCGTTGATATCAGCCTTGATCGGAGGTGAAACAGGAGAATGAATGCTGTTAGGTCACTTAGGTGAGTCCGATCCCTATCCCACTTTCCCTTCCCTTCTTCCTTCCTTTCGCTCCCGTATCGGATTGTTGATGTCGGGATGGACCCAGGACTTTGTATACGTTCACAACAAGCTTCAATGGCGCTTTTTTAACTGTGCAGAAACCAAGTCTTTGGGTGTTCTTGGGAGGGATTTGAGTGACGCAAGGAGAGGTGAATGTGAATTTTGGATTGATGAGTGGGGAATAGGAGAAGCTGAGTGAGGCTGTAAGGTCGTAGTTCGATGTGTGCGATGGGAAATCGTACTTGGGGTGAAATGGCATTTGATTTGATTTGTTCTAGCACTACATCACACTACTAATGTTAATGGATGCTGATATCGGACGATCGTTCGTTGGTCAAAATGTGCGTAGCCGTGATTTGCATGACGTGTGGGTAGTATACATTAATGATGCAGAAGGAGACGACAAGGCGTGTGGGATCTGTATCGTACAAGGATGGTTCGAGGTACATCAGAGGGAGTGGGTGAGTCGGTAGAGCATATCAACAAGAGTCCGTCGATGTAAAGGCATGCGACTCATGGACGAAGATCTAATGATGGCCGTCCGTATATTCAGGGGAGAGACAAACAATAAAGAGCCGGAAACGAGTCCAGAGTCCAGCCTGTCTTATCGTTGCATCTGGGTGTGAGGGTGTTGAAGTCGTGGCTATGTCAGTAGCATTGCCGACGTCAGGTGTGGTGGATGAACTGGGGACAGCAGCCTGTGGTTGCGAAGATGGCTGGGTGACATTGGGCTTTTGAGGGCGCGAGCTGCCTGCAGTAGAGTTCTTCAAGGGCAGTGGTTTCAATTTCTGTTTCTGTTTCTGTTTCTGTTTCTGTTTCTGTTTCTGTTTCTGTTTCGCTAACGCAACCTCCCTCGCTGAAGCGTTTCTCTACATAACATCAGATCGAGTCAAACATCCGAGAGGCAGAAAGAACATACACGTTTCCCCTTCGCATATGGAACCTCAACAGCTGCTGGGCTGTGCGTGTGCAATTCGATACCTTCATCACTTTGTCCGCGCCGTTTGAAAAGGTTTGGAACCCAATCGGGAGGAGAGGACAGTGATGCATCATGGGTACTGGATGGGCTGCGGTTGCGGTGGAATAAACGTCTGAGAAGTGCGGTTTCTTGTGGTGCTGAGGACTGCAACCGCGGAGGTCAGGATAATACTCAAAATCACGGTGATGACATACATGGGCTGGTAGGTATCCATCGAAAAAAGCATGGGGTGCACGATAAACAGGTGGATGTTGCTGGATCGGACGTCGTGTGGCATAAGCCTAGAGTACGTATGTTGAGCATGACGAAATCTTTGAATGGAGGTGTTACGCACACTGAGTACCGATTTGTTGGCCTGGTAGAGCGAATCGGTTGTGAGAATGAGATGGATGAGACATGCCTGTCAGCTCACCTTTGAATTTGACAAAAGTTCGTCAAGTCCAGCTTCTCTAACAATCACAGCAACGTCCCATGAGTACGCATTTTTGTCATTGGAACCGGTTGCTAGTAGCTTTCCACCCGCGGAAAAGGATACGCACTGCACTGGCTGTGCGTGCTGGAGTGGCGAACTGATGGGTTGTCCATTATCGAGGTTCCACAATCGCGCTGTATTGTCCATTGATGCACTTGCGAGGATGCAGCCATTTGGTGATATTGCAAGGGCAAAGACATAGTTGGTGTGCTCAGCCAGAACCGCGGATTGCTCCCACTTGGTTGTATTCCATGTCCTAATAGTGTTATCGTATGACCCGGAGATAAGTGTCTTTCCGTCCTTGGTCCAAGCCAGGCAATGCACAGAGTTTGTATGTCCCTTGAGAGTTGCGACAAGCTTGCCTGTCTTTGTGTCCCAGATTTGAATTGAGGACTCGGGTTTTCCAGTATGGAGCCCATCACGTCCACCAGTTGCAATCAAGGACATGTCTGGTGAATAGACAACTGCCCACACTTGGTTGTGTCCTGTCTTGATCGATGCAAGTATGGTTTCTCCGCTTTCCTCGTCCCGTACTATCTCCCCACTTTCCACGTTCCATTGTCTTGCGGTTCCATCCTCGGATCCGCTTAACACTCTCCGACCATCTCGACTCCAGCAGACAGACACCACTGCCCCTGTGTGCTCCCTCCATTTAGTAATGATCTTGCATGTGTCGATGTCCCACAACCTCACTGCACCATCCTTACTCCCGCTAACCACTTTCTTCCCGTCCGGAGACAATGCTATTCTGTTTACTGCACTTTCTCCATCCCGCCAGTCTTCTCCTATCTGTTTCCCGCTCTTCAAGTTCCATACCCGCAGCGAGTCATCCAACGAGCAAGTGATGACCCGCTGTCCGCCTGGCAGGTGTATGATGCCCCAGACACTATCGGTGTGTCCTTCAAATTTTTGGCGAGGCGTTATCGCTGATGTCCCTTTCGTTTTCGTGCTGGATGAAGCCATGCTTTAGAATTCCTACTACAGAGTGAGCGCCATCTTAGCTTTCATCTGTTAAATTTCAAAATCATCACTTACGAAGACAACAACGACAGGTGGAGAGAAGGACACAATGGACGATTTGGTTAAGTCAGAGTTAGATTTACTGCCTCCGAGGCTCCTTGTACGTTGCACATGCTTCATCCTCGTGTTCGCTTCACAGCTTATGCTGTGCAACCGGAGCGCCCAAGCATAACAGGGTCACGTTTTGTTCAGCTTCAGTCCATGATTGACTAGTTCTCGACACCAGGGAAGACGAGAGGCCGTTCCATACCAACCTATCTGATGCGTTTTCAATGTCAGCTGCTGTCAATTGTGAGTACAATCATAGCCCCTTGTCATTCGCACAGCCCGTACGCCAAAGCCCTCTCCTAATATTCACGAGTATGCCAGCAGTGTACGTGAGAATGGAGCACCTTGACATGAATATCCTTCAACCGAATACACTCTTCTCTCCCGGACCAGTCTCGGGAAGCGGCTTTATTTCCCAAGGAACGCTGTTCCTTCTAAGTAGGTCACACAATGTGTGCTGGCCCTGTTGTGCTCCAACCCTGTCTGGTGCTAGTGTGAAGAGACACGGGCAGGCGAGATAGTCCGCTGACGAGACATGCGAACACCGTAGACTGGCAAAGGAGGATCTATCCAGGTATCAAAAACAAATATGTTCATTCGCCAATGGCATCATCGATGGAACGTGCGAGGAGGTGACACATCAACAGTGGCATTGTGCTTGGTGAGGATACAAATTTTACCGAGCTCTTCTGCTAATATAATATCGGCGACAGCCCGAGAGCAGGCCAATGTTGAGGTCTGCTGGCAATCTGTTGGCAAGCTGATATCACCTGTTTGAAAGGGGATTTCAGGTGGATGGGTTTTTCCTACATTGCCACGAAGTTCTGCTAGCACAAAATTTAGCACATAAAAGCAAGCCATTTTTCTACCGTTCCCTTCAGATTTATTTGATCCCATATCACACCCTCACACACAATGCGTTTCTCCTTCGTCTTCGCTGTTACTGCTCTACCGGCGTCAGCATCTACCAGTGACGCTGCCGGTGAAAATTGTCCCAGCCTTTGCAATGAAGTCCAGTGTTGCGCTGGTCAGAAGTGTGTGCCGACATGGGTCCAAGAGCTTGTGAGTATCGGCAATTTGCGCCCTGGATTTGTTCACATGACTCACCCGTGCGGTAGAATACAGTCGTCGATTATTGTGAGTAAGTAACATGTTGCAACAGTGAACCACAGTAAGTCGTGTTTCTGCTTTCGTATGGCTGAAGGCATGACGCATTGCGTAGTTCGTTGCAGAGTTGATCGATGTACTTGCTTCTGAACAAATTTCACCGCCGCGTAATGGAGATCTTGAAATAGAGGAACATCTCAAAATAGTTGAATACATATGGCTGAAGTACTTACGACACGAATTTGTATTCTTGCTGTAAGCTTGAATATAGAACAGCTTGATCTCTACCAACAATTCAAGCGCCTCGTGCGATGATCAGTTCTTGGATCACATCTGAAAGTCTTTATGCACTTGACAAAGCTTAATATCACTCAACACTTCAACTTTGTCAGATGATGGCACTCGGAAGGCTGATCTCCAAAGCTGAGCCGAGTCGACATTGATGGACGTGTAAATGTATGCGAGTATGCGCTTGGAAGAGACTTGAAGTCGATGACTGTAGATGCGGTACGATGATGAGGATCAGTCACAGAACGAATACAAAGATGATGTAGAGTGACCTGTTTTAGAGTCTAATACATCGGCCTTCCCAGCTACCAGATGTGATTGTGTAATGAGGCATGGCAAGAAAAGCTGAGGACGGGCTAAGCTGTGAGTGGAATTAGTAGTAGAAGACGGGAAGTAAGGATATGGGGAGTGTCTGAAGTCCAGGTGAGGGGGAGTGGAGAATGGGGCACCAGCATGAGGTCAGCCAGTAAGTCGACAACTGGTGTACACACTGTTGGGTATTTTCCAATCAATTGCAGTCTCCCATATGTGCGAGTCTTCGAACGACATCAAAAGATCAATCACAGCATCCAACGTGTAAACCTGCCTACTCGTTTCAAGATAATCCTCTCGCACATCTGTCCACATTGAAAAGAGCAGATGGAGTGCTGAATTCCTGAAGACGCTCATAGCAACCTACTACTGTAACAAGGCCACCGTTGAGCACCGAAATACGATGGTATGAAGAGGCACGTCCGAGGTATGATCACATTACGGTCTTTCACCAAGAGCAGACAGGACAAAACACACGGATAATATAAATTAGCGTACGGCCCTTGAATCTCGTCTGGATGGTGTGATGGATTTTCTGTCAGCCTCGAGATCAACAGAGGCTCTACAAAAGATCGAACACCAAACATCCAGGAGGAGTATGCACATGCACGTGTACATCAAGACATGTTGCATGGAAAAAATGGACTGCCTATTGCATTTTGTTAGTAGAAATCAGAGGCCCAGAGGCTGGTGTCGCTTACATCAAGCAGTTCACTATCTGATTTTCGCGACTCTGCACAACAGCGACCTTCAGTGTGAAAGAAGGGCGGACATCACGAATGAGTGAGAAGGTCAGATCTACGATAAGTCAATAGATATACAAAATGTGAAGCGGACTGCTCACCGGAAAGTTTGTCTCCGTAATCGAGTAGTTCGTGCTACAACATTTGCTCATCACCTCTTAATGCCCCAGCATTCGGTGTTTTAAGGGTGTTATCATCTCGGATGGTAATCTAGGTAAGTCATCTGGTGGCCTGAAACCGAACGATGAGTACGAGAAACACATCCAAAAGTCTCTGGAAATTTTTACAAGGTTTTGGTATTGTCAACTATCAAATGATAGGATTTGGACAGTTCACTTCCAGCGTATCTTCGGGTCGCCACTGACTTACATGTAAATACATGCGTGTATGCAGAAGGAAGGAAGTTTGAGATACCTTCCGCTCATGACTGTGGATAGAGCTAGAAGATCATGATGAATACCAAGATCGTATAGATTTGCTCACATTGAAGCCTGGTATATTGGCTACAGTGACAAGGAGAGTTAGGTATGGGCTGGGTGGCGCGGAATGAGTGGTAGGAAAAGACGGGAGTGGGAATGGAGTTGAGGTGAAAGGAGAAGCTTAGCTTAGGTGACATCGGGGAAAGACATATGAGTCAAAACATTGAGCCAATTGCACCGACATCCAGCCTTTGGTAGAACTCACACGGCACGTCGTCGTCCGTATGAACTGGTTGAGTGTGACGTCCAGCAGGTCGCGAGAACACACAGCCGGACCGAGCAAGCCGCTATTTCAGCTTGAACTCCGCGAGAACTTCAACTAGATTATGTCCAAGACTCCAAATCGCCCAACCACCGGATCTCTGATCGAATACTTAAAACATGTTCAAGAACTCTTTTGGGTAAACCAGGACAAAAACGTCTCCTCCGATGGAATATAGAAAACTCCACCCCAGGCACCACCATCAATACACTTGATCCCGGAATGATCACGTCCTTGGTGATTAAACCAGATGCCCAACTCATGAAAGAAGCTCTTACAATTGGCCTCGATGAAAGGCAGACTGAAGATGATAGACTAAAGGCCTTGATGATCTCGGGATGGTGCGTCCCATGGTCGAATGTTGTATGCGGCTGCTTACGATGGAATATAGCTAGTTCAGAATATCGATAATGCAAATGGTGATTATACTCCAGTGGATTGATTGATGTGCCATCTAACAAGCGACGTGATACAGACCTGGGGTCATGGCAGTCCCTATAGTACACATCCTCCCCCTAACATCCATCCAATACAAGCGACACACTCAAAATACAAACCCTGTGGATAATCGGAACCGCGCTACAAAACAACCCAGCTATTCAGCGCTCAACTCCCCGTAAGTCCTCCTCTGAATTTGGATGTGGGTTATTGGCCGGATGGCGATCTTGGTTTAACATAAAAAAACCTAGAGCACCACCTGGCCTATAATCTAAATTCAATGCCAATTCAGTTCGTCCTAACTAACAGTACCTCGACCTCGATCCCCTTCCCACACTCCTCAAGTACCTCTCCTGCTCATCAAACTCCACCGAAACCTGCTCATAAGCCCTATATGCGCTTTCTGTGCTCCCGAAACCAAACGCTACTGCTATGAAACAGATGGGTGTGGTGGGTGGACGGAGCGTGTTGAAGATGTGTTTGGAAGGTGCATATCCACCTACAATCCCTATCCTCTTTTCATGGTGACAACACAATCACACTCACACGCGTCTCAGAAATCCGCGTCCACAGAAAAACAATGTTCCTGCTCAATATACTCCTCCCAACCTCCTCCTCTCAAGTTAACCTCCAACCAAACATAAGCCTCCCAGCTTCAGAAACAGCACCACCTTGAAATCCACACAAATTCCTATGCTTCGATGTTCTCTGATCTGTCGCTTGTCTCTACATCTGCTCTCATGCTCGCTGCAATTCAGGAGGAGGGCCCCTGTTTTTACTTGATGCGTTGATATCAGCCTTGATCGAACCTGTCCCATTTGGTGTTGACAGGGAGGTGGAAAAGGATGAAGAATTTCAAGAGAATGTTGTTAGGTGAGTACGATCCCACCTTTTCTTCTTCCTTCCACTCCCGTATGAGATTGAATTAACGTTGACGACGGAACTACTTGGGATTTTATATACGTTCACAACGAACTGCAACAGAGCTTTTCATATGTACAGAAACGCAGTCTTTGGGAATTCTTGGGAGGGATTGGAGTGATGCAAGGGGAAGAAAACGTGAATTTTAGATTGACGAGTGGGAGTGGGAGGAGTTGGGTGGGGCTGTGAGGTTGTAGTGCGATGCGGCAGGGAATGATTTGGGTTTTTGATTTTAATACCACAACACACCACTAATGTTAATGAATTCTGATATCATTCGTTTGTCAGAATGTGCGTAACTGTGACTGGATGTTGCATGGGTAGTATACATTGCAGACGGAGATCGTGAGGCGTTTGGTATCTGTATCGTACGTTCGAAATACATCAGAGGGAGTGGGTAAAGCACATCAATGAGAGTCCGTCGAGAGGTGTAAAGCCATGTGACTCGTGAAAGATGATAAGATCTAATGATAATCATCCGTATATTCAGGAGAGAGACAACCGAGAAAGAGCCAGAAGTGAGTCCAGAGTCCAGCATCTTTGATTGTTGCATAACGGCGTGACGGTGGTGTTGAATTTGTAACTGTAATAGGATCACTGGCAGCAGGTGTGGTGGATGACGAAGATTCTGATTGCGAAGATGGATTAACGCTATTGGGCTTGGGAGGCTGTGAGCTGCCTGCAGTAGAGTTCTTCGAGGGCAATGGTTTCATTTTCTGTTGTCGCTGTTTTGTTAACGCAGCATCCCTCGCTGAAGCGTTTCTCTACGTTACATCAGGTCAAGTTGAATGTTCGAGAAGCAGAAATAACATACACATTTGCCCTGAGTATACGGGACCTCGATGGCTGTGGAGCTGCGCCCCTGCAACTCAGTTTCTTCACCACTTTTTCCGCGCCATTTGAAAAGGTTTCGAGCCCAGCCGAGAGGAGAGGACGGTGGTGTATCCTGGGCGCTGGAGGGGCTGTGGTGGAATAAACGCCGGAGAAATGTGGTTTCTCGTGGTGCTGAGGACTGAGATCGTGGAGGTCAGAAAAATACTCAAATTGATGGTGATGACATACGTGAGAACGATCTGGTGGCACTCCACCGAAAAAACCATGGGGTACACGATCAGCAGGCAGACGTTGTTGGACCGGAGGTCGTGTAGCACTAGCCTAGAATGTATATGTTGAGCACAACGAGGTCTTTGAATGAATGTGTTACATACACGGAGTGCCGACTTGTTGGGCTAGCAGAGTGTGTTCAGTTTGAGAATGAAATGAATGAGACATGCCTGTCAGCTCACCTTTGAATCTGATAGCAATTCATCGAGGCCAGCTTCTCTAATAATCGCAACAACATCCCATGAGTACGCGTTTTTGTCATCACAGCCAGTCGCTAGTAGCTGTCCATCCGTGGAAAACGACACGCAGTTCACTTGCCGTGCGTGCTGGAGGGGCGAACTGATGGGTTGTCCATTGTCAAGGTTCCACAATCGCGCTGTGTTGTCGGACGATGTGCTTGCGAGGATGCGGTCATTCGGTGATATTGCAATGGCCATGACACAGCTGGTGTGCTCATCCAGAACCGCGGTTTGCTCCCACTTGGTTGTATTCCATGTCCTAATGGAGTAATCGAATGACCCGGAGACGAGCGTTTTTCCGTCCTTGGTCCAAGCCAGGCAACGCACTTCCGCCGTGTGTCCTTTGAGAGTTGCAACAAGCTCGCCTGTCTTTGCATCCCAGATTCGAATTGAGGACTCGGGTAGTCCATCTTGTCCACCAGTCGCAATCAAGGACATGTCTGGTGAATAGACGACTGCCCACACGAATTCGTGTCTTGTCTTGATCGATGCAAGTACGGTTTCTCCGCTTTCTACGTCCCGCGTCCCCCCAGACATAATCAGTGTGTCCTTCAAACTTCTGGCGAGGTGTTATCGCTGATGTTTCTTTCGTTTTAGCGGTTGATGAAGCCATGCCCAAAATTTTCCAACTACTGAGTGCAGCACCATCTCAGCTTTCCTCCGTCGAATTTCAAAATCATGACTCACGAGGAGGTCTCTCAGAAGTGATGGGCGGGCAGTAGGGAATAATGGTTGTTTTGGTCAAGTCAAAGTTGAATACACTGCTTTCTGGTACATTTTTACATGCTTTATCCTGGATTCCTCGTGTACGCTTCACAGCTTATACACAGCATAGGCTGTCCATCTGAAGCGCCCAAACATCATCTACTTCGGGTCACATCCCGTGACTCTCAATCGACATTTCCAATATACGATATGTTCATCAGTTGCTCCAGTTCCTGCATTCGACTCTGCATTCTCCATTTCGTTGTAATTACGGGCCGTGCGCAGCATTTTCAGTTAACCCATTCAAACCTCACAGGTACATCCATTCATCCCGTGACTACTTTGAAAACATCCTCTGATAATGCCTATCGCTCTCCCCTGATGACTTGACAGAAATAGGTGTGCGTGACGCCTCGGGAGATAAAGGTGCATCTACTTTAATATTTCATTTGATATAGACTTGTAGATGGTTCCGCAACCACTGATATTCAGAAGGTCACATTCGTCGCCCACCACTCTACCCCTAACAATCCACGTAGCACGCATCATCCCCGCTGCTCATGCACCCCGCCTAGACCATCCCATACCCCGAAGACCGCCCAATCGATGGTGTCTGCCTCTCTGCTATGTTTCGAACTGGACGTCTGTGATGGACGTTCGTATGATCTGTTAATCGCCTATTTCTCGGTGTAGTTATCACAGATATGGACTTTATTGATTCATACTTCACTTAGACGTCTGTGATAATCCTATGGATATGTCTGTTGGAATCCGAGAGTTCCGAGACAAGGAAGACCGATGGATCCGAGCAAGGCACGCACAGTGAGTAATGAGAGGTAGAGGTACGAGCACAAGCCGAAAAGGGACAAAGGGCGAGCGACGCAGTGACGTCGGCTCGCGTCCTACTTTATTTTTCTGTTTCGTTTTAATACATTATGGTCGTCAACGTACTTACCTTAAAAACGCCAGTAGCAGCGTCCTGGCATCTCAGTTCTTTTCCAAGACACTGAGATGTGAGTAGGAATTCGTCACCTATACAATACAAAGTCTAACGCGATGTAGTGTACTTGTTCAATAGGTAGACGAACCCTTAACAAGAGTTCTTTTCCAAGATACTGAGATTGTACTTGTTCAATAGACTCCTCGTCCCTCCCGCTCTTCTTATCACAGCAATGTCCGCACAACCTGATATATTCTCCTACTTCTCTGTTGCAACTTGTATCGCACAAACGAACTTGACATGAACAACAAAAAATACTTCAAGAATTATGACAGGTGCTAGCTGCAAACGTATCAATATCATAAGTATTCATTATTAGCATGCTCGTTATTCATTGGAACACAACTGCTTTCCGGCACTAGGTCAGTATGCTTCAAAAATTATCATCCTCAATCTCCTCACCCTCACCTCCTACCTGTCCACAATCCTCAGAAGCCATAGTCAGAGTCATAATCCCCTTCATCATCATTGCTGTCATCCTTGTCATCATCCTCACCATCCTCATTGTCATCTTCGTAATCTCCTGCCTCTTCCTGTTGTTCCTGGGCACCTTCCCACTCATCTTCTGTATCTCTGGTGAGTCAGAGACCACATGCGTTCTGTATCCCCCACCCAACCCACTTATTGCCTGGCCCCTCAATCATCAACTCATGTGGCCCTCTGTCACTTTCATCATCAGTACACACAATGTTATATGAAATACCGACAGCCGTGAGGAGCAATCACATGGCCCTTACAAGTGATTGTTGATATGAAAGCATGGCCTCTGCACTTTGGTCACCCCATTTCAGATACCTCTTAGGTTGTATTATACCTATAGAGGTTTTCACCTAGGGGGTACTTTTCAGGTGGTCTGGCCATGTTTGTATGGTCTTTCCCCAAGTATATAGGGTCCAAAATGAAATGTATTGAGCATGGTCCAGGGGTCAAAATAATTTTTGCATGGGAAAGACCGCCAGCCAACTTTAGACCACACATACATTGGGAATTTCCCATGGTGCAGGGGTGTCAGGGGTCCTATGATGACCAAAAGTTTTGGGCAAAATTTTTTGAAAATTGTGGTTTTTTTTTGGTCCTCTCACCCACCTCAGGCAGCACCTCTTGGTGGAAATAAAGGGTCCTGCAGACCTGGTTTCTATATTATGGCAACAGGACCTGACCTCTCTGTGGCCTATCAATATATTTCATCTTTAATGATCCCCAGTGATGTGAAAAGGAGGATGAGTGTGCAGGGTTTCTGAGCAGATCTGATAGGCAAATCATCAGGGAAGACTAGGGGTGAGCAAGATAATATGGGATATGAATATGTATCACCAAGTGATTTGTATGAGGTAGGAACAATAGAACCATCTTAAGGCATCTGGCATGACAGTTGAACTTTGAAATGAGACTTATATTTGGGGAAGGGAAAGAGGCAAAATAATGAGCAGATCTGAGGTAGCAGAAAATAAAGCTACATAAAGTGTCTTCCATACCTCACATCCAACTCCAAGAAAGAAAAATGTAGAGCTGTGGGAGTGAGATAGTGAGATCAAGCCAATATGCTTGTGAGGTATTAAACATGAAGACATAGAATATACATTGAAACCATTTAGAGAGTCGCTGGGGAAAGCCAACATGCTTGTGAGGTATTGAGCGTCAAACACAAGGACATAGAATATACATTGAAACCATTTAGAGAGTCACTGGGGAGAGCCAACATGCTTGTGAGGTATTGAGCATCAAACACAAGGACATAGACTATAAGTTGAAACCATTAAAAAGTGACTGGAGGAAGGACCACAGAGGATGGGAAAGACCACGTAGAGATATGGGAAGACCCAAGGTAAATAAGAAAGGATTGTAGGGAAGGACCATAGTGAGTGGGAAAGGACCATATAGACATATGGGAAGGACCACATTGAATACAAAAGGACCATATAAACATGTGGGACAGACCACAGTGGATGGGAAATGGCCATAGTGACATATGGGAAGGACTGTGGTGAATAAAAAAGGACTGTAGACATATGTGGGAAGGACCATGGGGGATGGGAAATGGCCATAGGGACATATGAGAAGGACCATGGTGAATAAAAAAGGACTGTAGACACATGTGGGAAGGACCATGGGAGATGGGAAATGGCCAAAGAGACATATGGGAAGGACCACGGGGATGGGAAATGGCCAAAGAGACATATGGGAAGGACCATGGTGAATACAAAAGCACTGTAGACACATGTGGGAAGGACTGCAGTGAATAAAAAAGGACTATAGACACATGTGGGAAGGACCACAGGGGATGGGAAATGGCCAAAGAGACATATGGGAAGGACCATGGTGAATAAAAAAGGACTGTAAACACATGTGGGAAGGACCATGGGGGATGGGAAATGACCATAGAGACATATGGGAAGGACCATGAGGGATGGGACATAGCCATAGAGACATATGGGATGGACCATGGTGAATAAAAAAGGACTATAGACATATGTGGGAAGGATCATGGGGGATGGGAAATGGCTATAGGGACATATGGGAAGGACCAACATGAGTGGGAAAGGACCACAGTGAATGGGAAAGGACAATACCACATTTCAATAAATTCACATAATCATTATCATCAAGTTCATCATTGCTGAAACAGCATAGCCTACAGTAGCACTCAAGCAAGACAAAACTTTGAAACCTTTGGTTGAAATTCCTAGGAATGTGTCTACTTTCTATCCCTCAGAATTTATGCTTGTTACAGCCCCTCAACTAAAATCCAACTTCTGTGTGCAACTAGGCTTATGTATTTAATTGTCTATCAAAAGATCAGGCAAGCTGTATGGCAGGGATTAGACAACTAGTAATGTCAGAAAAGTTGGAAGAGATTCAGGAGATTATGTGACACAGTTCAGGTAAAATTTAGCAGCTAAACTCACACTGAATTTTGGAGTCTGATGCTTGAAAACCATCATAATAGATTGAATAATTAAATCTATTAAAATCCTCGAACACCAATTTGAGTTGAGCAAACACAAAATTCTCACTTCAGGTTCCAAGCAAATGAAATGGATAGAGCATAAGTGTAGGCATGTATCATGAGTAACTCTGAATCATGAGCGACAAGAAAAGCATACGAAAAGCATATGAAAAGCATATAAGAAACATGTGAAAAACATAAGAAAAGGACAGCATGATATAACACAATTAGTAGATATTACCGAAAGTGGGTGTGAGCAAGGGCTGTGCAGTTAGTAATACTCATCTTCATCTTCTTCGATGATTGCATGGCGATCAGGAGATGCAGGGTGAATATGTGAAGGTCTGACAGTTGAATGATTGTGGTGCTGTGAGGAACCAGTGTGAGAAGTTGGCACAAGGGAGGAATGTGACAGTAGCTGAGAATGGGGGGTGCTGGCAATTGGTGCAGAACTTACATGTGCCTGTGATTGGGCGTGGCCTAAAGGTATATGAGAACTAATACAATAGGGTGACAATTAGCAAAAACATTTAAAAGTCAGGGTATAGCAATGCACTTCTCATGGACCCTGACACAGTGCCTCTCCTCCACTGTTTCACACTCCAGGTCTTCGGTCTCCTGAGCAGATTCATAATGGGGCCGCATCCATTTGCGAGTGTCTGGGTTATATGTCGGCATAGAATTGTCAAATGCATGTTGATATTGACGTGGTCCATCATGTGAATGCTCATATTGAGAGTGAGAGGGATATGTCGTGTCCCCGACATGTGGATAACCCGGGGTTGACATAGGAGTTGATGCACATGAAATAGGAGGGGGAGATGAAAACTGGGAAGATGGTGTTGGTGGCGACGAAGGCAGGAAATTATCATAGATGGCTTGGTTAGTATGGCGATGAGAGCATGAAGCTTCCTGATTGGAGCACAAAGCTCTCATAGTTGAGCATGAAGCTGTTAGATTAGACACTGCAGGTTTTTTGATTACCTGTTTGGTGCAGCATCTAGGAGTGTTGTCTTGTGGAAGATCCTTGATGGACTTCTCTGAGTCTTGGAGGGAGTGAACAACCTTGCTGTTAGTGTTGATGACAAGTGGGATGAGGCACATGCTTGTGGCCTGTGTCTCAACAGTAAGGATATCACCTGTAGTCATTATATCAGCTCATGTATATTTAAAGCAGCCAAAAACGTACTTTCAGGCCATCTGCTGATATGCAAGATGACACTTGGCTCCTCCACCACCGCCCCCTTCTTCCTTCCTTTGTCACCTGACTTCTTGGACTTGCCTTTGCGTTTCTTTGCCTTTGCTGCCTCTGCCTTGCTATCGTTGTCATTGTCGTCAAGACCTAACTCAGCCTCATACATTGCTCCAAGATGGAGCCTGAGATACAGAGCTACCAAAGCACATAGTTGACTTGCAGATAGAGCCTTTAGATCAAAATCTGGGCCAGGTGGGGGAACACCAGCGGGCCAGTCATGAATGCAAAGCTTCTCGGTATGCACAAAAGGCTACCATTTGGAGCAGTGGAAGAGGCAGGGAGTAAGCTGAAAGTCTTGCCTTCAGCATGCGCAGCTTCCAAGTCTTTGTACCTGAAAGTAAATTTAGCACTGACCCCTATAATCAACAGAAGACATACTTAAGGATTGTGGTGAGCTCATCTAACCAATGCTTAATATTAAGTTGGTGTGAATTGATAAGGGCTTTGACCATGTCAGAGCTGGCAAACAGCCCTGATGCCTGATGGCCTGCCTCTTCATCACCAGGAAATATTGAAACACCAGCAATGTGAATGCCATGGGTGCGATGCCAGTATGCAGCCTTGATAGTAGTTAGTCTTTGGATTGAGGTTGGATGAATGCCACACTTACTGATTTTGTGAAAGCATCACGAACACCCATCATAAGACCTGCAGCAGAATGTGATGTTAGGTCCTCAGTTGTACCTGCTGTGACAGTCAAGTTTTCCTTGGGCTTAGATTTACTTACTTTACTTACCTTTACCTACCCTCACTTTCTTTAGCTTATGTTTGCATTTTTGCTGCTTACTTAAGCATGTATCTCTTTCACTAGTGTCAGTACCAGCCTGAATGACAGTCCCTTTTGATGATAATTTCTACTCTCTGAGCACTGAGCCAAGTCAGAATCCCATGGGCTGAACATACTGCTCTCCACTCAGCAGCTTGGCCAGCTGAAATATGATTCCCACACCATGACAGCATGATCCCAGTTTTCCTGTATCTCCTTCCACAACAATGCATGCTGAGGGTCATCCTGTGGGTGGGCTTTGTAATGAGCTTGCTGCTTCACCTTCCAAGCCTTGATGTCCTCTGCAAAAGTGATTAGGACTAAGTAGAATAATTGTGAGGATGGCAACACACCTGGCAAGACAACTCCCGATACTCCTTTAGGCAGGGGATGGGTAGCTGCAAACCACATCTGGTGTTGGTTCCACAGAGACTCCTTGCAGGTAGCCTTCATAGTCAACCCAGCCTCAATGAGGATTGTCCGTGCACTCTTCCCATATTCTTGACCCAGTGTTCTAGCAGCTTCCAATGTCTTCTTCCCAAGCTCTTGTGCCTTTAAGATGCCTACTTGGGGCATTCTTCCTTTGGTCTTCACAAAGTCTTCATCATCCTCATCTTCACTTCTGTGATGTTCATCGACCTCGACCATTACCTTGAGCTTTTGCTTTTGCTTGGCTGTCAATCGTGGTGGAGATGGGGGATCAGCTTCAGAGGAAGCCTCATCATCTTCACCATGATTCACAGCAATATTATGATCAGCAGTCTGTTGCGCTTTCTTCCACTGTGCTTCATCAACAGCCCAGTCACTGTCGGATGGAGAGCTCTCTTCACCAGCACTGCGATCAGGTGCATATGACTTGACACCACCTGACATACGCGGGCGGCCGTTAGTAGAAGTAGCTGTATTCAGTATTAATTGAGTTATGAAATACGAAAATTGTTCAAGACTTACCTGAAGTTTTGTGGCCATCATCATTCCTGCCTTCTTCTGGGTAGCGTGACTTGGTAGAGGTACCTGTATTTACTATTAGTTAAGCTATTAAATATGAAAGAATTGACTGACCTGAAGTATCCTTGCCATGATCCTTGTTGCTATACCCTGCATCGTGGGACTCAGTACAAGTAGCTACATTACTATTGGTTGAGTTATGAAATATGAAAGAGTGAATATGTTTCACCTGAAGTCCCCTGGTCATTGACATTCCTACCATTGAGATCATTTGTCTGACTTTGAGAGATAGCATTTGGATTCTTGCTCGCAGTAGTGGCGTGTTCTCCAGTAATGGATGTAGGAGCTGGCAAATGACAAGTTAAGACAGGATGTTCATACCATAATAAAATGCTTGCCTGATTCTACATTGCCTTCTTGGATGTCAGCAGATACTTCTTCATCTACAAGGAGGCAAATTCAGCATGTGTTAACAAAGTGCCATCAGCAAGTTGAACATGAGACAGGCAGGATTGCTGATCAATAGCGATGTCGGAAGTTGCTGGAATCATTGATGAGTGCCTTGAGAAACTAGCCTCAAAAATCTCCTCTTCAGCAGATGAAGTCATGGGGCCTGAACACTTGGACCGTGCAAGCGGATGAGGCTTGGGTGGAGGACAAATAGACAGCTAAGAGGTCAGTGTGGATATCAACACATGGCAATCACAACTTACCTCTAGATGGTCATTGCCATGGTCAATAACACTCTTGGGGCCAGTGTGACAGCAGGGGCAGGGGCAAGATTGTTTTGGAGGTTCAAGGGCCTAAAATAATGGGAAATCAATCATGATGGACAAGGCTTGAATCAAGAAGACTTGCCTTGATGTTATCCACATTGGATGCCTTCCTGCGAGTCTTGACATGATAGAGGAGTCAGCTGCTGAAGACATCAAGGAAGGAAAGAAAAAATACCTTGGGTTGATCAGGCAGAGGTGGGCACCTGATGTGACAGCCTGAGCAGGTAGTAATGGCAGGCATTTTCAAGAGAAATGATAGTGTTCCTATGATCATGGAGATACATGGAACACAAGTTGAGAACTTGAAGTTTTCTCAACAATGTTTGACTGACACGAAGTCAGACAATGTAAGAATAAGTAGGAGAGCAAACTGAAAACAATATTGGCTTGAGAAGGTAGAATTTGATGTGCTCAAATTGAGACTCATTACCTTTATATTTGAAAATGATGGGCATTGTTGCAATTATTGCTACTAGTAGTGGGGCACAGCCATGAAGCTAAACATGGTTAGCGGTAAAGAATGAAACCATGATTGCAATAGTGACCTTGGCCATACTGTAGGTCGGGGGTAGTGGCTATGTACAATGCCAGATCCCTTACAAGTGACTAAAAGAAGAAAATTATGATCAATCAATTAAGTCAGAGACCTAGCTAGGAAATCTAACTGTTTTGAGAACTTATGTTTTTGAGAAATGATAAGAATCTCGGCCAGTAGGTCACCATATCATATAGTTAGAGAAACATCCAGGCCTGCTGATTGCTTAAGAACAAGTCAGACACCTAAAAGTATATGTACCTGAGCACCAGGCATTAGCAAATGAATGTTGAGAGATGAGAAGGCTGCTTGTTTCCTAAAAAAGAAGTCAGGACGTTACAGTATATCATCAAGAGCGTAAGGTACATGTAGATTTCAGCCAGTAGATGAGGGATTAAGTGTGAGGTATGTGTTTGACCATCTGGGTGGAAGGTTAGTGTTCATGGAGGTGAAAAGATAAGGTGAGAATACTCACTTCACAGGCCCACCGCAGTGCTTTCATCTCTTGTTGCATACCGTGCTTACTATGGAATTCATGTGCAATCCATTCCTCTAGCAGGTGTTCTTTGATCTGGTCATCGGGGAATCAGTCTGTGAGGTCACCAATAAGGCCAAAGGAGAGTTTCGCAATAGAGTTGGATCTCCCTCGTCTGCTAGACATTGATGGACAAGCTTGAGGATGGCACATAAGGGAGTAGTGCAGGTGCTAGGGATGATTGTGAGTGGTGAGATGAATCTACAAGAAAAATGCAAACCTTTCTCAGTATTCTTGAACACAGTGATGACTACAGTGTATGTCTCTAGAATTCTTTCCCGTAGTTGAGCGACATATTCTATGAGATCAAATTTGAGCTAATGAGTACCAGTTAGCCCTGACATGTTCAGAAATACATAATCCAGCTCACAGGGTTGGGTTGCACAGAGAGTGTTTGTCTGAGATGATTTGAAGACCAGCCTACTGTGATGCAGGTACTCAGAATACTGATTGGATGAGGTCGAAAACAGAGGTATCCTATGTTGTTATCTATGCATTTATTGCAAGTGAATAAATAAAGTAAATGCACTCACCAATGACTGAAGTCTTCAACGAATTGCCAAATAGCCACTGGGTAATTTTGATAGAAGTCATATCCTGTGTTGAAGTGTGAATGAGCATGTTGCTAAGTGAATGAAGTGTAGACACAGCTCACCAATGCTGTAGATAAACATATATGATTCAATGTGAGATTGGAAAGTGTTGACATGAAGTGATGAGTGCCAGAGTCAAGTGTGATGGGCATCAGGAGATGTTATGATGGAAATATATTGAAAACTCACAGATTACACCAACTAGTGAAATGTGAATCGACAGACAAGTGAAATAGCACACCCAAGAGGGTCTTCAACCCCACTGGTGCAGCAACATGTGAGCGACTGAGGCGACCCTCCAGACACAAAGTCTAGGAGTGGAAGATCAGCAACGCAAAGTCAACTAATCAATGAGCGAACGGCACAAAGCCAGTTCAAAAGCACCAGGAGCCATTGGAAGATCAATCGAGGATGGGAAAAGCATAATTGAGGACAGGGAAAGCATAATCAAGGGCGGGAATAGTATAGAGGATGGAGTGACAATGTTATTGATGCTGGTCTGTGTCCAGTATGAAATTGTGACATGTTGCATTGTGGGACTTTCCCACAGGTTCACAAACTTCAACAAATGAAACTGCGATTTGGGAAATTCCCACAGCTTTATTTCTTGTCTATTTCCTTCTCTATATTCCCTTCCCCTAGTTCCTTTCAAGTTCTTTCCTTACCATCAGTTCCCAACTTTGAGCAATCCTTTGTCACTCAGCACATCAAACTCATCAAGCTCATTGAACTTGTCAACCTCATCACCGCAATTGGTCACTCAAAGGTCCCCGGTGCTTTTGAACTGGCTTCATGCTGTTCGCTCATTGATTAGTTGACTTCGTGTCACTGATCTTCCACTCATAGACTTCGCATCTAGAGGGTTGCCCCAGTCGCTCACATGTTGCTGCGCCAGTGGGGTTGAAGACCCTCTTGGGTGTGCTTAGTCTTGTATCTCGTTATTTCTGGTGTGCCACACACTCCTGCAGACCTTCTCTGATTTGTCAGGTATGCCAATTGTTTCACATTTCACTCATCAGTCTAATCGGTGAGTTTCTGATACATTTCATCTATCATAATGTCTCATGATACTCATTGTACTTCACGCACTATAGTACTTGTTACTTTAGATACATCTTTTTTTTGGTAAGTGCCCTTTCCTTTACCTCACTAACCATACATTGAACAGTGCTTAGACTCTCATAATACAAAATCAAACTCTTGAGGTGTGTTTTTCTTGTGCCTGTTATCACACCTCCTAAACTTTGCAGTTTTTCATCATACCCAACGCTTTGACAATGTTCAAGGCTGATCTGAACCTTTGTGCATGTATGTGATGCTCCTCACTTAATGTTTCAACTTACTTATGCACATGCATACCACAGCATGGTTGCAATCTTTTGATGCCTACACAGTCACCATCCAGGGCAATTTGGTCATCACCACACCCAACATGGACTTTGTCCCTCAGTTCCACCATTTCAAGGAAGAAAACGTACAAGCACGTTGTTACGGTAGACCGTAGGTCGACTAGGATGGGCGCGACAGTAGACACTCGATAAGAGTGACGTCTAAAGCCGGATCGTAACCTCACAAATGTAAGGCGCCTTAAGACAAGTTAGAGAGAGTGTCTCCGACTTGAATATCGATATCAGACACTTAAGATTGGGGGTCTTAAGCGAAAGATGTTCTGGGTAAAACCTAGTAGATTAAAGTAAAGTTTAACTAAGTACAAGACCCGGTTTATATAGGTAAGACCACTTTAGGGCCGGTACGTACACGTCATCGAGACGAGTCAGAGATAAGAGAATGACGTCATCGAGACGAGTCAGAGATAAGGGAATGACGTCAGCTAACGATGGCACGAGGCGGTCGCGCTGTGATACATGTGTAAGTGAAAAAGGGAATAGTCTAATGATGGCACGGTCCGAGTGCGGTCATGACGTAATACAATGAAAGATAGAAGAGAAAATGATAGGGGGCAACCGTTACTGTAACATTACCCCTTATTTAGCGATGAAGTCACCGGCTTCACATATCTTGATTGGCCCAGTAGATAGGGTCCGCGTCGTAGTTGGAATGGAGGAGATCATCTTGTTCCTCCGTGATAGTAAGCGGTTGAGCCAACTGCTCAGCGTGAGCGATGGCATCCTGCTCAATCTCCCATCGGGCAAGTGCGTCATAAAAGCCAACGTCAGTCCATACTAATGGAATGACGGCTTCCCCTTTCAAGTCTTTGCAAAAGACAGATAGGTGACCGGGTGCGTATTCTCGGCAAACTCTGCAATAGTACGCGGGGCAGTTCTTGTGGCGATGGCCAGCGATGCGGCAGTTCCGGCATACGACATTGTCGGCCGGCGACGTTTTCACGATAGTGACTGATGAGGATTGGGTCAGGGGCGGCGATGGTGATCGCGATCTTTTGAGCGGGGCTTTAGTGGGAGAGACGGATGCGGCTCGTTTGGCGGCGAGGCGGGAGGATCTACGCTTAAGTGGGAATCGTTTCTTGGTGCGTTCGACTGGGTTAGGAGAAGGAGAAGTCGGTACGTCAAGTATGGCAATAGGAGGGATGAGATCATCCTGATGCTCCACGGCAACTGCATCGTGAGTTGGCGGAGGTACGGGGATAGCGATATGGGGGGAAGGTGGTCGTGCGATGGGGTTGAGAGCGATTCGCTCGGTGACGATATGGATGGCTTCCCTGATAGCGTCCCTGGTATCTTCAGGAAGGAGGCGGATGGCAGTGTTGCGAATACGAATATGCAAATGACGAAAGATAGTTTGGTGTCGCTCATCATCAAGAAGGGCGGCGGTGCGTTCGATAAGGCTAGCGTCTCTAATGATTCTAATTATGAGACCGCTAGAGATTGCTCCTCTTTCTCCGAGGAGACGATCAATCTCAATAGCGTACTGCTGGGAAGTGATGGCTGATTCGAACAAGGCACTGGTCTCGACTTGGTCAATGACTGAAAAATAGTCGGTGAGGGTTGAGTCGTCGGTGAGGGTTAGAGTGGAGTCGGAGGTTGGCGGTGAAGGTGCGGGGGAAAATGCGTGCCGTGCGAAGTCGGCGGCGGTGGCGTTCTGATATTCTTGAAGTGTTACGGGGTGTGCTTCTCTTTCGGCAGTGGCGTTCATGGCAGCGGTGATTTCTTGGATGTGGAGGATACAAAGACGTAGGCGTTCGATGGAGGACATGAAGAGAATCTATAATCCATGGGCCTTTTTATAGGCGTCAAGGATATCGGGGGCATTAGTGAGATTTTCTTCTGGAACCCACTCATTGCTGGCTGAAGAATATCCTTTCCACGATAAGAGATAGCGTCTTCGTTTACCCGTCCCCCTGTGCGATAAGATCGCATCGATTTCGTATTCTTCTTCGTTATCAATGACGTCAGGGGGTGGGTCGTGGAAGTTCGGTCCGTGAACCCCAGTTTCATGATAGGTTGATAGTTCAGAAGCGTGGAACGTGGGGTGAACTTTCCACTGAGGTGGTAATCTGAGTGTGAACGTGATGGGGGATAGGACAGCGGTGATTGGGAATGGGCCATATCGTTTTGGGGCGAGTTTTCGTGATGGTAATTGTGTGATTAGATTCTTCCCGGATAACCAAACCTTATCTCCAACTTTCCACGGATGATACTTCTGTCCGTGAGTCCTTTCTGCCACGCGCTGCATTGCAAGGTTATGGCAAGAGAGTGCTTCTTCCCTAGACTTCTGGAGCGCACGGAGCCTGTCTTCTGCAGCTGGAACTGTGGAGTTGGGGAGAACATGCGGAAGGGCTCGTGGTTCGTATCCCATCATAAGGAAGAATGGCGATGCATTACGGGAGTCGTGTTTGCGATGGTTATGGACGAATTCCGCCATAGGGAGTTGTTCTACCCAGTTTTCGGGGTTGCTTCGACAATAGATTCTGAGATACGTTTCTAGCTCTTGATTGAGCCGTTCTGTCTGTCCATCGGTCTGGGGGTGGTAGGCGGTCGATGCCGCTATGTCGTACTTCAGCAGTTTGGCAAGGGCTTTGGAGAACTTGGATATGAATTGTGGACCTCGATCAGAGATGACTTTTTCATGTAGGCCGAATCGTCGGTAGACATATTTGAAAAATTTGCTGGCGACCCCTTCAGAAGTGATGGTTTTAGTACATGGGATGAGAATTACCCCCTTCGTAAGCCCATGGTCGACCACGACCATGACTGAATCAAAACCTGCACAGGGGGGAAGGTCGGTGATAAGATCGACCGAGACCTGAGTGAAAGGCGCCGCGGCGACGGAGGGAATAGGAACAAGGGGGGGAGTCGTCGGATGAGTATCGGATTTCATCTGCTGACAAAGGGCGCAACCCTCAACGTATTTACGAATATAGGTGCCCATAGCGGGCCACCAAAAATCACGTTTAACCAGTTCTTCAGTCTTGAAACGGCCAGGATGGCCGGCGGTGGGGTGATCATGACATCGTTCTAAAATGAGGCGACGCCCGGCGGGGCGAACGTAGGCACGGTCCTTATAATAAAGGATATCGTCGGTGATTTTCCAATCGGAGAGGGCGGATTTCATAGGGGGAAGGGACAGTCCATCCAGGGCATCAGAGGCTGCGGTAAAGATAGGGTCGGGGTCGGAGGGGTCGGGGTTCACCAAAGTGGTCATGAGTTCAACGTCAAGGAGTCGGACGAACATAGAATCAGGGAGAAGGGTTTCGTTGGTATTATCGTCGGCGGAGTCTGACCCGTGGTCGGGGCGACGGGAAAGGGCATCAGGAGCGACGAGTTTAGTTCCTGCAACATGGTGCAGCTCAATGTCATAACATGACAGAATTAGCTGCCATCGTGCCTGGCGACGGGTTAATTTCTGGGCTGTCCTGAAGTACAGGAGATTCTTATGGTCGGTGAATACGATGACGGGATGGGGATTTCCTTCCAAATAATGACGCCATTCGGTCAGCGCGCGAATAACCGCGAGGAGTTCGCGGTCAAAGATCTGGTAATTTCGTTCTGCGGGGTTCAATGTCTGGGACAAATATCCACAAGGGTGATAGACACCGTTATCGTCCGTTTGGAGTAATACCGCACCAGTGGCAACTAGGGATGCATCGGTGGCAACTGCGAACTGTCTGGCGGGATCAGGGTTGCGGAGGACTGGTTGCTTCAAAAAGCATTCTTTCAGCTCAGAGAACGCGGATGTGCATCGTTCGGTCCAAAGGAATTTAACGTCCTTTTTGGTAAGATCAATTAACGGTCTGGCGATGTCGGAGTAGTGGGAAATGAAGTTCCGGTAGAAGTTGCAGAATCCTAGGAACGACCGAACTTCTTTGACCGAAGTAGGGGCAGGCCAGTCCCGAATACCGTTCGTTTTAGCATCATCCATTGCTACGCATCCAGGGCGAATGATCATTCCGAGGTACTCCACTTCTTCTGCATCGAACGTGCATTTTTCCGGTTTGAGGAAAAGTTTCTCTTGTCGGATTCGTTCAAGGATATGCCGAGTACGTTCATGATGGGAGGGGAGGTCGTTGGAGAATATGAGGATGTCGTCCATGTATATAACAAGCCATCCTTCATTGATTTCCTGCTGGAACGTTCTATTCATATACGCCTGGAAGGTGGCCGGGGAATTGCAAAGACCGAAGAACATAACGTTGGGCTCAAAAAGCCCGTATTCCGTGGTGAAGGCAGCCTTCCATCGGTCTTCCGGGTGGATGCGGATGTTGTTGTATCCGGACCGGACGTCCATCTTCGTAAAGTATTTGGCACCGTGTAACCGAGCGACCAGGGAGAGTGGCAGTGGGAGTGGGTAGGCGTTCTTAACGGTCCATTCGTTGATATACCGATAGTCTTGACAAGGACGGAGGTCTCCACTCTTCTTTCCTACGAAAAAGAAACCGCTGGCTTGTGGTGATTTCGATTCGGAGATAAACCCTTTCTGGACGTTTTCATCAATGAAAGCCTTAACCGCCACTCGTTCCTTTTCAGATAGTGGGTACACCTTAGACGTTTTAGGAATGAAACCTGGCTTCGTTTCTATTTGGTGGTCTATACCAGGTCGTTCTGGTGGTAGTTGGTTCAAACCGTCTTTTGCGAAGATGTCGGCAAAGTCATGAAGGTAAGAGGGGACAAGTTCTTTGAATGACTTCTTTTTCTGCTCGAGTCCGGCAGCTAACGCAAATTGCTGGGCTTTGTTGCTGGTCTTGACGTATTCGGTGGGTCGGGGTAGAGGTGGCGTCTTGGGTTGCTGTTGTTCCGCAATACTAGTCCCGTCTTTTGTCAACGGGGTATCTAGTGAGACGTTGGTGATTACCCGGAGCTCGGAGGCGTCAGCGGGGTACTCGACTAAGAACTCATCATCTTCTAGATGGTAGGTGGAGACTTCTCGCACTGGTGGTGCGTAGCTAGTCGTCCATACGTCGTCCTTGGTGTCAAAGGAGTCGTCTTCGTCATCAGGTATGGGATCCAGATCGGGCAACGCCGACGGGGTTGCGTCTTCATCAACTATTTCTTCAATTGTGGCGCGTGGTATTTCTTCAGCTGTCTTCCTGGTTGACGCTTTAGGCAGCACTACAACTGGGATTGGTTCCTCTTCTTTTACTTTTTTACTGAAGAGGGGAGGCAACCTATTCCTTTGTCGCTCTTTGTCGACTTCCTCTTCGATTTGGTCGCTTTTCTCAGTTCTAGAAAGCTCCAACGTTTCCGCCTTCCATCGGATTACTGGGTCCATGGCGCGTAACCAGGGGATTCCCAATAGGATCTGATCACGTCGGCTAAGCCGCGTGATATTAAACTTCCCGATCATGGATCGGTTGTCTATTTTGACAATGAGGACACAATATCTGGTGATGGCGCCCCCCTTCGCATAACTTCCATCCGCAGTAGTGACTCGGAATGGCTTCGAGAGTTTATGGGTTCGAATCCCATGGGTTTTGACGAACTCTTCAGAAATAAAGGTTCCGGCGGCGCCGGAGTCCACAACGGCTGTTGTTTCGACGGTTTTTAGACGGGTTTTGGAGATGAGGGAAATGGGAACGCGAAGTTCCTTTCTTATTCCTATACTCTGTACAAGTCTAATGGGTACATCGGAAGATACGGACGTCGATCCCGTCTTCCACATCAAAAATCCTCGGCGAGGCGACGGATCATTGTATCTTCTTCTTCACTGTCGCTCATCTCTTCTCTGCGAACAGGAATCTTCTTCTTCGGGCATGCTTTAGTCATGTGCCCCTTCTGGTGGCACGTGAAGCATAGTCCTTTCTTCATATGGTCGCTTCTTTCGGCTTCGGTAAGACGGTCTACCTCCATAGCATTTGGGTCGTGTCGGTCAATGGAGGGTCTAGGCACATAGCGTTGCCCAGAGGGTTTGGTGGTGATTCGATGGTTGGATCTGAACGCGACACCCCTCTGGTAGTTGCTATCTAGTCTCACGACTGCAGCGATATATTTGTCGAAGTCCGTCGGGATAGTTTCCATCTGATAGACGGAGTTAACGATCCCTTTTTTCAATCCGTCATTGAGGAACGTGATGAGGACGGCGTCTTGCTTGACACCGGCTTGTGCAGCGAGTGTCTTGAAGCTGGCGATGTAGGATGTGATGTCGCCCGTCTGCTTCAACGTTCTAAGTTTGTTCATGGCGGTACCGACGGCATCGGCGGGTACGAATGCTTCTTTGAATTTAGTTTCAAAGTTCGCGAAAGTCCCGTAGGACTTGGCGGCGGAGTTGTCGACTTCGGTGTAGAAAGTGAGTGCCCAACCCATAGCACTTTCTTCTGTCATATACGCGAGGGCGGTGATGACCTTCTTTTCATCGGTATTGTAGATTGTAGCATTAAGCGCAAAGTACGCTTTTACTGCATACAACCATCGTAGTGCCTGCTGAGGGCTCCCATCATAAGTAGACGGGGCTCCGGCTTTCAATTCTGGGGTGTTGGCAACGGTGGACATTCTGAGCGTCTGGTCGAGTAATGTCTTCTGTTCAGGGGAACGTTATTCGTTCTCTCGCTGAGTTCTGGGTTCTTTCGTAACCTCTCTGATGAGAGGGTCTGGTAACCTCTTTGATGAGAGGGTCGGTGGTGGACTTTAATCTTTTGTTACGGTAGACCGTAGGTCGACTAGGATGGGCGCGACAGTAGACACTCGATAAGAGTGACGTCTAAAGCCGGATCGTAACCTCACAAATGTAAGGCGCCTTAAGACAAGTTAGAGAGAGTGTCTCCGACTTGAATATCGATATCAGACACTTAAGATTGGGGGTCTTAAGCGAAAGATGTTCTGGGTAAAACCTAGTAGATTAAAGTAAAGTTTAACTAAGTACAAGACCCGGTTTATATAGGTAAGACCACTTTAGGGCCGGTACGTACACGTCATCGAGACGAGTCAGAGATAAGAGAATGACGTCATCGAGACGAGTCAGAGATAAGGGAATGACGTCAGCTAACGATGGCACGAGGCGGTCGCGCTGTGATACATGTGTAAGTGAAAAAGGGAATAGTCTAATGATGGCACGGTCCGAGTGCGGTCATGACGTAATACAATGAAAGATAGAAGAGAAAATGATAGGGGGCAACCGTTACTGTAACACACGTGCCAATGGGCATTTCGGTGTTGTTGACTGCTTTCAATGGCCTCAAGCCTATGACAACATCTTTTGCAATTCTGTCTGCATTCCCTGTAAGGAGCTCTACCCATTCCCACACCCACTTCACTGGGCATGGTTCACCCCTGACCAAAAGGACTTCAAGGCCATTCCAGGCAACTCATTTCCTGTAGGCACATTAGCTTCTGACAAGGTTGAAGGATTGGAGTCACTCCTGAAAATGGCAGACAAGCGTGTCCAGGACTGGAGGGCCAATTGACAAGGCAAGAATGACATCATCATCAATCGCATTGCATCTCTTCGACATGGTATCTCACAGCTCAAGAAACATCCCTTAACCTTTTGTGATCTCCTCATCTTCGTCATGGATGCCCAACACCTATTCCTTGAAATTTACTCCTTCATGGATTGGGTTCTCATCACCCAACCTTGCATCTCCTCCAGCATGGGAGCCAACACTGTTAATTCAGCCTGGATGGGCGCTTTCACACACGACAGTGACATGTGCAACAAGCTCCACATGGCTGGTGTCCCCATCTGGTATGTCCATACAATGGCATACATACCTGCTAATATGAAGGTGATGAAACCCGTATTAATCATGCATCCAGATGACATTGTCATCTCGATGTACGCAGAGGGCAATAAAATCTGCCCCTACAACATCATCTATCATGGTCAAGGTGGCCACCAGCGTCAGCTTCATGTTCACCACCTATATGGTGGCACAACTTTCAAAAATCCCGATGGGCCGGTTGCTTCAGCAAGCAGTTTCTCTATGCCCAGTTCTTCTACACCTGTGTCATGCTCTAAGCCATCCGCTGCTGGAAAGGCCCCTCAAAAAAGTCAGAAAAAGCATAGGTGACAACCTTGTAGGTGAACCTATTCTAATTGGTTATGTTACTTACTACTGTATCAGATGTGAGAGAGGCTCAGCCCACCCAACCATCCCAGTCAGGCGAATCCAGGGACAAGTGGAAAGACCCTGAAAGCCCATATCTTCCACTGTCTATCTTATATTGGGATGATGCCCTCAAAACTTGCACAAAGGATCCATCTTGTGTGTATATGCCCTATGTGATTGATCAGGGATACAGATTCCCTGAACCTGCTCTTCTCCTCGGTCCAAAGCTACTGGAGCACCTGCAAGGTTATATTGCCACCTGGCTTGCTTGTCGTCTGTTATGGATTGGCCGAGTCAATCATGACCCACCACGCAATTACCCTTTGCCACAGCTCTGGCATGACTTCCTTGGCAGTGGATTGACAACCCAATCACAAGGTGCTGCGCCCAAAGGCAAAGATCCCGAAAAGAAGGGTCTTATGGCAGTGGAGAAGTGAAAGGCGGTGATGAGGGACTTGTTTGGTGATGATGTGTTGGAGACTCATGGAGATTTGTTTGCACCAGAAGGATCGGTGGAGTTTTGTGGCAAACAAGTGTCAGTTGCCAGTCTTGCTAACCCTCCACACCGTCTCACCCAAAGGATTACATGGGAATTATATGAGCTCAGTTTCCATTACAAACTGAGGGATCTTGATCGCCACTTAGTCCATAAATGCTGGGCAGATGATCTGACCAGTCGCAAGCAACTCCTTCATTCCATATTTCCAGGTGAGGCTGGTTTGGTCATGTGGTCAGAGCCATTTCTGGGGGATAACTATGGCATGTGGAATAACACCTTAATTGGTGTTCTGCCTTACCTGGAAAAATTCCAGGAACTCCTCTGTGCTTGGAACAACGTCCCACCACTTCTGGTTGTGCCTCTGACCCCAGAAAACTTCACTGATACCAAGTGTTGGGAAGTCATGCATGCTGCGACTGCCTTTTATGTGCAGACATTCTTTTGTCATTTTGGCAGGCCCCCCATCATTCCTCATTCCCTCCCTTCATAATCGATATCATATTTGTACTACACACTTATTCCTTTGCATTTTACGTTTCTTCTATAAATGACAATTGTACTACTTTCCATTACTTACTACACATCAAATAAGGTTATATTTTGTGTTCATAAGCAGCATACCTTGCAATGTTTGCTAGTCCCAATTTAGTGGCACGGTGAGTGATCCTTCAGCTACATCAGATCTGATATATTTTTATAGGCACATTATTCCCAAGTCATAGCCAGCGACTGATGTCATTCTGCTATTGTATTTTTGATATCCATTTTTTCTTGTACTAGATACTTACATCATCCTATCTTCCTTATCCCCACAGCCATCTATCCATCTATCATTTATGCGAATCAGGTTTGTATTTTCAGAAAATTGTGTCAATGCTGTCTCTGAACATCGTGGCAGGCTATACTATCCTTGTACTGGTACGAACATCATCCTATCTTCCTATTGTGTCAATGCCGTCTCTGAACATCATGGCAGGCTATACTATTCTTGTACTAATTCTTGTACTAATACAAACATCATCCCAACCATCGCATTCACTGTATGTGAATCTGTGTATGTTTCTTTGCTCACATTTATACTGATACCTACCTTACAATACTTATGGCAGAATGCTAGAAAGTGTCCGCTGATCAGATGTCAAGTTCCTTCAAAAACTTTATCTATTTAGTAAGTTTTTTCTTTAATGTCACATTATCCCTGATTAAGTCCTACAGTCTGCCCATCACTCAAATCCTCCGTACTAATTCCCCTCAGATTGATTCCCCTTTGTACTCTCCCAGACCGCGCACCTGTGGACAGCTCCTCCAACTGACTCTGCATCATTGGTGGCCCTCCATGTGACTTCAAGTCCACAGCATTCATTATGGCTGTTTGTCGTCCAAAACCTCGCCACTGTGAGGCATCAACCTCCCTCACACAAGAAAAATCCCTTTCAATTCCACAGCTGGTCACAATCATCTGTGAGCCTTGGATGAACATGGCATGGTGATGTCCTTGTCAAACTAGACAGCTCAACCTATATCTTCCTGCCCTGCCTCCTGTGTTGGTGCTGCCTGGACACCAACGCCTCACGCAGCAAAATTTTCGCTGTCCACCATCTGTGTCCAGAACATCAGCACTGCAAGAAAATACCATGGACAAAGGTCTCTTCAGTGACTCCCTACATTTCTCCAACGGTCCTATCACTCATCATCTCACCAGCTCACAAAAAAGGGCCAACCAGTGGTGCAGATGGTCGCAAGATGTCATTCCTTCCTGTCTTATACCATACCTATCCTACATTCAGCTAACTTCAGCACTATGTTATACCAACATGCCAGGACAACCTCAGCAAGATCTTGGAGTTTGCAGAGCTGGATGTAAGACTTGGAGCATTACAGTTGCATGCGTGCACTTCAACTGTATGTTATTTGTCACTCTTCTACCAAATCTATCTCATGTACACTCCAGTATTGAAAGAAATCGACATCATTGCATGCCCTTGTTTCCCTGCCCCCCTCCAGCTCCTCTGTTGTGGTCTGTTTCCATGTGCTCCTGTTGCTCCCTCACTCGCAGTGGACTTGCACATTTTAGAGTTCATCCGTCTGCTCTTTGTATGCCAGTCTCCCAACCAAACTGCATGGTGCAATGCGGTGGAAACTTTTCTAGATGGAATGGGATACAAGCTGTTGTGCGAGGTTAGCTTTTCAAATTCTCATGCATGCAGTAATGCTTAGTCTTGGATCAGAATAACTTGTGTCATTGTTTTGGCAATGCTTTTCACTGGTACCGAGTACTGACCATCATGGCTCACAATCACATTTCCACTCTCATCACCGACATTCAAAAGGGCCAGGCACATCTCCCACCAATCGATAAACCCAGTGAATACCTTCATTCTCATTGTCTGCTTTGTTTTGGAGGAAATACTTACCATGGATCAGATTCTCATTCTATGTAAGTCTGTCTCAGCTCATACTGTACTGTGATTAATTGGTGACACCAGCCCAGACATTATTGTTTGCATAGATGCTTGTTTTACCCAAAAACATTCAACTAATCCTTGCAGTGCTGACACTATTGACCCTCCTAATCCAACTCCAACATTCTTTCTATCGGGCGACAATGTCAAAGCGATGGAGGATTTCATACAGAGTTGTCGTGGAGAGAGATGTCGAGTACGGGTCTCTAGAGCGGAAGGTAACAAGGATCACTATGAAGAAGGGATGCATGTGCCAGTGTCTGTGTTGAACAGATGCAGAGAATCCTTTGTAGCTGCAGATGAAAAGCGTGAAAAGGCAAGCACTTGTTTTTTTACTGACACAGGCCTGATGGCCCTGCTATGTAGACATGACCATGTCCTCTGGCTTGCCAACCTCACATCAGCGGGAGAAAAGCAACACTATGCGCTCGCTCTCTTGGACTGCTTGTTCAAGCATTTGCCCCCTCAAATGACTATAGGACTTCTCTATGACATCGCATGTCAACTTGAACAAAGTTGCTGAAAGTGGAAATTCCTGGACAACAACACTCTATCATGCATATCCTTTGCCATTGTGGTATTCCATGCATATGGCCACCAATGGCCCTGTCAAATTGTCTATCACCCAAGGAAGTGCGAGGGTTTTGGGCTGTCTGATGGTGAGGGTTGTGAACAACTGTGGAGTTCACTTAAGCAACTCATCCCATTGTTACAGGTTTCTGGAGTAAGTTTACATTCACATAATATATATCACATTTCTAACTCTACTGTAGTTCTATCAACATCTTTTCGTCCTCGATGTTCAGGTTCGCCACCTGGACACAAAATCCATCCAAGGCTATGGGCATTGGCTTCACTGGCAATGGATCCATTGCCAGATGAAGAAGAACATGGCTCTGGACAGTTTACTCGACTTAGACATCAACAAAGATATGCTTCGTGCTGAGTGGAAGGTGCAAATTGCTCACCAGACATGACCCACCCCACATAAGATTTTAAGTAGTGCTCTCACTGCCTTACTAATTATATTGTGTAGGGCAATCCAAAAACAAAGTGGTGGAGGTCATTATAACTATCCTTGCACTGGAGAAGACCCTGGATGCTTATGAGACTTCTGTCCATGAGCTAGAAATGCAGCTTTATGTAGGCAGCGTTTCTAATATTGCAGAGCTTAATTTGCAGCTCTCCAACACTCGGTCACAATGTGCCAAAACCACTGATACCCTTCAATGTCATAAAGCTGCTCTTGAAATGCAAGCAAAGGCCAATCTTAAGAAGATGAAGAACAATACTTATCTGACAGTCTGCTTGAATGCTCGTGCAGTGAAAATTCATATTCAGGACCATCTCCATCAATGCAAGTTTGAATTAGAGAGGCTGGAGAGATCATATTGAGCTACAGTTAATTGTATGTTAATGCTACTTGACTTCACTTTCAGCACATCTCATGTATTTTCAGTGGAACACAAGATTCGCGCAAGCACCCAGTACTCTATCAAACACCAAGAACCCAGGGTTCTCAAATTGGTCTCCACTTACAACGGCCTATGTGCTCAGTTGTGGTCTCTGATATGCCAGCAGAGAGCTCCCCCTTCTGCTGTTCCACCTCGCCCTATTATACACAAGGGCATCTTTCTACTTGACATCAATGATGAGATCTGGCAAGATATTGGCCTGGACGAAGACAGTATAAACCCACTGGCATGGTTATCGGATGAGGCCACCAGGTCTGGTATTCATTTACAGCTTGAAGTGGATCAGTGCATCGAAGAAGAAACTCGTTTGATGCGAGAGCGGACCATCATGCAGGAGTGGATGTTTGCAGAGTGGGAGGCCATACAAACTGTGTTGAGGGCTGCGGGTGAGTATAGTCTCAGTATACAGTGAATCACACTTAATTTGTTGGCAGTTGATGATCTTGTAGTGTCATTCCACATGTGGGCCCGCACAGACAAACTTCTTCACATTTGCGTCATCTGGAAGAAGAAAGTTCAAGAGATCCCTTGCACATGGCCAGTTGAGAGTTGGGGTCCTCAAAATGAAGATTTACTTCGAGCTGCTTGAGACCAGGTGCAGCTGTCTTTTTTCCAGTGTGAGGATGATGACAATGAGAGTTTTGGAGAGCAGGAAGAGAGTGACAAGGATGGCGATCTGGCTTATTATGAGGTTGGAGATGATGAACTAATGGATGCAATTGAAGAGGTTGCATTAGCTGATGAGTACAGGTACCAGGATGAGGACTTTGTTGATGACATTGAGGATACTTTTATGCCTTCATCACCTACAAAATCTTCACTTAAAAAAAGGCACTGCATGTAACCCTGACACTCTTACATAGTATTATTATTTAACATGTATGTCACACATAATTGTATTGTATGTTCCCAATTTTGTTTGAAAATTTATAAATGCTTTCTTGACAAGTAATGATGACTTCAAATGGATGATGATTGTGTGAATGTATATGTTGTAGTGAGTCTACTTCTATGAACATGGCTTATTTGCCACAGTCATTCCCACATATGTGTGTAGTCTTCCCTACAATCCTTTCTTATTTACTGTGGTCCTTCCCACATGTGTCTACAGTGCTTTTGTATTCACCATGGTCCTTCCCATATGTCTCTTTGGCCATTTCCCATCCCCGTGGTCCTTCCCATATGTCTCTTTGGCCATTTCCCATCTCCCATGGTCCTTCCCACATGTGTCTACAGTCCTTTTTTATTCACCATGGTCCTTCTCATATGTCCCTATGGCCATTTCCCATCCCCCATGGTCCTTCCCACATATGTCTACAGTCCTTTTTTATTCACCACAGTCCTTCCCATATGTCACTATGGCCATTTCCCATCCACTGTGGTCTGTCCCACATGTTTATATGGTCCTTTTGTATTCAATGTGGTCCTTCCCATATGTCTATATGGTCCTTTCCCACTCACTATGGTCCTTCCCTACAATCCTTTCTTATTTACCTTGGGTCTTCCCATATCTCTACGTGGTCTTTCCCATCCTCTGTGGTCCTTCCTCCAGTCACTTTTTAATGGTTTCAACTTATAGTCTATGTCCTTGTGTTTGATGCTCAATACCTCACAAGCATGTTGGCTCTCCCCAGTGACTCTCTAAATGGTTTCAATGTATATTCTATGTCCTTGTGTTTGACGCTCAATACCTCACAAGCATGTTGGCTTTCCCCAGCGACTCTCTAAATGGTTTCAATGTATATTCTATGTCTTCATGTTTAATACCTCACAAGCATATTGGCTTGATCTCACTATCTCACTCCCACAGCTCTACATTTTTCTTTCTTGGAGTTGGATGTGAGGTATGGAAGACACTTTATGTAGCTTTATTTTCTGCTACCTCAGATCTGCTCATTATTTTGCCTCTTTCCCTTCCCCAAATATAAGTCTCATTTCAAAGTTCAACTGTCATGCCAGATGCCTTAAGATGGTTCTATTGTTCCTACCTCATACAAATCACTTGGTGATACATATTCATATCCCATATTATCTTGCTCACCCCTAGTCTTCCCTGATGATTTGCCTATCAGATCTGCTCAGAAACCCTGCACACTCATCCTCCTTTTCACATCACTGGGGATCATTAAAGATGAAATATATTGATAGGCCACAGAGAGGTCAGGTCCTGTTGCCATAATATAGAAACCAGGTCTGCAGGACCCTTTATTTCCACCAAGAGGTGCTGCCTGAGGTGGGTGAGAGGACCAAAAAAAAACCACAATTTTCAAAAAATTTTGCCCAAAACTTTTGGTCATCATAGGACCCCTGACACCCCTGCACCATGGGAAATTCCCAATGTATGTGTGGTCTAAAGTTGGCTGGCGGTCTTTCCCATGCAAAAATTATTTTGACCCCTGGACCATGCTCAATACATTTCATTTTGGACCCTATATACTTGGGGAAAGACCATACAAACATGGCCAGACCACCTGAAAAGTACCCCCTAGGTGAAAACCTCTATAGGTATAATACAACCTAAGAGGTACCTGAAATGGGGTGACCAAAGTGGCCTCCGAGTCTGTTTCAGCAGGTTTTTCCAATTCTCCGAACAACACCCCATAAATGTCCATAACCCCATCTTCGTCCAACTCTACTTTTCCACACTCGATGCGGGGCCAATCTTCGGCATAGTTCTCATTGGAGCCTTCATAGTGACCCCAGCACAAGGTCTGCCACCCATTGCGTGTGTGCACATTTGGAGGACTGCCCTTGCTGAGCCCTTTTTTGATAGCAAGTGCATTGCCTGCCGTCGCAGATGGACGGTGTTGGATCTTGTGCCCGAGAGAGCAGAACCACTCGATCTCCGACCAACGTGAACAGCAGTAGTATTGAAAATTCACATCAATGTACATTGGTGCAGTGGGTGAGTAGATCCTGATTATGTAGCATGGCTGTCAATCACCATGGATGTCAGCAATGGAATATGGTGTTAACAAGCTGCATGCACTTCCTCGTTGAGTACCATTTTGTGGCTTAAAATGGTGATGCATTTCTGGAGGATGCCATCCTCCAAGTCCATTTCCTTCTCAATTCAAGAAACACAGGCTTTGATGTGGTCAAAAAGCCAGGCATCATTGGAGTGCTTGTTGTAGTCATACTCCCCAGGGTCTTCCTCAGAGCCCTTGTGTGATGCTGTGTGGTACTTGTCATTAGTTTGAGGGCGATTGATGGAATAATTGGTCCACATGCTCTGTGTAGTGCGAGTTGGACGAAGTAAGGGACCAAAGTGATGTTCTGCCAGTTCAAGTCCTTGTAGATCGATTTCAGCTGCTGAAGGAGTAGCACTATCGGCACTATTTTCAGGCATGATGGAGAGTGAGATATGCGCAGAGTCTGGTAGGTGAACAATTCGGATTGATGGAGAAGAAGGGTACACCGAGACATGAAACACACATTTAAGTGTTCGCTTCTCTGCTAACATAGAATGGCAGTGTATATGTTATCTCCCTCCGGGATGCAATGGATGAATTAGTTCCAGAAATGACCATTCTCAGTGTCCATATTTGTTGTTCAGTAGAATGTGGCATGGGGTTTTCCTTTTCAGTGTGCTTTTGATGATGCTGTATTGCACCCATAGAGATCTACACACTCGCAGATCTTCGATGCAACTCTTCTTGTAACAGGATCATGTCCAGGAAAGCTTCCTCCATTTTGACATATTTATAGTTGATCGAAAAGGGGAGGGATATGATCTACAGCTGCATATGCGAGTTCACTGAGGACACAAGAGACGCTGTTTCTGCGACATTGCATGGTAAATGAGGGTACCATGACCCAGCTGCGAGACTAATCACTAAATGGCAATAGTGAAAAGTAAATCAAACATGTCCGAGAGCAAGCTGGCATAGCAAGTCCATCAAAGAGTTGCCATACATCTGACCTGAAACGTTTCAAATGTCACATGGTATATGTCATTTATTGTGCCCTGTGATCTACCCAGGCTGTACCTGCAGCTCAGGTCAGCAGCTGGACCTCCTCTTTTGAAATTGGGAGTGACCATCATCCTTGTCTCGTCCTTCAAGTCTTGATTATCAATGCAACGCTCCTTATGCTGCAATAGGCTTTATGAGCAATCTGTCAGTATTGTGTGAGTGACTGGGTGATGAAATTGATTGGACATCTGTGATGAATATCCACATGAGTATTGATATGTCCTCCTACTTCTCCGTTGTAGTAGATATTGCATGAATGAACTTGACTGATTCATGCTTTTGCCTGGGTTAGTTATGTGAGCAATAAAGCGATCAGATTCACGTTTGTAATCGCTCTGCATACCCAAAGGCGATGGCATCTACAACAGCATGCACAAGTGCCTGATCATTCAATTCCATCATCCTGCTATACTTGCTCCCCCTGCCTATTCACCAACATTTGTTGGCCACATTGACATGATCAAGTCTCTTCCTCTTCAACAAAGGCACATACTTTGCACCATGCTTGTACATCCCTGCACCGAATGGAACACCAAGGACAGGTTCTTGGACCAAGTTTGATGAGGGAGTGTTGATGGATGAAATGGAGTTGATAATAGAGGTCTGAGCCGGTGCCGCTCCCTGTACCATCATCACCTATGACATCCAAGTCTGTGTGCACAGTCCCAGAGCAAGAGAGAGAAAGGCATCTGCCATCTGATACTTGGGTTTGCAATCCACCAGTGGCAACCGAGTCTCAGGTAATGAATTTGATTCTGCAGGAAAGACATCCACGAGAGCTGATATAATGGACAGTCATTTTAGTCCTGTTCCAATGAGGAAAACAATGGCCATGACATGTCGAACTTGATGGTATAGAAAGCTGATCCTACGAGATCAAACATGTATATTCGTTCTGGTATCTGTATCGTACATAATGAACAGTTCGAAATACATCAGAGGGAGTGATAGAGCATATCAATGAGAGTCCGTTGAGATGTAAAGACATGCGAGTTGTGAAGGATGTCAAGATCTAATGATGATCGTCTGTATATTCAGGAGAGAGACAACCGAGAAAGAGCCAGAAGTGAGTCTGGAGTCCAACATCTTTTATCGTTGCATGACGGCGTGATGGCAATGTTGAAGTTGTAGCTGTGGCATCACCGGCAGCAGGTGTAGTGGACGATGAGGAGTCAGGTGCCTGTGGTTGCGAAGATGACTGGGCGACATTGAGCTTGGTAGGCTGTGAGCTGCCCACAGTAGAATTCTTCCAGTGCAATGCTTTCGTTTTCTGTTTCTGTTTCTGTTTCGCTAATGCAACCTCCCTCTTTGAAGCATTTCTCTACATGATATCAGGTTGAATTGAACGTCTGAGAAACAGAAATAACATACACGTTTGCCCTTTGCATATGGGACCTCAGTAACTGTGGAGCTGCACCCTTGCAACCCAATTTCTCCACCACTTTGTCTGCGCCGTTTGAAAAGCTTTCGAGCCCAGCCAAGGGCGGAGGATGATGATGTATCCTGGGTACTGGAGGGGCTGCGATGGAATAAGCGGCCAAAAAGTGTGGTTTCTTGTGGCACTGAGGTCTGAAATTGCGGGGGTCAGGATGGTACTCAAAGTGATAGCAATGACGTACATGAGCTGGTGGGATACCATCGAAGAAACCATGGGGTACGCAATGAACAGGCGGATGTTGCTGGACCGGATGTTGTGTAGCACTAGCCTAGAATGTATATATTGAATAAAATGATATTTTTGAATGAATAGGTTACGTACATGGAGTGCCAACTTGTTGGCCTGGTAGAGCAAGTTCAGTTGTGAGAATGTAATACAATGAGATTATCAACTCACCTTTGAATCTGATAGAAGTTCATTGAGGCCGGCTTCTCTAACAATCGCAACAACATCCCATGAGTACGCATTTTTGTCATTGCAGCCAGTTGCTAGTAGCTTTCCACCCGCGGAAAACGACATGCAGTTCACTTGCTCTGCATGTCGGAGAGGTGAACTGATAGGTTGTCCATTGTCCAGGTTCCACAATCGTGCTGTCTTGTTGCCTGAAATGCTTGCAAGGATGTGGTCATTCGGTGATATTGCAAGGGCAAAGACAAAGTCAGTGTGCTCATCCAGAACCATGGTTTGCTCCACCTGTGACTCCCACGTATTGCGTCTAATTAGACATGATTATAGATAGGGCTAGCACGTCTAAAATGACAGACTTACAGTGCTTCCAAGCCTCCTTCAATATCTCTTGGATAAAGAGCAACTCATAATAACAGTAGCTATAGGTAAGTAAGTGTGGGATGTTGGTGCTAACGTTCCTGCTGTCTGTTGCCATGCGCCTGCCGTGTGAACCTTTGTGCCTGTTGTCATACACAATGAGCTTGTTAAATGGGATATATTGACAGCATGTTTTGACACTAAGCACGATAAACAAAGTACATTGTGACAGCATGATAGGTAAACTAGACTACTCCTCCACTTCACCATTGTCATGAATCTGGAGCTGCAAGAAGTCATCAGTGATGAGGAGAATGTCCTGCAAATTCCTTGAGGCTTCCTCTGCCACCTCCTCTGCCACCTCCTCTTCATCTAGATCCTCTTGAGTATCTGCGCCTACAGTAGATGATAGGTTATGTGCAGGGATATGAGTAGCAAGCATGTTATTGGGAATCCAGGGATCTGGCATGCTGGCACTCTCTCCAAGACCCGTGCAAGCACTTAGACCAGGGACTAGTGTCCCAGTGAAACCAGGGAGCTTTGATATATCATGAGAGGCTATACTGTCATATGTATTAATAAAAGACCTGGTATTGTAACAAACGATGGATGCATACTTGGTGAGGATCCTAAGTCTCCACAATGTATTGATACATGCTTCCTTGTATCAATACATGGACTTGTAGATGGGTTTGTACCTATTTTTTGCTTCCCTTGGCTTCCTTGGGACACTTCCTTGTATCAATACACCTACATTGTACCTATTTTTTGCTTCCCTTGGCTTCCTTGGGATGCTTCCTTGTATCAATACACCTACATGTACCTATATCTGGCTTCTCGGTATATTCCTAGCTTCCTTTGTGATGCTTCTTTGTATCAAAACATGGACTCATACTTATGTTCTGGCTTCCCTCGGCTTCCTGGGACATTGCCTTGTATCAATACATCAATTTGTACCTATTTCGGTATATTCCTGGCTTCCTTGGGGGCTTCCTTTTATTAATACACTTTTCATATGCATTTCTGATGTCTGCGGCCCATCCCCGCATATCTTGTTTAAGCAGTACCACCGGTTCCTCATAAGCGAAACCACAAATTTAAGTACAAGTCCCCACCACATCCTCATTGGTTGTGTGTCACTAATTTTTGAAGCGCCAACCAGTGTATTTTCATGGCCCTGACTGTCTGATTTTCAATCTTAGTGGGTACTTCAAAATCAATGTATTACTCTAGTATTATGACGAACACAGTAACATGACAGCAACAAGATAGCATGACAGTAGCAATAAAATAACACAACAACACCAAAAATCAGCAAGACAGCACCCAGAAATCAAGAGCACCAAAAACGAGCCTTGCAAACCACTAGGCAAGTGACTTACGTGCCCTATTGTGTCCTTTCTTCATGGTGTTCTCACTGCCAATGTGATTAGCTTCCTCCAAGCGTGTCGACGGAACATGGGAGCAGTTGCTGCAATGGCATGATTGATTGATGATATCATCAAATGGCTGCTGCATGGTGACATCTGTGTTTGGCGGAGAATTGCCCATTGGAGAAGGATCGTCCATCTGAGAATCTTCCATAGGAGTTGCTGATGGAGATGATGAGATGAGAGTTGCGGCTGCTGGAAGAGACACTGAAAAAGCACCCAACTCCTCAGATGCAGAGGGAGCAGCAGTGGGCAGAGACATTGAGGGTGTGTGAATTGGAAGGTCAGAAGACACTTCCGATGCAAGTGGCATGGGTACCTTACTAGGTACCTCAGTGGCCATCAGAGGTGCTGGAGATGCTGAGGATGGAATGTCAAAATGATCATATATGGAAGGGATTTTTGTGCCTTTAGTCACTGGATGTGGGTGAGGTGCGCAAGATTCCTTGAGAGCCCCATTTGACTCAATTCTGTGGAAACGTGGAGGTGATGACATGAATGGCGCATTGGTGGCAGCAGCATTCCCATCATAGGATGACATGGGGGAATCTTGACCATCCACAGGTGGTGCAGGAAGAATTGGCAAATCTGGACACCTGGGTGAAGGAGGTGGCCCTGAAAGCATTGGTAGGCTGAATGAACTTGTGTCCACCTGTGAAAAATCAATTGAATCTGGATCAAATGATAGTAGCTCATCCAATGAATAGTGGATCCCATTTTGAAGCATGCTACTTTCACCTAAGCCATGGAGAGCAGCCAGAGGAGAGGTCTGTGTAGCAACTGGTGCGGCAATACTGAGGACAGGTGTGGTGAAGCTAGGGACTGGTGTGGCGATGTTAGGGACTGGTGCAGTGATATTAGGGACCAGTGTGGCGATACTGATAGCAGGCTCTACTGCAGTGATATTGATGACATCTTGAGGTGAAGTCTTTGTAGATGTAGCGCCTATGTAAATGAGTTAGTATTTGCCAAGGAGAAGAGCTTTAAAAACTTACTACTGAATGTGCCTTTCAAAAAGGCAGTGAATGGTTCTACAATGCACACATGATGGTTGGTCAATGTCTCACGAAAATTGAACCTGGTAGCACCCTTTCCGTGGTGAAAGCTGAAGACACGAACTTCACCATTCACCTGAGGATCAGGTCCTCCAAGGTACATGCTCCCATGCCATCCAGTTGTCTCATGAATAATGTCCAGAAGCTGACCGACCACACCACTGAGGCCTTCAAGAGATCTGTGCGAGTTTCAGCATGATTCAAGATTCCAATAGAGTACTTACTGTAGTCTCATGACCTCGGATGGATTACACAGAGCCTCAAGTTCCATCCTCACTTCCTCAGCATGACGAGCGCACTCCATTTTTGCCTCATTCTCCATCTGACTCACAAAACTATCCCCACAAGCAGCCATTGACTTAGCTGCTTCCAAACAAAGTGCAGAGATATGGCGTTTTTGATCATGGTCATTGTTCTTCAATTGAGTTTTGATCTTGGCCTTGACATTGGGATTTGACTTGTACTTGGTTTGAATATAGTGTTCTACCGCTGAGGGACCATGGGTGTGATTGGTAGTAGAACTCATGATTTTGGTGATTGTTTTCATGAACTGAGTCATGCATGACCTTCCTGATGCAGAGGACACATGGTACAAAAATGAATGTATTTGCTATTTTAAATATTTGTAAGGTTAAACTGAAATGAAATTTTAAAGGAGATACATGTACAGCATGACATTGTTTAGTGTAAACGCCCAACTGCTTCATTTGCTCATTTGTCAACTCATTTTCCATAAGCGTGCGACCAGTGTGATCTTTGAAATGCTCTGCAACCTCAGGCCATTTAGTGAACCATTCTCGGTTGGTGTTAGTTATGTACGCGGCTACATCCCCTTGCAGCTGGCTCATACAGAAGCCATCCACCTTGCTTTTCAGGAAGTTGGATTGTTCATGAGTAATCCATGAGGCCCCAGGCATCTGTTAACTGGTGCCAAGGTAAATGAATGTCATAATTTCAGCTTAATGACACATACCTTGTGTTTTTTTAGGTCATCTGACTCCGTCCTCACATCCTCCCAGCTGTGTATCAATACTCCATTTAGAACAGAATTTGAATTATTTCTAATTGACCAATGAGAAGGCCTCAATACCTGGAGTTGGCCGAGATGCTTAAAAGCTAAGCTGTTTTTACTCACCTAAGTTCATTTTTCACTCCGCGTCACTGCTTGTCACTGCCTCTTTTGATTAAAATGAAAGTTTTTCCCAGCCTGGTGTCGGATGAAACTTTCACTTTCTCTGAACTTGCCAGTGCCTTGGAGCTTGTACGCACCCAGCATGGTAGGTTTGTGTGGCCTGTGCTTGTTGCTTCGCTGAATCCTTGCTTTAGCTATTACCCAGGCTCACAATCTAGTTGACAAAGGAGTTCCTGGTACTCTTCAGGACCTGATTGTCTCGGGTGGTTGCCCAGTGTGTGTTTATCACATGCACACCCGCCAATGTTACCTCTGTGGTATCTATAGCGACCCTCAGCCGTTTTTCACTCCAGGTAATTTTTTTAAAACGCAATCATCCTTAGCTCAACACACTTATTTTGATTGTTGCAGATGCGGCTAATGATGCAGTTGATTCTGGGACTGAGGACACTGAGAGTCTGTCCTCAGCAACCTCAGCAACTGACAGCACCAGTACCCCACAAGTTCCAGGAACTCCTTCGGCTGTGACTTCCATCCCTGCTATAGTTGCTGCTACCCCCACCACCCCCACTCAAGTTGTACCTACCTCATGCACAACTCCTTCAGCTGTCATCGACCACGCAACTTCTGGATCTACCTTGCACATGAGTATGTCTGCCTCCCTGTGCTGGTATGTCATTACTGTGGGACGTGAGACTGGAGTGTTTCAGGGCTGGTATGTACCTCATCATTTTGTTTTTATTGTATTCACATTTTTCCTAGGCACAATGTTCATGCTCATGTGGTTGGCATTCCAGGTGCATGCTTTGGATGCTACTCCTCTTGTACTGCCGCCGATATTGCATATGCACAGGCCTTAAATGACAGTTCTGTGTCTCAGTTGCCAGTTTGACTAGTAGAATATGTAGCCTAGCTAATGTCATCCCGCGCATATGTACTTCTTGCTTGAATGTATCATGTTTCTTGATTTTTATGCTGGAATGGCTATGCAAATTTTGATTAAAAGATCAGTATCAATGACTGCTAAGCATTCATATCATGGTTTTCAGGAAGTGCTTGCCCTTAGTTTGTTTTTTGGGTGATTCAGATTCAATAGTATATTCAACAGTATTGTACACAGTAGCAATGCAGTAGAATAATGGTGTTTTTGCATGGTAAGGTAGAGTAAAACAGGTGTCCCGAAGTTGTGGCTGTGCCCATGGTACAAGCATCAACAATCAACCATTAAACAAGTATACATTCCTTACAGGCCTTACACATAATCATGCACCTCTGTCAGCACATATGGGACACAATCACACATCAACATCCCAAGAGTGTTGCGCAAGACGTCAAAAAAGCAAACAAACACATTACTTGAGGTGAGTCCAGTATTAAATTACCTGTCAGGAAAAACTAAGGGATCATATTCGTTAGACACATTGGTGGTGAATGCATGAAGGCGCGACATAGGTGGAGGCAGGGCCAGGGAGCTGACCAGGTATGTTAATCTGCATATATGATTAATATCATGTATATCATTGATGTATATACAGTGGCTCAAAAAACTGTCCGCATGTTTTGACATTTTTCACTATCTATGATATTGTGTGAGAACTAACAAATGGCTCAAGGACATGGTTATACCACATTGTAGTATGGCTTCAGGGCTTTCATTTGAGCCCTACACTGTGGGAATCGGTGGAGATATGGTGGAGATACAAGGTTCACAAAATGGTGACTCATGCGGACAGTTTTTTGAGCACATATTAAAACTATATAAATCATCATTTATGACACCATAACAATCATGCCACCATTAAATAAATTATAAAGTGGTGTCATTATGTCATTTTAAAACCATATCTAACTATACAAACCAAAAATTTCCATATGTCATGGTTATATTCACCATGAAAGCCACCCCCCTGCTCAAAGGGATAATATCCTCTCTCTTTCCTATTCTGGCCTCTCTGCTTGTCAAATTTCCTCTAGAACTGGAGTATCCAAGTCCACTGTGGCCATCTATCACACATATGCAGAGATGACTAGCACCCTTCTTGTTTCACATATATACCTTGCCATCTGACCCAATCCTATTTATTGTGGTCTTATATGATCATATAACATGCTTCCAGTCCATGTAATCCAATTCTGATGGGCTAAGGCAAAGGTTAGTCATCTCTGCATATGTGTGATAGAGAGGAGAGCCTTTTCTTCCTTGTTACTGACTTGAGATGAGCTGTCTTGAGAATGTTTCTCACAGTGTGTGAAGAGACAGGGAATGTGATGGTGGAATTGATGTAATAGGTGACCTGGACAGCATTATCAGCCTTTCCTGTAGTGATATGTTGAATAATAGCCCTCCTATCAGTAGAGGTGAGCTTCGATGGACGCCCTTCACAGAAGTTTTCCTTGTCTGTGTGACTTTCTTTGATGAACTTGGCCACAGTGGACTTGGATACTCCAGTTCTAGAGGAAATTTGACAAGCAGAGAGGCCAGAATAGGAAAGAGAGAGGATATTATCCCTTTGAGCAGGGGGGTGGCTTTCATGGTGAATATAACCATGACATATGGAAATTTTTGGTTTGTATAGTTAGATATGGTTTTAAAATGACATAATGACACCACTTTATAATTTATTTAATGGTGGCATGATTGTTATGGTGTCATAAATGATGATTTATATAGTTTTAATATGTGCTCAAAAAACTGTCCGCATGAGTCACCATTTTGTGAACCTTGTATCTCCACCATATCTCCACCGATTCCCACAGTGTAGGGCTCAAATGAAAGCCCTGAAGCCATACTACAATGTGGTATAACCATGTCCTTGAGCCATTTGTTAGTTCTCACACAATATCATAGATAGTGAAAAATGTCAAAACATGCGGACAGTTTTTTGAGCCACTGTACAGGGCACACAAGACGCCTTTGACACCCTTGGCAAAATATTGAGCAGGATGTACACCGGTGGCAGTCGCAATCACAATGGGTGTCAAGACTGTGTGGGCGCTGTTCTTCAGGACATAGATGAGCGAGGGTGGAACTTAATCAGACCTGAGTTCTTGGAACAACTATCACAGGCTCACACTTTGCTGAAGGATGCTGAGGAGCTATTGACATTGGTTGCAAATTTTCATGGTCTGTGCACTACTTATCTCAAAGCTGAATGTTTGCATGTTCTTCATACATCATGTCTCTGGGTTGCAGCCAAGGAGGAAATCTTATGTCTTGCAGATCAAGACCCACAAGCCCTTGATGACGCTCTATTCAATGACAGGCTCATTTGGCAGGTTAGCTATTAATACATATTACATATGTGCTGTTTGATAATATCATGTGATACCTTGGACATTGTTGACTAGGTTACCTTAGCTACACATCATGGCCCCCATTCTCAAAGGACGATGTCGAAAATTGACTAAGTATGATCGTCAATTTATTGAAGAAAATACAGCACGATATGCTGCTGAGGCTAGGCATCAACATAACAATGACACTCAAGACCATTCTCTATCCGGAAGCATGTATCATGCGCATACATCTATTGATGTCACACACAGGGATAATCACTCAGTCAAGACCTCATACTTTCATGTGCCTCAAGCAATGCCAAACCCGCATGTTGTTTTACCTGTAACCCTACTGGAAGGAGTATTGGAGGCTTTCAATTTCAACATCGTGGATGAAGCTTATGTTGACTACCTTGCAGACACAAATGTTGATGCGGAGCCTATTAAAATGAAGAGGAAACATACAGCAGGAGTAAGTATCTTTCTTACTTGTTTGCACATATCTTGTTCACTATGCTCCAGGATGAACCCCAGAAGCTATGGATTCCCGAGCGCGATAAATTTCTCAAGGAGTTCATCAGACTTGAAGGGCGTGGAGAAGCCACATTGTATCAGGCATGCCAAGGCTTGCCTGGGTGCTTGAATGAACCTGTTGTGCGCTGTAGGGATTGTGAAGGATCTCAGTTGTACTGTCAAGGATGTATTGTCATACAGCACACTGTGATGCCTTTGCATCACATGGAGGTATGTTTGATTTCTATACATTGATACATTATTCACCCATGTATAGATATGGACTGGTTTGTATTTCCAGTGCATTTCGCTCCATGATCTCAGCCACTGTATCCAACTTGGTCACCCTCCAGGACTCCAGTGTTGTAACCCTTCCCTAGCCTTTGATGATGATTTCGTCGTTCTGGAGATAAACAGTATTCATAGAGTCGCACTCAATTTTTGTAACTGCGCAACAGCACAGACACACAACATTCAGCTGTTGCATGCATGCTGGTACCCAGCTACAACTACCAACCCATGGACAGCTGCAATGTTCCAACTGCTCGACCATTTTCAGATGTACACGTTTGAGTCGAAAGGCTCAGCATTCGAGTATTATCAGTTGCTCGCACGTCTGACAGACAACACTGGCACACGTCAACCAAAGGCAAGTGACTTTTTGGGTATTTGTTCTCTTTGCTAACAGATCTTTAGGGTCGCTATGAATCATTCTTGCATATGAGTCGCCAACATCGTCATATCACTTCCCTTTTATGAGCTGGCCACGGCCATGACCCTAACGGGGTTCTTGGAACAAAGGAGGGAGAGCTCGCAGTGCTTTGCCCGGCCTGTCCTCAGCCAGGGAGGAATTTACCTGCAGATTGGGATAATGTTCCACTACATATGAAGTACATTTATATTCTCATTTCTTTACTATGGTACATGCTCACATTTGGACAGGTGGCTCTATGGATTGTTTCTTGCTATTGATGCAAATTTTCGATTGTGCCACTGAAACAAGTCCTCCGAGCAAGTGGATCCAAGCCTCAGTAATGGCTGGGCATATTTCATGGAACAGTCTAGTTTCAAGGAGGTACTTGAAGCTTCTGGCACTCAGGTACAAGAGGTGAGAAGCTGATGTTGATGATGTGTAACTGACTGACTTTGTTATTTAGAAAAGTTCTTGTGCCAGTCACAATGCAGTCAACCTTGCTGACACAAAGAATGCACGTGGGATGGCAGCCACAGGAGTTGGTGCTATCGTCTGTGCATGGCACAATCTGACTCATCCATCATTGGTCAGCAACCTGCAAAAAGGAGAAAAGTAAGTGTATTTCTGTTTTAATCTAAATGCGAATCCTTATGTCGTTAGATATGTCAACATGGACTACATCTTCTTTTCGACCTTACAGCATGCGAGCACTGTTGATGTGCTCAATATCTCTTATGACATTGCATGTCAATGGAGCAAGCACCTTTGGACCCAAATGTTACATTACCCTTCAAGAATGCACTTGCAGCCTGACGACAAAGTCTTAACATTTGTAGTCCCAAAGTTCCACCTACCTGCCCATATTCTTTCTTGTCAGACTAAGTATTCCCTCAACCTTATTAAGGGCATGGCAAGGACAGATGGCAAAGCCGTGGAATGTGGCTGGTCCAATATCAACCCCATTGCTACCAGCACATGGGAAATGGGTCCAGGGTCAAGACAAGACATCCTCGATGATCATTTTGGGGATTTAAACTGGTGCAAAGTATGCAATCTTGGTATGTACTACATCTCTCATAAATATCCTCTGCATACTGACTTGTCACCTTTTAGGTCCATTTCTTTTATGGAAACTTAAGGAAGCTATTCCAGAACGCGAGCAACATATCCTCGACTTACAGGACTTTGAAGAGGCAATCCCTCCAGCAAGCCTTAGTGAATGGCGGATAATGATAGTCAAGTGGGAGACGGACTGTTCTTGACCAAACCCTTTTGAGACAAATACATCAGGTAAGTACTCTGAGTTTCCAAAGTTGGTTTATACCTGACACTTGCGTCGCAGTCACTATGCAAGCATCCGTCAGGCTTGAACTATCGCAACTTGAAGGGCAACAACTCACTGATGGTGTTGATTCCTCCCTGCATCCAGAGGTATCCCCTAGTGTGCTAATAGCTGCAGGTATTGATTTGGAATCCCTGCAGTGAGTCCTTCGTCACACTGGATGACAAATTTTGGTTAATATTTGATCTCTTAGACAGCGCCTAGCCATAGATATGGCAAACATTGGCACTCATGCCACAGATAATCAACTCTCTCTTCTGCAACAACAAATGAATGCACTCCACCGCTGTATTGAGCAATGGGTGCAGATACAAACATTGTATATGCCATGTGTCGCACACCTGTGAACTGAGTCACCTGACACGCCCAACATGCCTGAAGAGGCAGTGCACTGTATTAAATTATGGTTGCCTTCGGCTGTGGTGAATCTGGGTATAGCTTGTGATGTCAACCTTTGTCAGATCAAGTGGAAGCTGCGCTGTGCCCAGGCACATGATGGTCTGCAAGAACTTCGTCAACACCTACGACTCAAACAGCACCTCACCGGCTTCAAAAGGGACTGGATTAGAGGCCAATGAGCCCATACAAGGTCACAGGCCATTATTGATACTGTCCAACTGAAGATAGACAGTGCTGCTATGAAGTATCGGACAGCTTGGTTTGCCCTGGAGTCCCTTGCCATTAACCTTTCAAAACTCACCTGGCAGATTGAGTTTCCGAAACTTGATGATGCTGATATCTGGGGCATGACAAAAGGACAGGCAGGAGGGGAGGTGGAAATGGAAGGTCAAAGGTTAGTATTGGTTTCTTGGATCTGGAAGCAACATCATGGTGCAGGTGAAGAAGAGCTTTTGGAAGGTAATTGTGGTTTTTTTTGGTGTGGCGCTTGCTGATGATTCAACAGTCATGCACATCGAATGGTGCAAAGCTCGTGCATGTGCTAACAGATGGGCTGAAGAGGTTGTACTCTTGCAGGAGGAGATGAGGCGTGTTGTTGCCTACTTTGATTGGCATGCAATGTGGTGGGATAAGCGTGCAGTTTCCAGAGCTAATTTTGCAATGCCAGAGAATGAAGCTCTCATTGCATATGCTTCTTGGCAAGCTAATATACAATGTTCCATGTCCAATCACTGTCTCTCTTTGTGGTCCATGGTCCCTGGCCTGCTCACTCCATTGATAATATCCTGCACGATGTAATGGATTGTTTTTCACTATTTTCAACTATTTTTGCATTTTCATTTCGTTGTCACTGGCTACTTGTATTTAGGACTTGATTACCATTCAATATACTTGCTTGCCTCACTACCACTGGTGACAACAGAGTGACTACACTGAATTAGCACTTTTGGCCCACAGAACATATGTTTTCACAATCTCCGTTATTTCCATATGTGGATACTACAAAGAAATGGGCGGTTTGTGAAGCTTCACTGAGCCAGGGACTGGGCTCTGAAGCCAGGTGATTGAGAAGGACAATAGAACATCAAGATCTACTACTAGATCTACCAGAGATCTGATAGGATCTGATTAAGGACAAGTGAGAACACAGAATACAGCCATCTTAGTCAGTGCGCAGAGCTGTGGATGTGTTTCCTGCAGAGTATTGATACAAGAAGCCAGGGGCAGTAGTACTACAGGAAGAGTATTGATACAAAAGCCCAGGGGACAGTACTACAAGGAGAGTATGGATACAAAGAAGTCACTGGCCATTACTGTGGAGTATGCATCCATAGCTTGTTACTATGGCCAAGGAGTATGGATACTCCTGCCAGGGTGTGGTGATCATGAAGCTGCCTCAGATGGTGGGAGTTGAACCAGCCATGAACATTCTGATGTATAGCAATCTGATGGGCAAGAGCAGGATTAACAACCATTAGCTGATCTTCACACACCCGCAGATACTTGTCTTCATCATGTATATAGGTAACCAGGCAGCAAACCTTGACATTTAGATGACAAATCTCCTCATGTGCTCGACACATTTTGAAATAAAGATCCATTGCACTCCGAGCTGCTGGTGAAGACCAGGGCAATTGAGATACATTGGAGTGTGTGTTTCATAGCAGATCAAAGTCAGCAAGAAAGGCGTACTCGACGACCTCCTCCCACTTGAGTATCTGCCAGGGAGGGTACACCGCACTGGCAAGCTTATTGTATGTGTTGAGGGTGGATCTGATGGTGGCAGAATGTGTCTGCAAAGCCCTTGCAATGTGTTTTCATAGTTTGTAACCTTGAACCATAGATAGAATCAACCAAAACAAATCAAGCTTGACTTGAACTCACCTGTCCCTGCCCTGTTCATCTTTGCAAGTTCAAAAATACGAGCAACAACCAAACCCTCTAGACAGTCTAGTGCACGTTGATACTTCCTGTTAGCTACAAGCCTCCCCACCCTCTGCCACTCTCTGTCTTCTGAAACCCATTGAGTGATGACCTTGAGTTTGCATTCCAGTGCTTGAACCAACCTTAAATTTCTCTCATAGTCCTCAAGAGCATGACAATGTGTGGTCTTGGCTTTGCGTGTGTTTGCAAGATCTGCACTGTATGGTAGAGTATTGTGCTGAGAGGGTGTGAAGGAGTTCATTGCCACGTCAAGAGCAACACTATTTGAGGGGGTATCAGTGGCCATGAGATACATACATGAAAAGTTAAGCTCACCTGCTCGCACTGAGATTCACTAATCTCTGCCAGTATTCCATTTGAATTGTCTCTTCCTCAGGCTCTTGCATTAGATCCTTAAGGTAGGCTTTCTCGTCTTCAAGCCAGCGTTCAAAAATGCTCTCGTCCTTGATTCTGAGGTCTTGCATAACCTTCGGTAGGACAAACTTGCTGTTTTCTAGGATCTTGAGAGCTTGCTTGTAGTTTCCATGCAAGAAATTTGCTAGCCCCCAGATAATCATGTCAGTGAGTGCATCATGTATGATCACTTGAAGAGACTGACATACAAAGATTGCCATATACTTCAAACTCATTGTTATGCTCAAAGTATGAATCGATGGCCTGTTGATGATGGAACACACTAGTATACTGTAGAGCTGATGCAAGGGCATTTGACTTGGAGAACGTCCGCTCGCAAGTCTCCAAATCTTCTATCCCAAGACCCTTGATATAGGTTGTCAGTGAAAAAAGCTGACATAACCGCTTGTGCACATGTCCATGAAATGCGCCAACCAGGCATGTATGACATAATGAGCACACAAGGGGTCCAAGAGAGCTATTGTCCGGAGTAGTCCGAAACTGACAGCCAATGTCATAACCGCCACCCAAACCACCACCAAATGCATCTAGCAACTTGGCAACAATAGCTAGAGGATATTTTGCACTGTAGGAACACCTGTCAGAAACATCAAACAAAAGTACATATCACTCACAGCTCCCCACTCTGCACCATGTCTGTGATGAGCAAACAAAAGCCATGGCGGCAGACAGCAACAAAGATACCAGTTTCATCATAGATACCCCATGCTTTTTTTGTCTTTGTGTCGTCCATATTTTTCCACCAGCCTTCGCACAAGTTATCTGCCAGGCTCTAATTGATAGTTAGTTTCTATAGAAGCTCTGCATCAATCACTCACATTGTCCCCTGTAGTATGTAGGCTATCCCATGCAAACTGGTCGACAAAGTTATGAGATAGATAATGGTCACTAACAAGCAGTTGGCCAGTGGGAAGCTCAGACGATGCACCAAGAGAGTCATTGTCATTGTCAAGTGACCGTCGTAAAATTCATTTCAAGGAGTTGTTCCCATCCATGGCATATAGGATCTTGAAGCATAGCTGATGTTCACCAGTTAGTGTGTAAGTGCATGCTGGACAAGCGTGTTTGAGGCGCCAGTCAGGTGAGTTGCGTCGGAGTAATTCTGCCACAAGTGAGGCCACAACCCATCTTATCTGAAGGTATAAGTCAAGTGCAATCGAAAATTGGCGTGAGAGGTGCTGGTGGAATTCAACCTGTATATGTTTAACATAGAGAACCACAGGACTTGAGATGAGACAGTTGTACTCCATGTAAATTGCACATGGTCTTAATGAATGCTTGGATCGATAAATGAGGGCTCCTCAGGTGCGCCACATGATATAATTCAAGAGCTTCTAATGTTATGCCTGTGGCTGGTGATATTGGCGAGCAAGGCATAACACCTTGACAAACCAGTGCAGAGGCAATTGTATGGTCTGTTGATGATATTTTAAGAATGACTTTCTCAGCAACTGTTGAACAAATAATGTCAAAATCTTAAGATAAACAAACTTCGAAGTGGTAACTCACAGAATGCATCTATCACAGTCACTGGCCATTGGCCACCGTTGAAGTCAATCACCTCATCCGTCTCTTCACTGCATAGACGATCAAAAAAATTCTTGAAGCCTTTCTGTGATTTCTCAAGGCTCCATATAATGTATGCTTTGCTCATCACTTGTATTTGCTCATTAAAAGCAACATTCCTCCGCAGAACATGATCATGGTGCATGCAATTGTCAACACGTTGAACCCTGCGAGCACCATCATTATGGACTTTTCTGATGTGCATGTCAATTGCTGAGCATCTGCTAATACACACACTCACAATCTCCAGACCTTGCCCAGAACACCTCTTGCTAGGTCTCCAAACTCCCCACCAGCATTGCTGATGGGGAGTGTATCAGTACCATCCAATACATCACCAAAATTAAAATCTTCCAAGTCCTCATCAATGTTGAGTGAGAAAGTTGGGGGATCTCTGAGAGCTTCCAGAGCTTGGCGTTCAATGGCTGTCATTGCTATGAACCAGGTTAGTGTTTTGTTCTGATCTTTTTGAGCACCTGGACACTCACCTTGTAGGCAAGTCTCCTGCCATTGTTTATAGTTGGCTGCTTGCTGAACCAACACTCTGTGTTTGACCACCTTCGACACACAGTTGATGGGAAGCCCATTTTTATCTCGTGAGGAACCTATATGATGGATAGACTGCAGAGAGATGTTGGTGCAGACTTGCTGTGTTTGTCATCCTCCCAGATTATGCATAAGTTTTTTTTTTCAGACAAGCCAGGTATGGTACATACATGCTCTGGACTTTTGCTGTGACTAATCATCATTGTGATTCGCATGCATTTCCATCTATCCCCGTGTTTGATCAACCATTTCCCTAAGTTTCTCACATCTGCAATGTCATGCACTCCCTCACCGTCGGTTGTTTCCCACCATGATGATCACATCCGGGACTTACACCAGTTGCTTGAAGGTGTTAAGAACCATGCTCAAAGGAAAGAGAGACTGACTCAGAGGGGCTTGGCCTCAGCTCGTACGCTGTGCCCCTTACCCGAGTATGTGCCCTTCATTTCAGAGGAAGTCCGATGATGGTCTGACGAAGTCCAGAGGACTTCCGGAGGCTGGCTACTCTGGTGGAGAGTGTGGGAGGACTTCCGGAGGAGTGTGGGAAATGTCCGGAGGAGCATGGGAGAGTTCCGGAGGGATGCAGGAAATGCTCAGGAGAGTTCCTGCTGCAAGGTAATACTTCTACAGGAAAACAGGATGGAAGGATAGGAGGTCTGGAGGACAGGATGTCTGGAGGTCCGGAGTATGGAGGACAGGAGGTCCGGAGGTATGGAGGACAGAACGTCCGAAGGTACGGAGGGCGGAACATCCGAAGGACAGGATGCTTGGAGGTACGAGGGACAGGATGTCCAGAGGTACAGAAGACAGGAGGTCCGGAGGTCTGGAAGGAATAGGGGCTACATCAGACAAAGTCCGATGTAGAAGCAAACGGAGGTAGACTACCCTAAGGTAGAGTCAGAGGGACAGGAAGTGGACCTAAGTCCAGAAAGAGGGTAAGTGCTGGAAAGGCAAGACTCTAGCCTAGGGAAGCAATCCCTAGACTTGGGACAGAGACATAGGGGACAAATCCGAAGGTCCAGAATTCTGGCCTAGGGAATCCTTCCCTAGGCCTTATGGAAAAGGACAAGACTCAGATGGACTGAAGTCCAGAAGATGATTGGGCAGATCTAAGGTGATATTCAGACTGAGGACTCTACTGTAGTTGTACAGGGGTTATATACTAGAGGCTATCCAAGAGGATCAGTAAGCAAAGGAGTAAGGCTATGTACGAGCATGCGGAAACACATTGGTAAGTAAGACAGAACATAAGTAAATGAACTCAGAGATGAAACTAGTACAAGGATCAATCAGCAAGACGGAAACAGAGATAACCGAGAACCGGAAAGGTGGAGATGCCTAAATGGGGATAGGCCCAGGATCTCGGATGGAGGGTGGGAATAGGTCCAGAGATAGTAACAGTTAATATCCAGAGGTCCAGAGATCTGGGGATCTGGAAGGCAGGGCGGAAACAGGACTGAGATATGTGAGGTGGTGGATGTAGTCCAGAATCTGAGAGGAGGTAAAGTCCAGATGTCTTGCTGGATGGAATGTGCATAGGGTGGACAGGATAGGGGATCCAGGAATGAGTTGGATATGGGGTCCGGAAATAGGTCCGGAAAGCGTGGGAATATGATGGGATCTATGTCTGGCATATGGGATATGACAGAAGGCATGTCTATATTGGGTAGGGTCACAGGTCTATGTGATCTAACAAACAGTCACTTACTCACATTTTTGAATAGGTTCAGCTTTGGACACAGTGACCTGGAAGTGCAAGACTGTCAAAGAGACTATCACCCTTTCCAAAGCATCACATATGAACTCATCGCATGCCAATCAACCCACCCTAGTACCTGATCTATCCACTAGCTCATATCCACAAGACCCTCTGCTGTCTTCAAGCCAATCATCACACACACAATCTTCCACAAGTGCTGCACCTCCCCCACTGCCAGCTATGCAGATTCCAAAGCCCAGTGAGATCGCACTACCACATACCAGGTTGAAGCCTGAAGGGTTCTGGGTGATCATGGTCGGTCAAGAAGTCAGTATATTTTACCATTGGTAAGTGTTGTTGTACTTTCACTTATAATAGTATTGACATTCATATCAGGGCTGATGTGGCTGAATGCACCCACTTTGTTAGCAGTAACGTTCAGAAGTGGTACCCTTCATTCCAGGAGGCGCTTGAAGTATATACTGTCCAATACCATGCAGGCAAAGTGCGAGCAGTCCCAATTCCAGGTGGCACTTTCTGGCCGTCTCCATCCCCACCTTCTCCTTCTTCATCCTCTGACTCAGATGGACTGTGGTCACAGGTTGATGACTTGTTGGAGACGATGACACACTGTGAACTCTAGATAGTAGATACCTTTGTAGTAGTTCACTGTCTCAGCCATGTATACACATAGTACTTGTAAAACCTTTGTGATGGAATCTTTATTATGCTCAGTTCACAAAATGTGCAAGCTACTCTGCATGATTAAAAAATTGATGTATATATGCAACCATAACTGAATGACATTGGACTACACAAATGTGGGGTCACCTTAACTAGAGTCTGCATGTTTGTAATCGGTGATTAGACAGTGAGATGCAATCATAGTCCTTAATCTGGGCCCACTGCACCTGCTACACATTTTGATTGCTTGAATATAACAGATTCTAACCTTTAATGCGGTCAGTATGGTTTAGAATTCTATGGAAGTTCGATTTTTGGGAGATACAACAATGTGTGCTATATGTTTGCCATCATTTGCCATGTGTGCGCCATCAGTTTGCTATGCATTCCCTATCATTTCACTATGTTCCCCATTGAATTGACATGCATTCACCGTCAATTCGACATGTGTTCACTATTGTTTGGATATCTGTTTGCCATCATTTCGATATGACATTATTCAACATCTTATCATAGTTACAAGCTACCTAGTTTTACTGTTAGCTACTTTAACTTCAAAGAATTTGACCTCTGAAATAATGCAAATGAGCAAATCGTGTAGTATAATGATATCGTACTTGAGCCGCTCCCTGCAATATGGGCAACTGGTATGCACAATGTCTTGGATACTTTCAAGAAGTTCCCTCCCCTCCAAAGCATGTGCACCACACTCCTCAAGAAAAATAGTAGTCTCTCATACCCCCTTCTGTTGTGCACCTTCAAGTAGTTTCTCATATGCATCATCCCACAAATGTTCAGACTCCTGGGACCATCCCTTTTGCCAGCAGTTGGTGGTGTTCTCAATGCTTTGCAGGGTTAGCAAGTCACAGGAACACCAGAAGTCATCCTCCATAGTGAGTATAGATCCATCGTCAACCTCAGGAGTGATATTGTGAGAATCAAGACCATCAAGTGTGGGTGAACTGATCAAAGGGACATGTGTATTTGCCTCTGCAGGGGCATTTTTTTTGCTATGGGTGCAGTCAGCAACAGGAACAGATGGTAGTAAACAATGGTAATTGTACTTGGCTCGCTTCCTTACAATTATATTTAAGTACAAACTTTCAACTTGAGAGTGAACGTTAGACTGACCTCACCATCCGAATGTGTGCCTTTGCATTTTGCATGTCTTGAACTCTGAAATAGCAGGGAATCATCCCGACTTGAATTGAAAAGAAAGAAAAAACTTACCCTGGTTTTGCAAGCCAATGCTTAGTAGCTATGCGCTGCCTGTTCAGAGTAACAGGAGGACTCTGCTGATGAGGCTTAGAATGCATTTTAGATACCATATAGTATGAAGACTGAAAATCAAGACTTGGTACTAGGGGAAATGGGTGGGTCATGAGATTTTCTCTTGACTCAAACTTATAATATTATTAATGTTAATCTTGCGACTGTGTCCTTACCTTGGGATTCCCCCTCTTACATTTTAATAGAATGCGAATTAGTAAAACAAAGTTGCTGTTGGCACTCAATCGCCAATTAACCCATCCGAACATCTGTGATGAGGCCACCCCAGCAACCAACCTATCTGAACACCATTTTGGATTTGTGATGAGGTCATCCCAGCAACCAACCTATCCAAACATCATTGGCATTCAAGTTGGATTTGTGACGAGGTCATCCCAGCAACCAACCTATCCAAACATCATCGGCATTCAAGTTGGATTTGTGATGAGGTCATCAGCAACCAACCTCTCCAAACATCATTGGCATTCAAGTTGGATAGAGGTTGTGAGATTTTCGAGGTTTGACTATAATGTTAAGTTAATCTTGCAATTGTGTCCTTACCTTGGGGATTCCCCCTCATCCATTTTGTAGGATGTGAATTAGTAAAAGGAAGGTCACTGTCAACACTCGGTCGCCAATTAACCCATCCAAACACCATCAGTATTCAAGTTGGATCTGCGATGAGGTCACCCCAGCAACCAACCTATCCAAACATCATTGGCATTCAAGTTGGATTAAAGGATCACACTGAGGTCATCCCAGCAGAGATGTGTCTTATCGCCCCTGATCAACTTCCTCTAATTCGTGACCCAAAAAGTATGATAGTAAGTTGATATGACTCTAACAATTGATATTAATGACGTTTTTTATAGGGTTCATTGACCTGTCTATGTCATCGTCCTAATATGTTGGTGTGATTCTCAGGTTCCTGAGGCAAGCACTTTTTTTCTTCTAATTGTGTCCCTGCAACAACACTCCTTACCTGCACAGATGAACATGAGCTTCATTTTCTCTGAAAATGACTTCGACACCAACGGAAATTTCATCGCCAATGGAGGACCTGAATATTCCATGGGGATGTTCAATGAAAATGAAGGTATGTTGTGTATGTGTGTCTCCCACTCTTATTGATCTTCAAAAACAGGATCAAACAATGCACCCCAATTTTGGGATGGTATTGACATGGAGGACCCATCATTATATCTGATGCTGCTGACTCATGATGAGTTAGCAGCTGTCAACAATGGACCAGTCCTTCCTACTCCTTTCATTGCTGAATTTTCACCTGACACATGTGAACTCACTCCTGCCTCTCACACACTATCCCCTGCCGCTGGAGAGTCACTGGCAGAGCCCCTCCATGATGCCAATTCATCCACCTGGGCAGCACGAAACCCATCACATCCCATAATTCATTGCCGGACCACAGCAGCTCGGCTGTCAGATGCCCAGAAGGCCTCCCGGAAAATAAAGAAGGACCAGAGGACAGAAATCACGAAGTGTTTACATGATGCCATCGTCAGACACCTGCAAGAACAGAAACATGCAGTTGAGTTACTCTCGCACACTCACCATGTGACTCTGAAACATATCAATGACATGATTAGTAGTCAGACCAAGTATCACACAATGCGCAAGATTCACCTGACTAATGCCCTCATTCATGCCAAAGCCAAGGAGATGAACAGTGGTACACTAAATCCCTTTCCTTACTCTCATAGTCATACTCATGTTCTGTCACAATAAGACCAACCTATTGGCTCTCAGTATACATTGACTGAGCTGTGCGAAATGATCACTGAGGACCCCCAGATGCAAAATTTGATGAGGGATGAGAAGGCCACTTATGTGGCTGCTCTCAGTGAGCACCATGAGCAAAAGGTAAGTAATGTGCAAGCAAATAACATGGCCACTGCACGAGACATTTTGGTCACAACGGAAAGGATTGTCAAGGAGGTGAGCTCTCCAGCTGTTGCATGTATTCTACTAAACCTATTTTCACTTTGAAGCTTGATGAGTTGCGTGTTCACACAGGCACCTACAGAACTTTATTTGTCATTCGCAGTCACATCAACGACATGATCCAAAGTACAATGCATGGCACAGATAACTCAGACAACTTTTGGGAGGATGTATATGACCTTCCAATGGCTGACTTCCTCCAACAGTATGAGCAGTGGGCTTGCACACAAAATCAAAGTAAGTACTCATATCTTCACACATCCACTGTCCTTATCAAACACCTACAGATCTTATTGAGTGCGACTCATTGGAAGCCGTGCAAAAGCAAGTTCGAAAACTCATTGTCCATGGACTCAGTGAGGCTTCATAACTTGGACATGCGATACTCATCTAATGTCTTTGACAGTTGCAGTGACAGGGAAAAAGATATTGCAATGAATTACAACAACTACGACACAGCAATTGTTGAAACATATGCGGTTTGGCTTGTAGGATGGCCCGCAGATGTCAACTTCATCAGTCCCTCAAACATCAGGACTGTTGGTGAGATCCAGAAGCTTCATGATGCACTGAAGGGCCGGACATGCTACTGGACTGTTCTGATGCCCATGGAAGTCAAAGCCCACACTGCCAAACTCAATGCGCACCATTCAGCAGGGGAAGCTGTTCAGCACCCACACAAGAAATGTTTGGACGCTGGCAAGTCTCGCAAGCGCAAGACTGCGTAAACCATGGGTCACACAGACAAGGAGAGCAAACAGTCATCAAAGAAGGCCAAAAAGAATCCTTCCCAGGATCGTGAGGCTCTCAGAAGTGCGGAGTTCATTGTCTCATCTGATGAGGAAGAGGTTGAGGACCAGTAGTGTATTGTTCTTGAAAGTGGAGGAGTAGTCTAGTTTACCTATCATGCTGTTGCAATGTACCTCATTTATCATGCTTAGTGTCAAAACGCACTGTCAATATATCCCATTTAATGAGCTCATCATGTATGACGACAGGCACAAAGGTTCACATGGCAGGCGCATGGCAATGGACAGCAGGAACATTAGCACCAACATCCCACACTTACTTACCTATAGCTACTGTTATTATAAGTCACTCTTTATCCAAGAGATATTGAAGGAGGCTTGGAAGCGCTGTAAGTCTGTCATTTTAGATGTGCTAGCCCTATCTATAATCACGTCTAATTAGACGCAATACATGGGAGTCACAGGTGGTTTGCTCCCACTTGGTTGTATCCCATGTCCTAATGGAGTAATCAAATGACCTGGAGATAAGGGTCTTCCCATCCTCGGTCCAAGCCAGGCAATGCACTTGTACTGTGTGTCCTTTGAGAGATGCAACAAGCCTGCCTGTCTTTGTGTCCCAGATTTGAATTGAGCACTCATGTTTTCCAGTCCCTGAGGTTTCCTCCCATCCAGTCGCAATCAAGGACATGTCTGGTGAATAGACGACTGCCCACACAGCATTGTGTCCTGTCTTGATCAGTGCCAGTATGGTTTCTCCGCTTTCCATGCCCCATTGCCTTGCAGTCCCATCGTTAGATCCGCTCAAGACTCTCCAACCATCTCGACTCCAGCAGACAGACACCACAAGCTTTGTGTGCCCTGTCCATTTAGCAATGATCTTGCATGTGTCAATATCCCACAACCTCACTGCACCATCCTTACTCCTGCTAACCACTGTCTTCCCATCTGGAGACAATGCTATGCTCTCCACTTCACTTTCTCCGTCTCTCCAGTCTTCTCCTATCTGTTTTCTGCTCCTCAAGTTCCATACTCGCAGCAAGCCATCCAATGAACAAGTGATAATTTGCTGTCCGCCTGGCAGGTATATGACACCCCAGACATCATCAGTGTGTCCTTCAAATTTCTGGCGAGGCATCATTGCTGATGTCTTTTTTGTTTTAGTGCTGGGTGAAGCCATGCTCCAGAATTCCTACCATGGGATGCAGTGCCATCTCAGCTTTCATCAATCAATTTTCAAAATCATCACTTACAAGGAGGTCTCTCAGGAGCGATGGGCAGGCAACAGGGAATAATGGTTGTTTGGGACAAATCAGAGTTGAATACACTGCTTCCTGGTGCGTTATTGTACATGCTGTATCCTTGTGTTCATTTCATAGCTTATACAGCATAGGCTGTGCAGCTGAAGTGCCCGAGCATCTCAGGGTCATATTACATACAGCCTCTATCCACGACTACCTAGTTCTCAACCACTAGGGAAGATGAGGGGCAGTTCGCTGCGAAGCACTCTTGATGTCAGCTGCCATTGAACATGACAATGAATTGGCATCACAGTGAGTTGGATTGCCTATATGCTAGTACCTGTTATCCAATTGGCTCTAGAACATTCTCTCAAGCTCACTGCTTGGAATCATCTTCTGCCTCCAACAAGCACGCACATCAGATCAGCGACAGTTTATGAAAAAAAATGGCTAAGGAACATTCCCTCCCATGCACTTCATTCTTCTCTCCCAGCCGCATCATATTCTGCCTGGCAATCAAGATGAGGTACTGGTCACTGTGATTCTGAACAGACAGGTTCTGTTCCGCATATCAACAATTGGGTATGAGTAACGGTAGTACCTGATTACTGATTACCACCCTGCAGATGAGATGAAGGAAACATGTACTGCATTCTTGAGTTCATTTCTGCCGTCTGAGGTATGCTGTTTCATGCTGGAGATGATGTTGATTGGGGCACACTGGCACAATAAACAGGCGGATGTCATTGGACTGGAGGTCATGTTGCATTAGCCTAGAGTGTGTATGTTGAGCACAATGAGATCTTTGAATGAAGGTGTTACATACATGGAATGCCAATTTGTTGGCCTGGTCATCAGTGAACTGGTGAACAGACTATAATGTCATGGTTGACTATATATAGGTAACAATTCTATAAATCTGGTGGGGGGGTTACCTTACCTTGTGAAGGAAAGATGCATTTTTAAGTCAACCAGTCACGTTGTCTTGCCCTGGATGCACTGGTCTCTGTGTGCACTGTTCTGTAGATGAAAGATGTGCAGTCCATAATGTCATAATGATACATCAAATAGATGGGAACTGTCATAAAATAGTGATACATAAATGTGAGGAACTGTCAGTCATCCAAGCTGTAGGAGTGATGTATCAGTACAGATCCTCCCAGCAGATACTAGTACCAGCTGATACATCAGTGCAAATCCTCATTTTGTGCCCTAGCACAGCCATTGACAGGTCCGCATTTTTGGCCACCTACAACACTTAAAAATAGATTGCTCCTGGCCATCATCCCCACACTGGGAATTACCCCACAACACCAAAAACATCGCCCATTTTTGGAATCCTCACATTATTAGTTATTCCCACACCCTCCCCACCTCACTGGAGCTTCACCACCACACCACAATAGCTCCCTCTCTATAATAAGTAGTAGGTTGGTATATATGTGCATAATATAATAGACCGCTTTTTTTGTCCATTGGTGTGCTTACTGCTCCTCCAGGGCACTTTTAACATAGAGTAGGGTACAGAACACTTTCGCATTTTTGCCCCTTTGTCAGGGAAGTATTCCAGGGTGCTCAGAACATGTTTATGAGCATATATGAACATATTCCTATTGTTATTTGACCCCCTGAAGCACCCTACATCAATAGGTACAATGTATATATGGGAAAACAAAAAATAGGTTCGCATTTTTTGGTTTCTAGCTATATGAACTTGGAAAATTGTCCCCAACATCTATTTAATAGTAGGAAGAATGTATCAGGAGCTCAGGACCATAGGGAAAGATCTTGTTGTGTAGTGCATCCCTCCTCTCCTGGTGATTTACCCCCTGTGAGAATTTTTGTTGTAGGACCGGACCTTAATTGAGGCAAGGAGCCTATTTCTATGTATATTTTGAGCAGATGTATCATATAGCTAGCCCAGGAAACACATAGGATCCTTCGACAGGAACAAAAAGATAGAAAATCGCATTTTTGACATTTTTGATGTTTTTCAGTATCTTACCCTTGCATCTATGATCCAACCTGTTCAGATATCATTAGAATAGTATATATACTTACTTTTATGACAAAGATCAGCTCAAAATAGGTTGTAGGTTTGAGATACTGCATATGCTTGCTATTTCTACTGATAAAGGGCCAATACCTTCAAAACATCGAAATTTAATAATCAGAAACTTGGAGTACATTCCAAATACATTCAGTATCATATGTATAAATATACAGAACAATCCAACAAGAATTGAGTGCTGAGGAAGTGAAATAGATAAGAAATTGAGTGTGAGAAAGTTCAAAGACCCAAAGCATCGAAAATGGTCAGTTGAGCAGTAGTAGGACTTTAATACTAAGTCAACACACATTTACACTACATCCCTTCTACCCATCCTCTACCCTCAGGGCAATAGGTAGTATATGTTCCTTATGTAGTTTACTATCCATCCTACATAATTTTAATGAAATCTTCGACCTGTATCAGCTATAAATGTAACTTTGTGTCAAAAAATGACAATTGTCACTTTTCACACATATGTTCTTTTGCCTATCATTCAGTAAATCATTCATGGATCTTTCTAAAATTTTAATCATATCATGAGGGACATATATGAGAGGTATCCCAGGTCTCTGATCACTTATCACAGGCTTTGCTATCATATAGGCATCTAATCAATAGAAAGACCCCTTTACATTATATCTCACATTTCCGCCCTATATCTAGCTGATCCTTAACATGAAACACATATTTGAATGTACTACTGATTATATAGGAACATTGCTGACCGGATGTGCAAGGGTAAGATACTGAAAAACATCAAAAATGTCAAAAATGCGATTTTCTATCTTTTTGTTCCTGTCGAAGGATCCTATGTGTTTCCTGGGCTAGCTATATGATACATCTGCTCAAAATATACATAGAAATAGGCTCCTTGCCTCAATTAAGGTCCGGTCCTACAACAAAAATTCTCACAGGGGGTAAATCACCAGGAGAGGAGGGATGCACTACACAACAAGATCTTTCCCTATGGTCCTGAGCTCCTGATACATTCTTCCTACTATTAAATAGATGTTGGGGACAATTTTCCAAGTTCATATAGCTAGAAACCAAAAAATGCGAACCTATTTTTTGTTTTCCCATATATACATTGTACCTATTGATGTAGGGTGCTTCAGGGGGTCAAATAACAATAGGAATATGTTCATATATGCTCATAAACATGTTCTGAGCACCCTGGAATACTTCCCTGACAAAGGGGCAAAAATGCGAAAGTGTTCTGTACCCTACTCTATGTTAAAAGTGCCCTGGAGGAGCAGTAAGCACACCAATGGACAAAAAAAGCGGTCTATTATATTATGCACATATATACCAACCTACTACTTATTATAGAGAGGGAGCTATTGTGGTGTGGTGGTGAAGCTCCAGTGAGGTGGGGAGGGTGTGGGAATAATTGATATTGTGGAGATTCCCATAATGGTTGTAGGTGCAAAAATGCTGAAGGAGCAATCTGGGAAATTCCCATAGTAGGTGGCCAAAAATGCGACAGTTAGGGGTGTGAGATTATGATGGCACTGTCCTGACAGGATCCTCCAACTTGTGCAGGGACTGATGTATCATTGCAGTAGTAGCACCACTATGACAGACTCTCATACTTATGTATCAGTATTTTTGTGACAGTGTCATGGTTGATACATCAGAATGACAGGATGTGGTGAGGTGTGATACAAGCCAATAGATTGAATTTTGGGTCATAACAGTAAAGGCCAGACACCAGTGTCCTTGTGTCATATCCCATATGCCAGACATAGATCCCATCATATTCCCACGCTTTCCGGACCTATTTCTGGACCCCATATCCAACTCATTCCTGGATCCCCTATCCTGTCCACCCTACACACATTCCATCCAGCAAGACATCCAGACTTTACCTCCTCTTGGATTCTGGACTACATCCACCACCTCACATATCTCAGTCCTGTTTCCACCCTGCCTTCCAGATCCCCAGATCACTGGACCTCTGGATATTAACTGTTACTATCTCTGGACCTATTCCCACCCTCCATCCGAGATCCTGGGCCTATCCCCATTTAGGCATCTCTGCCTTTCCGGTTCTCGGTTATCTCTGTTTCCGTCTTGCTAATTGATCCTTGTACTAGTTTCATCTCCAAGTTCATTTAATTATGTTCTGTCTTACTTACCAATGTGTTTCCGTGTGCTCGTACATAGCCTTACTCCTTTGCTTACTGATCCTCTTGGATAGCCTCTAGTATATAACCCCTGTACAACTATAGTAGAGTCCTCAGTCTGAATATCATCTTAGATCCTGTTCTACTTGCCCAATCTTCTTCCGGACTTCAGTCCATCTGAGTTTGTCCTTTTCCATAAGGCCTAGGGATGGATTCCCTAGGCCAGAATTCTGGACCTTCTGTCCCTCTGACTCTACCTTAGGGTAGTCTACCTCTGTTTGCTTCTGCATTGGACTTTGTCTGATGTAGCCCCTATTCCTTCTGGACCTCCGGACCTCCTGTCCTGTGCACCTCCAGGTGTCCTGTCCTTTGGACATTCCACCCTCTGTACCTTTGGACATCCCATCCTCCCAACCTCTGGACATCCTACCCTTCCATCCTGTTTCCTGTAGAAGTGTTACCTTGTAGTGGGAACTCTCCTGCGCTCCTCCGAACGTTTCCTGTGCTCCTCCAGACTTTGTCAGACCATCATCAGACTTCCTCTGAAATGAAGGGCACATACTCAGGTAAGGGGCACAGCATATGAGCTGAGGCCAAGCCACTCTGAGTCAGTCTCTCTCTCCTTTGAGCATGGTTCTTAACACCTTGCTGACATGGGTGTGATTCACTTACACAGTGCTGAAAACCTTAAAATCATACCTTAGTTGAATGAGTGCAGTTTCATATGACATGAGCCAAAGAATTAAATTTTGGATCATAATTGTTGAGACAAAGCACTAAGGTCCTGTTTGACATCAGTGTAATGCCTTTGTGCAATGCTAAAAATTGTAAAGTTGTGTCTAGCATAAACAAGTGCAGCTTTAATATGACACTTGAAGCTTTAAATTGTTTGGCTTATGATACCTGAGTCTTCCATTTACTTCACAGGTGGATTCTTAAAACCTGATAGTTTCAAGTGCTGTATTGAATGAGATATTGCTAAGACACACAAGACTTTCAACTTAGTGCCAGACTTTACATACTACGGCAAAATTCACCTCCCAGCAAAGCTTCTAGAAATTAACACTATCATACCTGACCAACAAGTTGTGTTTGTGGGGCAAGTTGGAGCATCCTGATCAGATTTGGCAAAGACATATAATGCATGCCACAAATTCAATGAATTAGTGGGCGCATAATGACTCATGATGTGGACACCACAGAGCAGAATCGCTTAATTTTTGGCTGATCACAAAGTGCATCTATTGTTGAATTCAGCACTCCCACTGAGTTTTTGCTTGGACAGGTGACAGTTTGAAGGGATTACCAATCTTCATCATTGGAACATGTGATACCAAGTCTAGAATCCTTTGTGCTGATTGTGCTATCCATTGAACTGTATTTTCATATTCCCATGATCACTACAGTTTCCTCACTCATCCAATGTACTTCCTTTCTTTAGTTATGTCAACCAAACTTATTCAGCTTTACATCACTGTTGACCTCCTCAGCTAAGGGCATTGCCCTTAGATGACATTCCATGGTTTGACCTCACAGGCATATAACATATCTTTTTGGGTGTGCTCAATACCACAGTGATATAAAGTGAGAATTTCTTTCTCGCTTTGGCAGTATTGTACATCGTAACAAATCTTACAGTAGTTAGTATGTTAAATGGTAGGAAATGTGGGATTGCAATCAACCCCCTCTAATCAGAGACTGAATTTATTTTCGTTTGCAATATGGTTGGATCATCCTTGTCACTGGGGCAGCAATGTGCTTTGTGATTAATCTTGTAGTATTGTGTATGTTGAACAGTACAGGATCTAGATTGCCAACTGAGTGCCTCCAGTTAGAGACCGTGCATAACTTCCTTGGCAAAGGTCATTATAGATAGAGATCTTTCCATGGCCAATTGTGAAGCCACATAGCATTTTTCTTTTGGCACAGTCATCATTATAGTCTGACATATGAGAAATTTCCTTGTCAATTGCCATCATCGCATATTAGGAAAGACCAAGCAGTGATCAGCATGTGCAACAGCACAAAATGCATCTGACAATTGTTCTTTAATTGACTTGCGATCTCAAACAATTCAATATGTGATTTGTAATAACTTGCAACTATATGATATTTATAGACATGAATATAACAATGTTAGATTAGCACGTGCAATGAGTTAATGAGCAAAGGAAGAGGAATAACAGACAAAGAGCAGCAGCAGGATGGGGAAGACAATGAGCAATTCATCAGTCTGAGTCAAAAATGGAATCCTCCAGCTTCTTTCTTTGTTCAGCCAATGCATTGATGGACATGTGGGACACAATTTCTGGTGTCAGGTCCTTGTGATGACTTGTTCCAAAGATCTTCCTACACAGTAATGTCAATTATCTAATTATCATTAAAGATGTGACAAAGTATTTACCTGGTCCACCACTCGAGGAGTTGATCTACTTTGCATCTCGTGACAGGGCCAGGGGCATCTTTGAAAAAGTCCATGATGTTATTCCAGAACATTTCATAGTCAAAGTTGCTGTCCACTGTGTGCCAGGATGAGACACTTGATAGAGTGAAATGAACCTGCCATACAAAAGTTAGATTCTGTGCATGAAAACAACAAAATTGGCTCACTTGACAAATGGCATATGCAATAGCACAGGGCATAACTTTCTTCATATTGATGATGGAGGTGACACAAGTCTTGACCTTCATCTGTTCAGATTTCCAGTGGGCACACCTATTATTCTCCAGGATATTGGCTCCATCACCATCACCATCAACTTCCCTAGCAGAAGAAGGTGATGTGAAGATGGCTTTGAAAGCCTGGGATGTGATGAGCAAACATGCAGATGACTATACTGTGACCAAACCACTAACAAGAACTAGAAGTTTCAACTTCAGAAAACCTTCCTCAAGATTGTTTGCATTATATTGATAGTTCTCATATACAAATAATGGCCAAGAATTTTCAGAAATGATGTATTCCAATGTTCTGTCATGAATGCCAGCTTTGAAATTGCACCAGCATCAATATCTGCAATAGCTGAGAAGGGTTGACACTCACCTGCTTTTATCCCAGTCCCACTCAGCAGGGCAAAGTAGCTTTCCACATATATCACTCATAAAACCATGCAGATACTTGTCATTTGGCTTGATCAGAGGAGACAGGTGAAACTCTTGGTTGACCCAGGTGGCGACAAGCTCCTTGAGACTGGAGGTATCATCACCATGGGCTGCATCTGCTCCTTTCTTAAGCTGCAAAATATTTAGTATGTAGCATGTAAATTTTGTTAACCATGTGCCTTCTTCAACATATCTTCTGAGTCTTCATGGTCAAGCTCCCCAAGCTTTCCATGCACCCATGGCAGCACCCATACAAGTTATAGCCACACTGTGAGTGATCTTGTCTGCATCACATAATTAGAATGATCACATCAAAAAAAAACCGAAAATGTACTCTGTGGTTGCTTCCATTGACAAGTGGAGCTTGTATCTGCGATCATTCTTGGTGATCAAGTCTTCCAAGCTATGGTAAAGAACAATGAGTCAATGAATTGCCCTACCTTGTGTGACATAGAAGGTTGTCTTTCTTCAAACAAATAAACCATCAACACTAGTGTAAAGGTGATGAGCAACATAGCATACTTACCTCTGCTTGCCTCCTCTCTCTTGCTTAATCGTCTTGAGCTCATCTTCTAAGGCAGCAATGCAACATTTAGCCCTGGCCTTAGAAGAGGTAGGCAAGGCTTGAGATGGATCTGGGTGTGTTAAAATTTTAACTCCTGTATAGTCCACTTCATTATCAGATGAGGACTCGGGCTTGGAAGAACCATGATTAATAGAGGTGACTCGTGTCATCCTGGGGTAGAGTAAAAGGGGGGCAATAAAGGAAGAACCTGGTAAGGTGAAGCAAGAGGGGAGGCAAAGAAAGTGAAAGGTGGAGTGAAAGAATGAGGCAAAGTGAGACAGAAAAAGAGTGAATTGGGAGCTATGACAGAGACTTGCAAAATGTTGTGCCTTTAAGTACTGAGGTCAAGCTTCCAATAAAGGATAATTACCATAATTGTCAGTGCATGGAATAGCTGCCAATAAGTTTTTGGAAGGGCCTGGGAACTACAGCTTGGTTCAATGAGCATACAAAGCTTCCACTTGCTGGCTCTTGAAAACACGGTTGAGAAGTAACGAACATAGATACCTACTATCAAGGCAACTTGAAGGGGATCACAATGAGACTTGAATTTACTTGATGATGACCATTGAATTGACTAGATAGCAGCTTCTAACATTGTACTTGAATGTTTGTGAGTGGTAAGTCAGAGGTTTAGATCCGGGGAGATTGTGCTCACATCATGTGCTCCAGCATGGTCAGGAGCCTTGCCACATAAAACAGCAGGGACTTCAGAGTGCATGTAAATCCAATGGAAGGTATAAATGTGATGGGTGCAGCGGATACCACACCAGGAGACCAAGGAGCACAGGAACAATGGGAGAGCACTTACTCCATTGTGCAGTCACACTGCTAGAGGTCAGGGTCGGTGTGATAGTAGCATGGACCAACAGCAGCAATATAACTCACAATCCCTTCATCTTCCTAGAATTCACCAAGATGAGATGCTAATGGTGGATGGAGACCTATTGCTTTGGCCTGTGTTGAATAGAGTTTTGTCTCCTGTTAATTTGAATGTGGTCTCTTCTGTTTAAGGATTTGACGACTGAACTAGAGTTCAAACCAAATCTGTAGAAAGAGAAGGGTGTCAGGGTTCTCAAGCCAGTGCAAGGGTCCATGGTGCGAAGGAAGATGAAACAGGAACTGTGATACAAATCAATATAAGCATCTCTATAGGACATGTCAGTGATCATGCAGGGGTGAGCGCCCAGAAGCAAATACTACATACCTCTGTTTATTATTCCCAAGTCCATACTAGATGCTGCATTCTGTTTGGCTGACATCTTGACAGAGTGAGCAAAAGATGTGGCAGCACTGTGCGTTCTTTCACTTACTTAAGCCCAAGTCCCATGGGCTTGCAACATCATTTGTACTAATAATAGTCTCACTCTCAAAATGTTCACTGGCACCCATGGTGGCTCACCAATTGCTGAAGCAGTCCCAGATCACAACCATGTGTTGCTCATAACTGCTGGAAGCATAGTATCTATCAAAGCTCATCTTATCATCTTAGTGTGTCTTCAAGTCTGTTCCCCATATCAACTTTTAAATATTCAGGGGCATGTTTGGGAGGTCCCTTTCAGTACTACATGTCTTTCTGTCTATTGTAATGTCAATGGCTATGTGATTTGTTGAATCTGAACATGGAATGAGTAACAGTAGCAGTACTAGGGTAAAGATCATTGTAAGAAACATGAATTGGCAACTTCAGTAAAAAAAAGGATGTGATATTTGTCCAGTGTGATAGTGTGATGCTAAGGTGTGATCTACAGAAACATGAAGAGATCAAACATAACACACAATTGATGCAGAAGCCTACTACTTGTTTGAGTTAAATGCACATTTCAAAGGAGGGGGAAGAGATGCACTTGTGCACTTATGCTTTGAGCATCCATGAGAGCTACTCAGACCACTCAACACTCGAGCTTTGATGATCTTCTCATGCCATGCCTTGTACCTCTTCCAAGCAGTCACATCTGCACCATTATTCAATGCTATGACGAAATCCTTCCACCTGATGGGAAGCATGATAATGGCTTCTTTGAGTTTGGTGCAATCAGTGTTGGGATCAAATCTTTTGGAGAATTCAACAAGACTATCCCTAATCTTCTCTAACCCCCACTTCAACATAGATTTGATGGTGTCCATATTGATGTCCAGTAATAATGTCTATATTGAAACCAGGGATTCAGTCGGATACTTGATCTGATACAATAAAAACTCACTCCATGTGCCATATGCTCAGTGTCTTCATTATCAAGGTCGATGGTGGTTTCATCATCTCCCCAAACCCAAATGAACACCTCTACTGTACTGATGTGGCACCAGTTGTGATTGGTGATCATGATGGACATGCAGGGCAGGGAAGTGTTTGGTGATGAAACCATCAAGTGGAAGTGCTTCATGAGGGTTGCTCAAGGTTTGCCATGCAACAGAACCTTTGCTGGGGCTGCAGTAGGGTTGCACTTCACAGATAAGACACAGGATGACCATCTTAGTGTGAGGATGAGTGGTGATGGTGTCTTTGAGTTTTCGGATGGCATGGGCTTTGTCTTCAGAGCATGCTACACTCCCCAATAAATGGAACTAGTATGATCTTGGTGGGTCCCTCTGCTGGTGTGACTGATTTCTGTTTGACGCTCAATGATGAATTCATGTGGACCATTGGAAATATAAGATCACGGTTGTAGGGCATTACTGTGATCAAATGTCCTAAGGAGAGCTTCAAACAATCAAAAGGTGCCTCATGAATGGCACTTGGCATTTTGACAAGAAGAGAGTTCTTGTCATAATTGTAAGTCAGCCTGGCCCAGTAAGTCTATTTACTAAATGTGGAAAGAAGATTCATTTGACTCACCTGGGCTTTGATACCTGGCCCATCTCTCCTAACACTTCTTCAATTACTTCATATTCCTGCAGACCAAGACCATGGAATTCCTGGATATTTGATAAGCATAGGAATTATCTATTCAATTGACTCAGAGGCTACATACCATGGTGTGGCCTGTCCCTGGAGGCAGTTTGATTATTTCTTTCAAAACTTTTCGCCCATCTTCAAATATTGATTAGAATAAGTCAACTCCTTGCTTCTAATGAGACTGTCATATCCCACAATCTGGACCCACATTCCATCATATTCCCACGCCATTCTGAGCCTACATCTGGACCCCACTTCATATCCAACTCATTCCAAGATCCCCTTCCGCTGTGTGCTCCACACCTCAGCAGGATCAACTCTGTTCCAGATTTACCCCTGAGCTCCAGACCATCGGATCTCCACTGTTAGCCTGATCCATACCCCCCTGTCCCATCCACCCTATGCACACTCCATCCAGCAAGACATCTGGACTTCACCTCATCTCAGATTCTGGACTATATCCACCTTCTCATATTCCAGTCCTGTATCCACCTTGTCTTCCAGATCCCCAGATCTTCAGACCTCCGGATATTAATGCTGGACCTATTCCCACCCTCTGTCCAATATCCTGCGCCTATCCCCATTTAGGCATCTCCGCCTTTCTGGCTTTTGGTTACCTCTTCTTTCATCTTGCTTATTGATCCTTGTACAAGTCTTCATCTCCGAGTTCATTTAGTTATGTTCCATCTTACTTACTAATGTGTTTCCACATGCTTGTACATAGCCTTGCTCCTTTGCTTACTGATCCCCTCAGATGTTGTCCAGTATATAACCCCTGTAGATACTCCTGTAGTTCCTCAGTTTGAATATCAACTTAGACTTGCCCAATCCTCTCTTGGACTTTGGTCCACCTAAGTCTGTCCTACCCATCAGGCCTAGGGATTGATTCCTAGGCTGGAGCTTTGCCTTTCCAGCACTTACCCTCTTTCTGGACTTAGGTCTAATCCCTGTTCTCTCTGACTCTACCTTAGGGTAGTCTACCTCTGTTTGCTTCTACATCAGGACAAAGTCTGATATAGCCCCTATTCCTTCCAGACCTCCAGACATCCTGTCCTTCATACCTCCTATCCTTCTATCCTGTTTCCTGTAGAAGTATTACCTTGCAGTGGGAACTCTCCTGAGCACTTCCTGCATTCCTCTGGAACTCTCCTGCACTCCTCTGGACATTTCCTGCACTCCTCCAGAAATCCTCTAGCACTCTCCAGCAGAGTAGCCAGCCTCTGGAAGTCCTCTGGACTTTATCGGACCATCATTGGACTTCCTCTGAAATGAAGGGCACATACTTAGGTAAGGGGCATAGTGTACGAGCTGAGGCCAAGCCCCTCTGAGTCAGTCTCTCTCCCCCTTGAGCATGGTTCTTAACAGAGACATACTTGAAGTAAGATGATGATAATGAAGGGACTCTTGGGGACTATCATCACCACCATCAGTTGAAACATCATACAAAGGATTTAGACTGGGTTTTGCAGTGATAACATTCACAGAGGTCTTGTGAGCCTCTGGAAGAGCTGTTGCTTTTCTGCCTGCTGTACATTCAGTTTCACTCAGTTGTAAAACTGGTGTATTTGGTTTTGAAGTCAAATTGGACTTCAGAACACTTCCAGTGGGCTTCACAGGAGGTGTTCAAGGTGTTGCATGTAGAGTTGAGCTGGTTCTAGGATGATAAGCCTCATAGAGCTCATGCTTAGAGACAGTGCTGGCCATAGTAATAGTGGACATGGCTGTACGATGGAGCTGGTGCATGTCAGAGGTTGGAGGATAGATGTTCCATGATAAGAAATGATCAGTCATTTGGGAAATGCCACACTTGGTAGGGTTCCAAAAGTAAACTTGGTTTAGGGTTACCTATTTGATATTAGGGGTGGTCATACTATATGTGACAACTTCAGTTTGAAAGTTGACTCAGAGCAGTTTGAGTTGGCCTCAAGTTGACTACTAGTATAGTAGACTAGTTTTTCACTGTACCAATATTGCATATTTAGTTTGTGTTGATGTGGGAGATGTAACACGAACCTAGTTCTACTTGCAAAAGCCTCCAAGTCTCAGGCTGGCCTAGCAGGCGAGTCAAGATGATGATGTACAAGTTCTTCAAGGTGCTAGTTCAGAACACTTAGTAAGGATATGCAATGTTGTGCATGTGTAAGCTTTTGGGTCAGGGAAGGTACTATTCTAGTAGTACCAGTAGTGACTGATAAGAAAGATTCTAGAAAGAAAATATTGCTGCAATGATCAGTGGTTACATAAACTCTTGAACAAAGGGGCCCAACTATTGAATATTGAAATTTTGTCGACATTGGTTGTAAGCTCCTGCCAGTAGGTGGCTGAGTATATAGTAGTATGATCTAGTATGTTTTGTGTGACTCCAAGGTGTCACAAAGTTTAATTTCAAATTTGCAGAGTCCGTCACAAACTCACACATGCAGAAGAAGTTCTTGGACTTGGAGTTTGACTCAGTGGACTCAACTTGCTCAAAGCTTGGAGTGTCTTCAAGTCTACTAAATCATGACAAGTCTACTACTGTGACCAACAACTACTAGTATCACCTGATCCAACACAACTGGGCCTGTATTGTTCCATTCCAGTAAGTACTCAGGCCCTATCATTTCTGACTCGGAGTACTGGTATACCATCCAACACCATCATGACTGACTGGCAAGTGGGCTGGCAAGTACTAGAACTAGCCTGAGTAACTCAAGTACCAGTTACTAGGCTGCCACCAATAGTCAGGATGTGCTATCATCATTATTGGTGACTGTGCCTACTACTAGCTGCAAGTAAGCATTCAAGGTCCTCACTTATGGGCAGGCGCTAACTCAGACTTCACTGGAAAGTTGAACTTGGACTCCAGACTCAAGTGCTGTGACAAGATGGTACATGACTCGTAGTACTCAGTATTCACTAGTAAGCCACTGTGACTCCATCACTGTATTATCCTCATGGCATGCAGTGCAGTCATTACTGCAGAATTTTAGTCATGAAGCTTCATGTTCAACTCAAGTCAGGCCACCTCTCATTTGATTCATTGCAGGACTTGTTACTGAAGCCAAAATGCAATGGGTAGGCATTTTTGTCATCCAAGCAGAATATTGACTGACCATGATATATGCCATGACTTTCCAACTTCACAGACCATACTAGTAAACCAATGCAGTTGTGATATCAGTTTTACACCCCACCACAGAGTATCCACATGCAAATCCATTCAGGTGTCAGGCTTACCACTGGTGGATGATTTGTTCACCATCATTTTCAAGTTGCAGAGCCTGCCATGTCTGAGCCATTTACTGGCCGCCATAGTGATAGTGAAAGTAAGTGAAGTGGTGTCTAAGTTGATTTCTGGCCAGCCAAGCTTACTATTCACTGCTACTACCATGGGTAACCACGGCTGCTTTTCAGTCTTTGACCAAGATAACAATCTTGATATGGGCTGCAATGCTGTGAGAGGTTCAGGCCATCGTGACATTGAAACTTCTGGCACAGTCACTGACAATACTGAGTTGTCCAAATTTCCCCAGGCCAACCTTCCCCTGCACTCTTATGTGACTATCTTGTCAAACAACGCAATCCAGACTTGTCATAATTCCATGCAACAGCAACTTAACAAGTCAACTGTACCAAATGGAGTTGTGTATGATGTGGGTGGACTCTCCACATTGGAGTCAGATGCCAATCATGTGACTATGATGTGGGTTAACTCCTGCTTGGGAACTCTCTTTGTTGTGGTAAACGGCATGATGGTCATCCCAGATGGGGTTGATGAAATGGTCAATGGGGTGGAATCAACACCTATTGCTAGTAGTTGTACAGAAGATGAGTGGTACCACATCTTGCAAGCTGTTGTCACAGCTGCCAGTGTGGCTTCCTGACATGAACTTGAATGTGCAGCAGCAGTGGAATCTCAGTCACTTGCATTGGCCACTGCAATGGATAGTTACATAGACTGGCTGGAAGAAGACATGGAGTAGTTTAATATTTGATGTGGCAAGTAACCACCTCAGGCTGGTCAAGTCTCAGTTTCAACTTTCAGACATCTTTTACTTCACAAGTAGTACACAAAATCATGCTTCCCTGACTTCCACAAGGCTTGTTATGGAAATTTTCCTTGCAAAGTAAATCTCAGAGCATGATGTAATAGCAAACAACAATATGTGCATGATCTATATGACTAACTACATGTTCAGCACAGCAGTATAGCGTATGTGAGCTTTGATTGTTCTATGCAGAAGGTAATTCCTGGATGATATGACTATCGAAGACCTGAAAGTCAACTGAAGTGATGTGTGCAAGGAGGTGTGTTCAAGCACAGAGACATGTTTTCTGCACCATTTTTGGTGTGGAAAAATTCTATATACTTTGTAAATATGTGTGGTATTGTGCCATGCAAAGGATATTTTTTGGCAGCAAAATCCGAGATTTTGAGCTGTTGCAGAGGTACTAATGACAGCACAATTGATGAACTATGAAATCACAACATTTTGCACTTCTCACTGATGATCCGATCTGATGCACAGTGCCTGCAATGGCAATGGTAAAGCCCCATCCTCAATTGACTTTACTCTGGGTCATAAAACACACATTCTTTTGCATGAGCCCAGGCAAATAGTGTGTTCCAGACTTGACCTTTTGGCAGGAGAAGTCAAATTATTTTCTGCATACTCAAAGTATTACAACATGTATTAGTACAGTAGGTGTCTCGCAGGTATCAATTTGCCCCGCACACTATCTGGGGTAGTAGGTGATCAACATTCCATTATTGCTGACAGTGAACATAACAACCATAGCAAACTACTACACACACTCCAAAATAAGCACACAATATTGAAAATGGGTAAGTAACAGGTAAGTAACAGCTAGTTGTACAAGTATATTGAGCAAACAAGCCTTAAATGAAGAAGTGGGAAATTCCAACTGGCAATCGAGAGCATATGTTGATGGCTAGCTCAAACATAATACTCCCCATATAGGCTTGTAGTCAGGCATGATATGGTTAGCCTTCTCAATTTTGATAGCCCAATCATCTGCCTCTTGTTCATAAATTTTTGCAAGTTGAGTATATTGGCATACACGGTGTTGTGCTGCAGCATAACTTGCATAGACTGCATCAATTATGTGCCGAGTGAATATCTGGGTTTGCTCTTCAGATCCTTGGATATCAATTTCATCCAGTGTCATCTGTATCCCAGTTAGTATGTGTGCTTGGTATCTATGTAAGGAGATATAACTGCATACCAAACATGACTGCATTTCTTGAGGGTTTGAGAAGATGGACCATCTATCCACAGTGCTGATGCATTGAGAAGAAGTCAAATTGGAGGAGTCTGCAAGAGATTCTTTGATAGAAACTGTAGACGAGGGTCTTTGCTGTGACATGTTTTCAATTTGAGTATTTGAGTACTACATAGTGGTTCAAATGTTCAAGGTCAAGCTTCAGGTGAAGTTTCTATGAATGTTATAACGTTAAACACTCACCCAGTCATTCAATCAGAGCTATGGGGATTCAAAATGTTCCAGTATAGCAAATCTCCTATTAGGGTATGGCCTGTATTGCAATAGCCAATAAAAATTGTTTGTCCCAGTCATTTTAATACCATTTATTGATATTTGTTGTGAGTTAATTCCAAGTTAAGGTCTGCTAGTGCACTGGCAGTCTGGTACAGGTTCCTGCTCAGGATATACTAGTTGAATGAATGAATATCTCTTGATCGACCTGGGTTGGTCTGTGTCTTGTATCAATCCTCCTCATGATCTTATGCTGCAGCAATACAACAGCAACAGGTTGCACATGGGCAAAAGATACAGATTCTTGCAGACTTTCCAGACATCACACTGATTGCAAGCACTATCAGAGGGCAAACATATTAGCTAGCAACAAAAGATGGGAGTGGGCACAGGATTTGATCAGACTCAGAGCATCATGCAAATTGATGCAACACCACAACTGACTGCCTCAGGCTAGTCACAGTATCATTGTTATAAGTATTTTACACGTGTCACTCAAGAACTGTAGCCATGTAGACTGACATATCAGACTATGCTGCTTGAACCAATACAGTTCACCAATGACCACTGTTCTATGCCTGTAGCGCATTGTCACAGAACTTATGCATTCACTGGCAAGTCTGACCCAGACTCAGAGGGCCAGATCAATCCTGTTGAGAGTAACACTTGTGTTGGTTCATTAGCTCCTGTACTACAGGATTTAAATTTCTCAATGGAGGAGGTTACTGAAAGATACCATAGTATTCCAGGTATGCGAATAGTTCATCAAAACACTATTGGTACTTATGAATTACTAGCAGTCCTGTGTCAACATCCATCATGACATACATTTATACCAAGGAGTTTCAATGATATCCTTCCTGATGATGAAGATATTAATCCTTTGGATACTGCTGGGATTGTCCTGTCTTTTGTTGCACTGCATTGCAGAATCCAAAGAGTGCTGTTGACATTGTGTGACATGCTTCAAACAGCATTTAACATGTTTGGTCTCTCTTGATATTATCCTCAATGCCCATCTTTTGAACCTGATAAATTTGTTCCATTTTCACTCTTACAAACATCCTCACCCATACCTATTGAAGTTGTTAAGAACCATGCTGCTCAAGGGGGAGAGAGACTGACTCAGAGGGGCTTGGCCTCAGCTCATACACTGTGCTCCTTACCCAAGAATGTGCCCTTCATTTCAGAAGAAGTCCAATGATAGTCTGATGAAGTCTGGAGGACTTCCAGAGGAGCGTGGGAAACATCTGGAGGAGTGCAGGAGAGTTCTGGAGGAATGCAGGAAGTGCTCAGGAGAGTTCCCACTGCAAGGTAATACTTCTACAGGAAACAGGATGGAAGGATAGGAGGTCTGGAGGACAGGAGGGCAGGATGTCCGGATGTCCAGAGGTCTGGAGTATGGAGGACAGGAGGACTGAAGGTCTGGAGGTACACAGGACAGGACATGGAGGTATGGAGGACAGGATGTCCAAGGGTTAGGAGGACAGGATGTCCAAGGGTTAGGAGGATGGAACATCTGAAGGTATGGAGGGCAGAATGTCTGAAGGACAGGATGCCCAGAGGTGCACAGGACAGGATGTCTGGAGGTCCAGAAGGAATAGGGGCTACATCAGACAAAGTCCAATGTAGAAGCAAACAGAGGTAGACTACCCTTAGGTAGAGTTGGAGAGACAGGAAGTGGACCAAAGTCCAGAAAGAGGGTAAGTGCTAGAAAGGCAAGACTCCAGCCTAGGGAAGCAATCCCTAGACTTGGGACAGAGACATAGGGGACAAATCCGAAGGTCCAGAATTCTGGCCTAGGGAATCCATCCCTAGGCCTTATGGAAAAGGACAAGACTCAGATGGACTGAAGTCCAGAAGAAGATTGGGCAAATAGAACAGGATCTAAGATGATATTCAAACCAAGGAAACTACAGGAGTATCTACAGGGGTTATATACTGGACAATATCTGAGGGGATCAGTAAGCAAAGGAGCAAGGCTATGTATGAGCATGTGGAAACACATTAGTAAGTAAGATGGAACATAAGAAAATGAACTTGGAGATGAAGACTTGTACAAGGATCAATAAGTGTTAAGGTTGTACTCAAAGGTTAACAGATCCTAAGGGCTTTGGCCTCAGCTTGTGCGCTGTGCCCCTTACTCAAGTATTGCCCCTTATTTCAGGAAGGCAAGACTAATGTGTCCAGAGGGTTGTACAGGTAGTATAGCGGATCTGGATGACTTCTGGATGAGGGATAAGTATTGTAAGACTAATCCAGACAAGTCCAGACTAGAAACTAGTGGTAATGGCTGTCGTAGACAGAGGCAGATGCGGATAGACTATAGGAATCAATCCTAAGTCTTAGGAGGGTGATGAGAGTAGTGGTACTCAGGTCTGGAGGACAGGAATGAGTAGAACTAGGTTGATATTCGAACTGAGGTGCTACAGAGAGTTACAGGAGGTTATATACTATAGGTATCTAATGGAATGATCAATCAGCAGAGTCCGAGGCTATGTACTGAAGCATATAGGATAGTCTATTGGTAAGTAGAAACAGATCACAAATCATGAAATGGAAATGAAGCATAGGTAATGGATCAGGGAGCAGGACGGATATACAGATAGCTGACATACCAGAGTTAGGGGATTACTGAAAAGGAGATGAGCACTGGTTGTGGATTTGGATGAATTGTGGACCAGACCAGATGAGTGGACAGATTGAATGACAAGATGTTGGAGGGAGATAAGATGTGGATCAGATCTGAGATCCAGATATGTGGATATGACAATAAGCAAGACAGAACAGGAGGTAACTGAAAGCCAGAAAGGCAGAGATGCCTAAATGGGGATAGGCGCAGGATATTGGACAGAGGGTGGGAATAGGTCCGGAGTTAATATCCAAAGTTAATATCTGGAGGTCCAGAGATCTGGGAATCCAGACAACAAGGTGGATATAGGACCAGGATATGAGAAGGTGGATATAGTCTGGAATCTGAGATGAGGTGAAGTCTGGATGTCTTGCTGGATGGAGTGTGCATAGGGTGGATGGGACAGGGGGGTATGGATCAGGCTAGCAGTGGAGATCTGATAGTCTGGAGCTCAGGGGTAAATCTGGAGCATAGTTGATCCTACTGAGGTGTGGAGCACACAGCGGAAGGGGATCTGGGAATGAGTTGGATATGAAGTGGGGTCCGGACATAGGCTTGGAAGGCATGGGAATATGATGGAATGTGGGTCCGGATTGTGGGATATGACAGAAGTGCATGATACTCAAGGACCTGATCCATCTTGTGGTGTCCCTGAACCACTGCTGTATCCCTTCCTAAATATGACCATCTATCATCTTATGACATGGTTGAACTCTGGGAGCCATTGAAAGTTGCAGATGGAAGTAATGCATCTCATTCAGGATGTGATTCAAGCCAAGGACTTCAACCAGAGGGACCTGGATGTGTTTTCAGTCAGGAAATGTCTGCACACACTGGATAATCATACTACAAACAAGGAATCTGCTATTTTTCCTGATGATTGGGTTGGGACAGATGTCACCATTGACATCCCTACAAAGTTGAAGGACAATCAGTCCCAATCATTCAGCATCTTGGGATTTCATTATCAACCACTCATAGCAGTCATCCATTCTGCATTTGCCGACATCCAAGCCAACACTTTTCACCTGTTCCCTTTCAAATGCTTGTGGAAAGATCCCCTTGACAACCAAGAACAATGCATATTTGATGAGCTATATACCTCTAACTCCTGGCTAGAAGCTCAGGATGACCTTCAGCGGCAGCCAAAAGAACCAGGTTGCTCACTTGAACATGTTATCATGGGGCTCATGTTTTTTTCAGATGTGACTCACCTTGCAAACTTCAGAACAGCTAAGGCCTGGCCTCTTTACCTGTACTTTGGAAATTTAAGCAAGTATGCATGTTCATCTCCCACATCTGATGCATGCCATCTTGTAGGATTTTTCCCTTCAGTATGCCAATAATCTCTTGCACTGTATGACCCCATTTGACATTGATTTTGATCAGCTTCTGGATTCTATCAAGGATGTTTTAAACAGCCTACCTCACATACCAAAATCTGGTATCACAGCCCTACAGATGCATTGCCAGTGAATTATTCCAGGGATGTTGGAACATCTTACTGGATGATGAGTTCATTTGCACATATTACCACAGAATTGTTCTCCATTGTCTGGATGGAATATCAAGAAGGGTCTTTCCATGAATATTCACTTATTTGGCTGATTACCCAGAAAAGTGAGCTTCTTACTTCATCTTCAATCTTCATTAAAGTTTCAATAACTGTTTGAGGGTTTTGATAGCAACAATTCAAGATATGGGTTCTTGACCTTGTCTGCATTTTTTCATTCTGAAAGTGTTATTTGGTTTCTTAGGCCTCTTCAGGGATATGTGGGAACATGTGGCAAGCCATAGAGTTTACTCTCTTGTGAGAGTGAACAAAGCCTGCAATTTCATATATAATCAGGGAAATACTGTCAATGGTTCAAAAGTGCAGGCAATGCTTGGGCAAGGGTCATGGGTGCCAACCATGGTGAGTCTGAATCAATAAATTTTATGAACTAGTACCTAATCCTCAATGAGAATGCATTTGTAGATAAGCTTGGCCCACTAGGATTCAATTCTTTTTGAATTCTCATTGTCGATTTTATGCATGAATGCAAGCTTGGCATGTGGAAGGTGCTATTCACTCATCTTGTCCATTTGCTATATGTGCTTCCTGGGGGTGATGGCCTGGTTGCACATCTCGACAACAGGTCTATTACATGCTGTTTTCTTCCTTGTATCAAACTGATGGCATTCAACTTAGATTTTGCCAGGTTCCATTGTATGGGAACAGTGTCATTCACAAATTTGCAAATAATACATCAGAAATGAACAAGCTTGCTGCATGAGACTTTGAAAATATCTTGCAGGTGTGCCTTGTTGCTTCATGTGCATGTTACAATATTTATATATATATCTATCCTAGTGTGCTATACCAGTCTTCAAGGGACTCTTCCCAGAAGACCATGATGTGATTATACAGTCACTTCTATATAGGTTTGCACAGTGGCATGCTCTTGCAAAACTCAGGGTGCACACTGAGAGCACGTTATTGGTGCTGGAAGAGACATTTAAGAGGCTCTCCCATCAGTTGTGCAAGTTCCATGATTTCACATGTGCTGCTTTCACCACAACAGAGCTACCAAAAGAAAGAGCTGCTCACAAGTGCAGGGCACGTGAATGCCTAGGTCCCAGCGATCTGGACTCCAGGGTCACTGGTAGCCAAAAGGCTAAGAAATTTAATTTGAATACTTATAAATTTCATGCCATGGGAGACTATGTGCAATCAATCTGACTCTTCAGGACTACAGACTCCTTCACTACCCAAATCATATGTAAATTTCTGTCATATTTTCAACTCTTTGATGATTTTGTACTAGGGAGAATTGGCGCATAGAGTGTTGAAGGCATTCTATCCTTTGACCAACAAACTAGACACACTGACTCAACTTGCTACCCATGAATGCCATCAACGTGCCCTTTGGCACATAGCAGAATCTGGACACAGTATTTACACTAGTAAGGATATGGCAATCAATGTGCTGCCCATGGGGGTTGACTTGAAATACCATCACTATATACCAACACTCAGCCACAACCATCCATTGGACCTTTTTAGATTCCTTTGCCAACACAATAATGATCCAGCTGTGGCGGTAGGTACCTCACTCTTCAAGGTTTATCTTATTCATGATAACTCATAGGTATTCATACCAAAACTAAAAGACCATATACTATATCATCTCCGCAGGTTAGACATCAGTTATTGTGACTATACATTTACAGATGATGAATGCAATTCAATCATCATTCCAGACAACAAGATCTATTTGGTTCAAACAATGCAGGTATGTTGTGTATATCATTTTCAGCTTTGCTAGGATATGATTCTTGAATCTCACAGGTACACTACACAACTTACAACCTTCAATGAGAATATGATACGATCAACACTCAGACCCATCCTGATGTTATGGTCCTATCAAGGGAAACAAAACCCCAACATCCATACTGGTATGCCCACATTCTGGGCATCTACCATATGGATATATGGTTCAACACTGAAGGTTCAATGAAGATGTGCCAAATCAAGGTTCTCTACATTCGATGGCTGGCACCCTTGATTGGTCATCAGTCTAGGATGAACTACACTCAACTTCTGAAGGTTGCCTTTGTTGATGAGTCTGACCATGATGTGTTTGGGTTCCTAGACCCTGGCCAGGTCATCCAAGGCACACATTTAATTCCGGCTTTTGTATCTGGGTGTGGTACAGTGTACCTTTGTCATGGCAAGCCCTTCGCACATCAAGGAGATGATTTAGATGATTGGGAAGCCTATTATGTTGGCATGTAAGTCCAATCTCCTGTCTCAATTTTTACTCCAGCTGATAATCACTCAGATTCATTGATTGAGACATGTTTCTACATTATACCTCATTTGGTATCAGCCATCCTACCATCCTGCGGGAAATGACAAGAGATTGTGTCAATGTGGAGTTGGCAGACAGCCCAGACTTAGACTCAGAAGACATTGAGAATATTGACAATAACAACTGCAAGGGTGATGAAATCCAAGAAAGCAAGGGTGAAAGTGAAATTGATGAAGATGAAGACAGCTTGGAGATGGAGGATGAGGGCAATGATGATGACGAATTTCTATCTTTCTAAATGTGCTACCAGTCCTCTTGAGTATTTGTTTCTGTCCTTTGTTGTTGTTCTTTGCCATTTTCTCATGTCCTATTCTACAACCCACTGGTTGTTTAGGTAGTAGTACTTGTATTTCACTTCAGATTACAATAATATATTTTTGTGCAGTAGCAATGTACTAAAGTGCTGTGCCCTCATATGTACAGGGCAAGGAAGTAACCAATTGACTTAATCACAATGTATTAGATCCGGGTTCATATCCAGGATAGCTCATTGTCGACCACAAAATTGAAGCTAAGGTATGTATGGCCTTGGAAGGGAGATGCACTAACTATATCAAAAGGTGGGTAAAACATTCCAAACATCAATAGGTTATGCTGAAGGTTCAACAACTCTGCTAGGCTTGCAGAGCTATAGAAAGAAAGATGGCTCTACCTCTGGGGTGAGATGAAGGCTACTGACTCTCTAAGTGTTGGTCGAAGTGTGCCGAGTGATGTGTTCAACCCTTAAGGGAAGCAAGGAAAGCAAGGATCCACGAAGTGATACCAGGTCAACTCTAGTGAAGTGCACTAGAAGCACATGCGTGCACAGGAATATGGAGCACATAGGAGTGTGAAGTGTGGGAATAGAGCACAAACGTGTAAAGAACTAGTGAATGGTGTGAAGATGTGAACTAGGACTGTTGAGTGATGACTGGTGACAATAGACTGTTGCTGAGGACTAGGGCGATGACTCTGATGGATGCTAACTCATGATAATGGATTCTGACTCTAGGTGACTACTGACATGATGGTGGTAGGTGTATGAAAACTTCCTAGGCAACAGGTAAGCTGTGCCTAGGTGTGCTCCCAGGGCTTGGAAGCAAATAAGGAGCACTCTATGTATGTAAAATGATGTAAATAAAGGGTCCATGATGAAATAAGATATTGTACGATGCCAAATATAGTCTGATAATGAAAATAGATGAGAAAGGACTCACTAGGGAACTGGTTGGACAATGGATGGATGCTCTGGGACACTGTGCAACATAAGGTGACTGAGCACATGCGCGGGAATGTGTCGCATAGTGTGGGAAAGCGTCGCGCCTCTGGTGCATTTTGCAGGAAAGTCATAGGTAGTGAGTTGCACACTGTACCAATAGTCATGAGTCATAATATGGGCAACCTAAGCCTAGAGCAATCTTGTTCTCTACAATGCACCATATCTGTGTTCTATAGCCTGGTGCTCTCTCTTATTCTGTGAATGCCCCTAATGGCTGACATATTAATGTGTAATATATGCATCCCAGGCACATTTTCCACTGGTGCTCAACTGTGTTGTGGGTGTGCGCACAGGTGTACCTCCCAGAGATATTAGTTTGTGTGAGAGGTGAAGATTGGCCTCAGAGACAAAGAATGGTGTGTGAAACTGAAAAAAAACTCTTGACAAAAACAGGGTCTGCAGAATGTATTGAATAATCTTATGATATGAGTTGTAGCTGAAAATGATCTACAAGAGTGATACATATGCACTCCAGTCCCCTGCCAGCTGCAATGGCAAGGTGTCATGATTTTATCTCAAAATGCCAGGTGAATATATATTTGTTGACCCATGCCAAAGTCACTGTCCTTCAGGATGTCTTAAATGATACTGTAACTTGAAACATAGGTTATGGTACATGAAAGCACTTAACAACATCAACATGAGCGCACTCCTGTTTCTTGCCAGCTGCAATAGCAAGGCACCATGATTTTATTTCAAAGTGCCAGGTGGATATATATGTGTTGACCCATGCCAAAGTTACTGTCCTTTGGGATGTCTTAGATGATATTGTAATTTGATTCATAAATTGTGGTATTTGAGAGCACTTGACAACACCAACATGAGCACACTCCTGTTCCTTGTCAGCTGCAATAGCAAGGCACCATGATTTTGTCTCAAAGTGCTAGGAGGATATACATCTGTTGACACTTGCCAAAGTTATTGTCCTTTAGGATATCTTAAATGATATTGTAATTTGATATATAAATTGTGGTACTTGAGAGCACTTGACAACATCAACATGAGCACACTCCTGTCCCTTGCCAGCTGCAATGATGGCATCTCATAATTTTGTCATACATCCATCTTGCTTGTCTAAATTAGCAGCTGTCTATGGCTATATATGAGCAAAAAAAAAATCATAGTATATATGGTCATGTTTGGTGGGAGCACAATTAGATCCTTCTGTAGTCATCATGGCCAGAATATCAAGGAGTCACGGGTTTGCTGATGATAGAGCGAGTTCAGTTGTGAGAATGTAATACAATGAGACTATCAACTCACCTTTGGATCTGACAAAAGGTTATTGAGGCCAGCTTCTTTAACAATCACAGCAACATCCCATGAGTACACATTTTCGTCATTGCAGCAAGTGGCTAGTTGCTTTCCATCTGCGGAAAACAACACATACTGTACTGGCTGTGTGTGCTGGAGGGGCAAATTGATGGGTTGGCCATTGTTGAGGTTCCACAATTGTGCTGTCTTGTCAAATGATGCACTTGCGAGGATGCGGCCATTCAGTGATATTGCAATGGCCATGACATAGGATGTGTGCTTAACCAGAACCGCAGTTTGCTTCCACTTGATGGTATTCCATGTCCTGATGGAGTGATCATATGATCTGGAGATAAGCATTTTTCCATCCTTGGTCCAAGCCAGGCAATGCACACAATTGGTGTGTCCTTTGAGAGTTATGACAAGCTTGCCTGTCTTTGCATCCCAGATTTGAATTGAGTTCTCGATGGGTTCTACAGTCGAGGGCCAATCCCATCCACCAGTTGCAACCAAGGTCATGTCTGGTGAATAGACAACTGTGTACACTTGATGGTGTCCTGTTTTGATCAATGCAAGTATGGTTTCTCCACTTTCCACTGTGTCCCATTGACAGATCCGCTTAACACTCTCTGACCATCCTGACTCCAGTAGACAGACACCACTTCCTTTGTATGCCCTGTCCATTTCATGATGACCTTGCATGTGTCGATGTCCCACAACCTCACTGCACCATCCCCACTCCCACTGACCACTTGCTTCCCATCCAGAGACAATGCTATCTTGTACATGTCTCTTTCTCAATCTCTCCAATCTTCTCCTATCTGTTTCCCACTTGTCAAGTTCCATACCTGCAGTGAGCTGTCATATGAACAAGTGATGATCCACTGTTTGTCTGGCAGGTATATGATGCCCAAGACACCACCAGTGTGTCCTTCAAATTTCTGTCAGGGGGTTATCACTGATGTCTTTTTCATTTTAGTGATAGATGAAGCCATGCTCCAGAATTCCTACTATGGAATGCAGCACCATCTCAGCTTTCATCTGTCAAATTTCCAAATCATTACTTATGAGGAGGTCTCTCAGCAGTGTTGGGGGGCAGCATGGAATAATGCCTGTTTTTGTCAAGCCAGAGTTGAATCCACTGTTTCCTAGTGCATTTTTACATGCTTCACCCTCATGTTTGCTCCACAGCTTATACACAGCATAGGCTGTGCAGCTGAAGCGCCCAAGAATCATCTGCGGTCTCAATCAACATTTCCAATATAACATGCTTATCACATCTGTTGTTCCAGTTCCTGCATTCAGATCTGCATTCTCCATTTCATTATGATATCTTCTGCTTTTGTCATTTGCCCACTGTATGGGCCATACACAACATCTTCAGGTATCCCATTCAAATCTCACAGGTATGTCTATTCATCCATCACTCTCTCCTATGTCTCCTTTGAAAATGTCTTCTGATAAATCCTATCTCTCCCCTGATGGCTGGACAGAAATATGTGTGCATGTCACCTTGGGAGATACTGGTACATTCACTCCCCTAATCTTTTATTTGATCTGGACTGATAATCATCTGTAGTTGGCTCTGCAACAATAGAAATACTGATATTCGGAGGGACCCTTTCATTACCCACAACTGCATCATCCACAATCTACATAACACCCATCACCCCCACTACTTGTGGTACCTCACCTAGATGATCCCACATCCTGAAAACTGCCTCAGTATCTTTTCACATGCATACAATCTATTGGAGAACTTGCAGTACACATAATGACCACCATTAAGATGATTCAGAGAAAGTGATATGGGTAATAGACACAATACTGCATTTACTGAATTTGAAATGATGAGGAAAGAACCAGGAAAGACCCAGCTTATGTTCAAGGCACCCATGCTTTCAGTGGACAGGGCCAGCAACACACCAGACACATACATTTTTGGACCTGTAAGCAATGTCAAAGGTGGAGTATGTGCAGTGGATGAAGGAATTGGTGATATAGACAAATCCACCTTTTCAACTCTCTTTCTTCGTGTTGTTCTGTTGCACTCACACATCACATTCCACAGATCATAAAGAAATTCATGATGAGACACTTTGATATAGTCGGCATGTCTTAGAAGCATCCAGAGTTTAAGAAAGTCTCTGGATTTGTGTACTGGAGATGGCATTCATTCTGGTGTGCAAGTGCTCTTCATGGTTACAAGCTTATATTTCTGGTCTTAGAGCCACAGTACAGAAACCTCCTGTTGGTGCAAGAGTTCTAGAGACACTTGTAGGAGCACTTGTTAAACTTTCTGTTACGTCACCCACTTGAGAGGAAGAGCACCTTGTGAGGGCAGCCTGGAGTGAGAATCTGGTTTCTGCATGATATATTTCACATCTGGCAGCAAACAAGATGGTGGTTGTTTGTCAGTACACTAATGCAACATCCACAGAAATGGGTGTGTATCAGCTGTTTGTGGCAGAGTTATGCATAATAATAGTTGATTAGACATGAGCCATTATGTATGGCTGATACTTATCCCTCATTGTAATGGTACATGTATACCATCACTCCATATGTAGTTGTAGTTGCTAGAATAATGTATAAGCATGGGTGATGAGTGGATAGATGAGAAACAACATACCATTCATAATCATGGTCCTCACATGGGAAGTTGAGGTAGATGGCAGTGTTGTGGCCCTGATTTGGTTGTTGGGACTGCCACATCACCTGGCTGAGGAGGAGGAACTTCTGAGACATCAGATCTGGTACTGTTGTCAGGCCCTTGGCATAATGTTGAGCTTACCCAAGAGCAGAAGAAGGGGATCTATGAGAAGAGAGTATGACCCATCATTGCAGAGCTCAATTATGAGACTTCTACAAATTGGTCTACAGACTATGAGGTGCCTCTCACCTGTGCCACAAAGAAAAACAACAGGTATCAGTACAGTACCTGTTTCTTCCCTGCCAATATGGTCTTGCAGTTTAGATATAAACTCTGCCTTACTTTGATTGATGTGTTCCCATGGGCATGGGACATGTTATTTATGATCCAAGTTCAGGGCATCAAAGAGGTTAACCAGACTCATGGACTGCTTTTTCACATGCTTGCATTATCCTTTGCTGCTTCCTTGGCTGCTGCCTTCATTTCCTGAAAGGTTAGCATCAGCATTCAGCATTGGAACAGGAAATAGAAACACATGCACATACCTCATAAGCCATCTTGTGCTCCTCATAGTGCTCCTTGAGCCATTCTAGATGCATGATATCATCCTTATTCCATTCTCCCTCATCTTCAAGGTCCTTCTCCAAATGTTCCTGCCCCTCATATCAGCACCACAAACAACAGAAAAAAAATCAAGCACTCACAACCTGCACTGTGAATTGCTCATCATTCTCCAAACACTTCCACAGATAGTACTGCCACAGCCAGCTGAGAGCCCTTACATGCTTGTTCGCAAGCTTCAGCCATGCCAATGCCTCCCTCCTCTCTGCATCCAACTTCACCTTCTTCTTCTTGACAATCCTCAACCTGGCTACCTTCTCAGCTCTCTCCTCTCCCAGCCAATCCACTTTGGCAAGAGCAGACTCACTTAGTGCTTTGAGCACAGCTGTACTGATAATATCTTCTAGATACTTGAGCAGTCCATTGTTGTGCTCAGAAGTGCCTTTAGGCTTCATTAGTGTGATAGACTAGACTTCACTCTGCAGAATAAGGAAACACTTGTGCATGAGGTCAATCTCACACCCCTGGAGAAGCGTCTGGACCTCAGTGTAGGAGGATGGGCATACTGAGAGGTATTGGATTTGGTTGCTGTGCAAGCAACAATGAGTGAGGAGTTCAGAATGACACTGTATGCATCAGGTCCAGGCTGGGGGTCCAAATAGACTAATTCAGTTCATGTTATAAACTAGGATAGTTCTAACAACAGATGACTCAATAAGAGTCAATGACCTCTGCCGAGATTCTACATAAGATGATAAGTTGAATATTCAGTGTAAGCTAAGGTAGAGGGAGTGCCTCTAACTTAAAGTATGATTCAGATGACAAGAGATTGGAGGTCTCAAGCAAAGGATATTCCAGGTAAAACCTAGTAAGATTAAAGTGCAGAACTAAAGCATACAAGAGGACTATTTATAGTGAACTACAAGTGCTTTAGGGCAGATGTGAGAGCTGATTATGAGTCAGAGATAAAGGACATGTAAGCAATAGCAAAAATAGGACATCTAGTGACAGCAACAGCGATCATGATGTAATACAAGGTATGAGTCAAGGATAGTCTAGCAGCAGCATCATGCAGCTCATGACATACAGTGGCTCAAAAAAGTGTCTTGATGTTTGAGACTTTTCATGTAATTGCTGTATTATGAGCCAGGGCGTGAGAATATGACTAAGCCATAGGGAAGTGTGGGAAAGCTCTGCTTCTAAGCTTTATGTTTGATCCATATAGCGTGGGAATATTATGTCATCAAGTGAAGATATGGTTAATTTAATTTGGTGACTCATTGAGACACTTTTTTGACTTTCAGTTTGGCTAACACAATCTCTATAATTCTAGTACTTGGTGCTTCCTTCTGTTGCTCTAATTACTTCCACCACTCTTCTATGCATACTATCTATCAATTTGAGGCATTCCTCATCAACAATCTTGCCCCACTCTGCTGCAACTCTCTCCCACAGCTAAAATAACCCCTATTGAGGATCTTGATAGACTGCAAGTGACATCTTGAGTAATTACCAGGGCTGTTCAATAGGGTTGAGGTCTGAGGACTAGACTTGCCATAATAGCACACTGATACCATAGTTTTCAAACCATTTTATGGTCAACTTGAAGTATGCATAGGGACATTGTCTTGATAGAAGGTAATGTCTTATTCAATAATTCTTGATTCTTGCATGCTTCTGAGCAGATAATTTTCCAAAATTGAAATGTGCTACTCTGCATTCATCCTCCCCCCACCTCACAGGGAATTCCTACTCCATTCCACCTCATACAACACCATACCATCAAGTCTCCTACTTCACATACTTTAGTGTTTTCTCAATTTTTTTTGTTCTAGTAGTTTTTCTACCTTTCATCACATATATTCCTAGCCATCTGACCCCATCCTATTGATTTTTGTCTCATCTGACCAGGTAGCCCTATTCCAGTCCTCAACAATCCAATATTTAGGCTTTAAAGCCAAGGCTGGTCTCCTTCTCCTATAGGCTGAAGACAGGAAAGGTTTTGTCTGCCTGTTTACAGCTTTAAGATTGGCTGCCTTAGGAGTATTCTTGACTTTTTGAGTGGAGAGAGCAGTGTAGATGATGTAATTAATAAATTTGGTGACTTGAGTAGCATTGGCAGCCTGCCCAGTTGGAATATTATGAACAAGAGATTTTTTGTTATATGGTGTAAGCTTGAAAGGACAATCTAGTTTGATATTTTTCTTATCTGGCATGACTTTTTTTATGATCCTAATGATAGTAATCCTGCTCAGACCAGTTTTGGTAGCAATCTGCCTGGTATACAGATTAGAAAAGCTGATGATAATAATAATATGGGTTATTTTAGCTGTGGGAGAGAGTTGCAGCAGAGTGGGGCAAGATTGTTGATGAGGAATGCCTCAAATTGATAGATAGTATGCATACAGTGGCTCAAAAAACTGTCCACATGTTTTGACATTTTTCACTATCTATGATATTGTGTGAGAACAAACAAATGGCTCAAGGACATGGTTATACCACATTGTAGTATGGCTTCAGGGCTTTCATTTGAGCCCTACACCGTGGGAATCGGTGGAGATATGGTGGAGATACAAGGCTCACAAAATGGTGACTCATGTGGACAGTTTTTTGACTCAAGTATTTTACAATAATAACCAGGTATTCTAGTATTTTGTATGACCTCCCTTGGCTTTAATTACTGCCTCTATCCTTCTAGGCATACTCTCAATTAATTTCTGGCAATCCTCAGCTGTGATCTTCCCCCATTCCACTGCTACTCTCTCCCAAAGCTCCCATACTCCTTTAGGGGGGTTTTCATAGGCTTGAAGCTTTTTCTTGAGTATTCCCCAGAGATGTTCAATGACATTGACATCAGGAGACTGTGCTGGCCAGTCAAGAACATTGATGTTATGTTCTTCAAACCATTCCTTAGCTCTTCTGGATGTGTGCTTGGGATCATTATCCTGTTGGAAAATAATATCTTCTTCATCAATCCCTGATTCTGCCAAGCTAGGCAGCAAGTGGTCATTTAAAATGTCCACATACTGCTCAGCATTCATCTTTCCCTCAACCTCAGCAAGCATTCCCACACCATTCCATCCCATACAGCCCCATACCATTAAAGAACCTCCTCCAAACTTGACAGTCCCATTAACCTCTCTGTCTGTTAGGCCATCTCCCTTCTTTTTCCATACATATACCTTCCCATCTGACCCAATCCTATTGATTTTGGTCTCATCTGACCATATAACATGCTTCCAGTCCTCTACAGTCCAGTGTTGATGAGCTAAGGCAAAGGCTAGTCTTCTCTGCCTATGTTTGATGGAGAGAAGAGGCTTTTTCTTCTTTGTTACTGCCTTGAGATGAGCTGCCTTGAGAACATTCCTCACAGTTTGTGAAGAGACAGGGGTAGTGATGGTGGAATTGATATAATGGGTGGCTTGGACAGCATTATCAGCCTTTCCTGTAGTGATATGTTGGATAATAGCCCTTTTGTCAGTAGAGGTAAGCTTGGATGGATGTCCTCCACAAGAGTTTTCCTTATCTAGGTGGCTTTCTTTGATAAACTTGGCCACAGTGTACTTGCATACTCCAGTTCTAGAGGAAATTTGGCAAGCAGAGAGGCCAGCATAAGACAGAGAGAGGATATTATCTCTTTGAGCAGAGGAGATGGCTTTCATGGTGATTATGACTATGATACATGAGATATTCTGGTTTATATAGTTAGATATAGTCATAAAATAACATAATGACACCACTTCATAATTTATATAATAGTGGCATGATTTTTGTGATGTCATAAATAATGATTTATATAGTTTTAATATACACTCAAAAAACTGTCCACATGAGTCATCATTTTATAAGCCTTATGTCTCCACCATATCTCCACCGATTCCCACGGTGTAGGGCTCAAATGAAAGCCCTGAAGCCATACTACAATGTGGTATAACCATGTCCTTGAGCCATTTGTTTATTCTCACACAATATCATAGATAGTGAAAAATGTCAAAACATGCAGACAGTTTTTTGAGCCACTGTATATGAAGCTTTCCGGACCTGGCGACACTACCTAGAAGGCTCAGTCTGAGCCTATTGACATTGTCACAGACCACAAGAATCTTGAGTACTTTGCAACCACCAAACTCCTCTCTCACCATCAGGCACATTGGTTAGAGTTCCTCCACCAATTCAATCTCATCATCTGTTTCCATCCCAGAAAACTTGGAGCAAAACCAGATTCCCTCACTAGACTGCTGGGATGTCTACCCCAAAGAGGGGGATAAGGACTACACTCAAGTTAACCCTCATAACTTCTGTCCAGTATTTACAGTCTAAACAGTTAGCTTTGTCCCTACAAGCTTCAACCTTAGCATATCCAGTGCTCCAAGCAGCTGTACTCATGGATGCTGACCAACTCTGAAACAATATCCTATCCACTCTCCCTAACAACCCTATCGCGTCCACTCAAATGTCCAGTCCTCCAGATCCCAGATGGACCACAGATGATAGTGGTTTCCTCCATTGCGACAATTGTATATATGTCCCTGATTCCAATGACCTCCAACTTCACATCCTCCAGAACACACATGACCATCCCCTGTCTGGACACTTTGGCCAGAACCAGACATTAGAACTCATCCAACGCGAATATACTTGGCCCAGAATACACACCTATGTCAAAGACTATGTCAAATCATGCACCACCTGCGCCCAAGCCAAGGTTCCAAGACATAAGCCATGTGGATTGCTCAAACAACTCCCTGTTCTGGACAAGCCTTGGAACTCCATCTCCATGGATTTCATTGAGCAACTTCCGGACTCCTCTGGCTTCACAGCCATCCTTGTCATCATAGATCATCTATCCAAGCAAGCAATATTCATTCCGATCCATGATACTATCACCTCTCTGGACCTCACTCGCTTGTTCCTACTCCATGTGTTCTCCAAGCATGGTGTTCCATCTCATGTGACCTCGGACCAGGGAACAGAGTTCATATCCCACTTCTTCTGGTCCTTAGGAAAAGCATTAGATATGATCCTCCACTTCACGTCCAGATACCATCCGGAAGGGGACAAACAAACCAAGCATGCCAATCAAACCCTAGAACAATACCTCTGGATCTACTGTAACTATCAGCAGGATAACTGGTCGGAACTACTCCCCTTGGCTGAATTTGCATACAACAATGCTCTGAGTGCTACCACTGGAGTCTCACCCTTCTTTGCCAACAAGGGATACCATCCAAACATATCCATCCACCCGGAACATGACCTTTCCTCCGTCCATGCACAGGAATATGCCATAGACCTAAATGAGCTTCACCAATTCCTCCAAGAAGAAATGACCCATGCACAAGAATGT